CCTAAGAATAGACGAGGCAACGAAATATTTTTAAAGGCTTAAATAATATTAGAAGGTCGACAATAAAATGAATAACCGAGGGGAATCGAAAAACTATAATTGATTGTCATCATCATGAATATTACGTAAGTAGTAGATCAAAAATAAATAAATAGCGTTTGTTCGTTTTCAGCTTCATTTCTGTCTTTTTTAAAGTGCTACCCAAAATGATTCTGCGATTTGTATATTCATCAAATCATATCTTTCAATAAGAAAATAAACCATAAGATTTTGGTGTCAAACGTTCCAAAACTGTTTTAGTTTAATAATAAAAGTTCTACAAAAAGATCATGAAAATAAGTAATTAGAAAAACCTGGTTAATTATAACTAATTTGCATCGATGAATTCGTTAAGTTCAGTCGTCGATTAGCTTTTAGACTTTATTGCGCAACTTTATTCCGAAAAAAGTTGTTTTTTCCATGAAATTATAGATATACTGCGCAAAAGTTAAATAAGCAATGGAAAGAAAACTTTAGTACTGTGATTTATATTTATATTCGAAAAAAATTTCTCTGCGTCGTATTATGTAATGTAGAAAGCATCGCCCCTCTAAAAATTCCTGGATCCGCCACTGCCTTGTCGAGATTTATTCTCTTCGACTAATAATATACATTACACAGTGACGGATCCAGAAAATCTGTTAGGGGTTGGCCTCCTGGCCAAAAAACAGTTTTTCAAGTCTAGTTGAGGCTGAACGACTATTTTCTGTTTCATTTCTGCTGAGGAAAATCGAAAAACATTTCTTAACGGAGGTGGCGATTGCCGGGTAGCCTAACTGGTAGATCCGCCACTGACATTACATTAGGAATGGATAAAAAGAAATTAATGTGACTACTCAAATATTAACTACTCCGCTAACATATTGTCGTAACTTTTTCTTTTTTAATGCATCATAAAACTTCTCGTGCATGGCCAATGATATATTCCATGCATATAACATGACGGAAATTGACATATACCATAGAACGCTAGATTAGAATACTTTTTATAATTCGAGTAACATTATTGTTTCTAAGCGTTCTAGCGAATTCAGACGAAATGAACTTTCCTTTTTTTCTCTTTTTCTGTTCTTTAACAATTGAAATTATGTAAATTAGTATGAGAAATAAAATTCCTTTTTATGACTCTTAATTGCATCATCAAATAATATTTTATGAGATTGATATCATCGTAAAAAGAAAGTTTATCAGTTATGTATCATCTTCCAGATGCTTTTATTTTCATTTCGCACAGGATGGTATTAGTTTAATGGGGGAACAGAACAGAAGAAAAATTAATATTATTTGCTTCTTTTCTATTTTGCTTTCTATAATTCATTAATTAAGACATGATAGACGTGTCGGTTGTTCATTTTTTTAAATCGGTAATATAGAGAGCACGATGAAACGTTTTTGTCTATTCTCCCTCTCCTATATTTAGTTAGATAGAGAAGGTCGCTGACGCTCTTTGTCTAATGAGATGTGTTATAGAGAATAAGAGAAAGGCTACTACGGACGAATGAAAAACTGAAGAAAAGAAAAAAGAAAAAACGAGCACGATCGCGTCGTGTCATCCACGGCAGTTACTAAGCGGGCTTCTATCACTACTGGCTATGTATCACATAGAAGCGAGAAGAAAAATATAGCTTTTTTTTTCTTTACCCCGTCCGCATCGTCGACGTATGTAAAAGCATTTGCACACTCATATTCTCTCTATCACAAACGCAAATAACTATTTTACGACAACATACGTATTCATGCAGCAGCTGCAGATTTGAAAGCGCAGTGCGCAGCAGCTAAGAGTAGAGTATCGCTCGACACCCTATATATATATATATATATATCTTTATATATATATATTTCGTCTCCTACATTCATACAAAGAGAAAAACAGCAACGATCCCAGCATCAGCAGCATTTGGCATGGACAAAATGATAACATCTTCTGAAAGGTTTTTAAAAAACGACAAATTGTGTGTCTGTTGAAATTTTGCTGGCTAAACACACATACATACATATATATATATATATACATATTTACATGTACAATGCGCGAAATGAGAATTTTACTTAAGAAAAAAGAAAACACCATATTAGTAGGGATTTCTTTCTATCAGTATATAAGTAATGGTTATTTTAGCACATAGTTGTTTTGCGTGCTCTTTTTAAATCAATAGAAAGAGTTAAGCAAAAAAGAAAAGTAAAAAATAATGTACGTCGTCAAAAAAAAGAAAACGAATATTCGTGTGAGTATAACATGGAAATATAATTAATTAATAAAAAAAAAAGAAATAAACTCTTTCCTTAATCTACTGATGTCCTTGAACTTTTCCCGGTTTTTTTCTCTTATTTCGAATTGTTATTCCATGCAACGGTTGTATGTCTTTTTCTTTTCTTTTCTTTTCTTCATTTCCCCCATCTTTTCCCCATTCCCCTTTAGCAAAGGGTACTAGTCTATGTCTCATGAATCAACAATAATGGTCGAATTCATGCGCATTTTTTTGCTTTCCTGTTCGTATTACCCTATGGCTCGATTAACCCCATTTAGGTTTTCTTTTTTCTCTTTCTTTCTTCTCATCTTTCGTCAAACAGAAAAAGAAATGAAGAAAATATTTTGCCCCGTTAAAACTACGACGGGAAGAATACATCATGTACTATTAAGAACAAATTATGTTGGACGATCCAAACAATGCTAAGTGTTGTTATTGATTACAAATGTAAAAATTGAATTATCTTATTTTCAATTAATATTTGTAAATGAGAAAGAAAAGACACTTATCATCAATGAAGATTATTCTTCTTAAATCATCTATTGAATGGATAGGTTTTTTCTCTTTTAAATTGAGAAATGATTGTAAATAAGTCTTTAAGATTTGACTACAAAAAAAAAAGAATAATTTATAGATTAATACAATTAGTGAACAAAACAAAAGAAAAAAAAATTCCCTTTCTATTAAATGACTAAACGAAAAAAGAAAAAGGAAACAAAGAGAATTTTAGAGATGAGAATAATTAATGGATTATTGTGATATAAACAATATGTATTTATTGACTTTAAAAAAATTATGTTTCTTTTCGATTCGTCTAGATTATGTAAATCATAACAATTAATTAACAATAACTATAATACTTTATTATCAAAAACTCTGTTTATTTGAGGAACCAAAAAGAAACGACAAATGAAGTCAAGAAAAATTAGTTTTTCTTTTTATTTTCTCGCGCCAATTTAAAAAAGTCATAAGATCATTTTCTTCTAATTCTTTCTTATTACACGTGTTTCTATCTGTGTGTGAGTCTGTGTGTATGTGTGTGTGGGTTTCTCACATCTAATGGAATGAAGCAGGAAAAATGTTTCATACAAAAATCTTAATTCGAACAAAAATACAGAAGAATTCTCGACGAAAATATTGAATTTTCTAAATACAAAATATAAATCACAACAGCATATAGACTTATTTCATATACAACAAATATGATGTTGACCCTTAGGATACCCTGGTAGGTTTCATATAAAAAAAAGAAAGAAAAAAAAAAGAAGTTCAGCCGACCAAGTGGAAACTATCATTATAGTGTGTATATGTATATATATGTGTGTGTATTTTTGCTTCGGAGGGGGAAAAATTGAGTCCAAAATAAAAAGTGAAATATTTCTTTTGTATAACTATTTTCTCGTATGTATATAGGACGAGTCAGACATTGGACAAACATGTCGGTGATTCTACGGACAGTGATAATGAAGAAAAAGAAGGTAGGATTTCTATAAAATTAAAACCAAAAAGTCCAACAAAAATAAAGTCAATAATATATATATGTATGCATAGATGGTGAACTCGAAGAGGGTGAAGTTGAAGAAGAGTTTGATGAAACTCCTCAACAAAAAGATGGTATGTATTGAAAAAGAAATGAAAATTTAAAAAAAAACCCTTTTTATACCTACAGATGCCAAGGAAAATAATCGTGAAAATAATAGTGCAAATGATTCAACCACAGAACAAGATAGTTCAATTGATATGAATAATCATTCAAATATGGGCTCACAAAAATTTCGACGCCGTGAATATCATCATCATCATTTAGGTCAACAACGTTTAAATAATACCGGAGGACAACAAGATAAACGTAATAAACATGAACAACGTAGAAAAAGACGTCATAGTGGCGAAGAACGTGATGATAGAAATCGAAGACCATTTAAAGTATGAATAATTCTTATAAAAAGCAAAAAAAACAAAGCGTTTATTTATTTTTTCTTATTCTAGCGTGGAAGATTTCGTGGTGGACCACTGCCAGATTTAAATGAAGATGGTGACGAAGATGATATGATGGGTCCAACCTGGCCACCGAGAGGACCAAATCGCGGTCAACGTAAGCAACAGTCTGATATAATGTCGAATGAAAATTCTGAAAACACGGAAACAACGGATCAACTTTCATCGATAAATCCATTAATGGAATCTAAAAGTGAACAATCGATACCAAGTGATGAAACAACATCACCCGTAAATGATACAAATGATGATGAGAATATAAATACAGATGAGAAACAAGATCGTTCAAATCGTTCAAGATTATCAAGAACAAATCAACAGCAAAATCCTATGAATATTGAAAATCGCGGTAGAAGATATTATGATGGAAACACAAATAGTAATAATAATAATCCGAATAATCGTCGATCCAATGATCGTTCATCATGGCAAGATCGATCGGGTAATAATAATAGTGGAAATAATTCAAATTCAAATAATAACCAAAGATTTCGATCTGATACTGGATCATCAACAAATCATAATCCACCATTATGTAAATTCTTTGTCGAAAATCGTTGTATGAAAGTAAAGATATTCCACTTGAAAGAAAGTACAAAATTTCATTCTTCTTCTTCGTTTTCTAGGGTAATGAATGTCTGTTCAGTCATGATTTTAAACCACAAAAGAAAATGGAAGTATGCAAATATTATGTTCAAAATAAAGGTTATTGCCAAAAAAACGATCTATGTCCATATTTACATGGAGAATTTCCATGTAAATTTTTTCATACCGGTACAAAAGATTGTATGCAAGGTGATCGATGTAAATTTTCACATGATTCAATAGCCAATGATGACATTCGTTTTGCCTTTGAACGAGTATGCAGTTTTATTCATTCTTTTAGTTTTTACGTTTGCTCTTTAGTTTCTCAATGATTCCGATGAAATGAATCGACAAAATCGTGCCAATACCAATGCAAACATGCATCATAATACAAATCCTCCAACAGTTAATTTTGATGTTATGAATGCGCCACCACTACCACCTCCGCCGCCTGTTCCTGGTTCTTTGACGGATCCATCGAATTTTCCTATGATACCAAATTTAATGGATTTATTGTTAAGAAATGCTCCGCTTGCAGCAGTGCCAACATCAATGGACACAACTCATACATCAAATACAGAAACAACAGCAACAACCATTAATGCTACACAATCAAGTCCACCTGCTCAAAGGTACGAATCAAAGTTTTGGTTTCTAAAATTTAATTTTCTGAATCATACACAATCGAGTAGAAATATCGAGGATAAAATAGTTAAATTTTAAATTTCTACAATTTGTAATAGACGATCTTTAAGAAAATATCATTATGGACTGTTGATTTCTTATTATCTATACACTAGTCTATTGAGTACATCGTGACATTCGTTGACTTCGATAGATATTATATGACTAGTTAAAAATCATCACAGGATGTGATAAGATTCATGTTTTCAACCAGTTCATGATTCAAAATGATAGATCTTATAACGGATTGCTATCAAAAAAGAACTATCTTCTTATTAGAAGTTCAAACAGATTACACCAAGAGAAAAGAAATATGTCTCGAAATAGATCCGATATCTTTTGTATGTCACATTTTAACTCTACAGGGATTATAGTAATAGGTGTTTTTGTAAAATTATTCTCATTTTACTAGACCAAATCTATTTTCGGATACACTCTCTACTGAAAAAACTGACAACGAAGAATCATTAACAAATAAAATGACGTCCTCAACAACAAACAGTACCAGTCCATCATCATCATCATCTACTCAAAATGCAACATCATCTGTTGATAATACACCATCAACAACAGTTACAACTGTTGCTGCTAGTACTTCTTCAGTGACAACAACTACAACAAATGCTACCTGCCCATTGCCTTTACCACCAGCAACAATGAATAATCCTAATATGAATTTGCCATCACCATTCGGTCGTCTACCACCACCGAATTTAACGCGACCACCATCATCGCTTCTACCACCACCGCCACCACATAATTTATTTCACATGAATAACCTGGGCGCAGGACGTGTACCAATTATGTTTCCAACAAATAATGGTTTACCATTACCACCACCACCACCCAATACATTATATCCTATGAAGTTATTAGGTAAAATTTCTAAAACAAAACATTTATTTATGTACAAAATCTACTATGTCTTTTGCTTTTGTGATTATTTAGCTCAAGCTGCTGCATTAGCCGCAGTTAATGCTGCTGTAGCAACCAATTTTACCAACGCACCACATCATCATCCTCAATCACCAAGTCCTCACCTAGGTCGTGACATTGATGAACGTGATCGACAATCGTCGACAACTATGCGCGGTGATATTGATGAACGACCATCTGATGTTTATAATCGGCCAACGACAAATCTTGGTCATTTACAAGCGCCAACAAACTTAAGTTCTCCGAACCCATCATCACCAACCCTGACATTGACTGATGAACATTTAAAAACAAAATCAATACAAGATATATTTCGTCCACCAAAATCAACACCTATTGATGCATTATCCAATCCAACACCACCGAACCCTACAGTTGGACCATCATTTGACTTTATTTCAATGCTTGAACAACTTAAACAACCAAGACAAATGCAATCTGTGTATGTTGAATATATATATTTATTGTTTCAATCTATAACATCTATTTTGTTTCTAGTGATGCTTCTCATGATTCACTTGAAATCCGTAGCTCATCGAACCAGTCATCTGTTTACATTCTACGCCCAGTACTTGTCTCATTTAAACCATATCAATTACCTGATAAATTAACAGATCCACGTATTGGAAAATATCAAGAAAAAATGTTTCAATGGTCAGAACAAGCAAGATTGGAACGCTTTAAAGTGCCAACACTACCTTCAAACAACTATTCAGTACCATTAAGAATGCAACAACAACAACAACAACAACAACAACTTCAACCACAAACATTGATAAATGATACGAATTCTTCGCGCGATCCACGTTTACTACGAAACAGTGTTACAAGTAGTAAAATCGGTGTTTCAATTCTTCCTACACTTTCAACGTTTGTTCGACCACACGATAATATTCTATAGCGATATATTTTCTTTTTCCTTTTCATTGTTCTATGTAAATGATTCTTCTCTCTTTTCTTCTCCCCGAGTGTATAATCAGTGAGAACTGAGATAGACACGAAGTTATTGTTGACGCGCATAACAATCTTTATGTGTGTGTGTTTCTTTGTTTGTTTGATTGATTTTTAAAAAAAAGAAACAAAGAAGATTTGATTTTCAACTTTTTTGAATTTCTTTTCCACAATGGTTAATTTTTGCTATCTGACTAACATATTTGGATGTTCGCTTGAGGACACTATCGACTATGGAGTAGTATGATTTTACTATTAATAGAAGATATTAACTGACCCATTGGTCAACTTATGTGTTATTGACGGTTAATAGAATGGAATTTATGAAAGCATTAAACGAATAATCGTGTGCATAAAATTGTGGTATTAGTTATTTAAGGTTGTATTTATGCAAAAAAAAACTAATCTCTTGCATGTCTATTAACTACCGTAAGTACAGATAATTTTTATTGTTAATAAAAGTTCTGCACGATTACCTTATTTTATCAACCCCCAGGTCGATCAAAACGGATATCGTTTACGGTCCGTTTTCCGAAAGTAAACGGTAGGAAAACGACATCATTACGGCAGTAAACTGTCCGTATTTTCCCCTAGTACTGGATGCAGTAAGACGGCACTGTAAATGACCCCGTTTTTTCGCCGTATACGATCGTATATACGCCGGATTCTCATTACGATACGGCCGTATTCCTGCATCCAGTATCATGATCGTATACGGTCCGTTTAGATATCGGTTTTCACCGTAAACGGCCGTATTTTCTGACATGGGTCCCCGTAAATCTCTGAGCTCTTGAAATTATTCACAACTTCGTTTACCTAAATATTTATGATTGCAGTAAAAGAGCTTTATTTTGAACTCTATTACTTAATAATCGTTGGCCTACAAGCAGTTTGTAAATTAATTTTTATAATGGCCCAAACAAGAATGATTAATTGGATCACCATAGTCTGCGTAAATAAATATACGAAAAAGTCGCCACAGTTCATTTGTTCAAAACAAAAATTAGAACGTTTACAATTAGATTTATTTGTATAACCACTATGTTTTATCACTGGTACTAAAGAAAATATTTGAATTTGATTTTAAACGTTTATGCTATCAATAGAAAAAAAAATGATTACCCTAAAAAGAATGGGATTCATGAGTATAACAACAAGGAAACTTTTGGTTCGAATTAATTTTTTATTTAGTTCGTTAACCATAGATTCAGACATTTTGAATTTTTGTGCTTTTCCTGTTGGTGTCAGCATAAATTTGTCAACGATACGAATATACTTTGGAATTTAAAAAAATGCTATTTTACCTAAAAGGAATCTGGCAGTATCTTCCGGTTCACATTTTGATGCGTCAAGCTTTAATTTAATCCATGCACATACTTCTTCACCGTGACGTGTATCTGAGATCGAAAAAACTTGTGTTTCACTAACATTTGGATGCTCAATGATGGCATTTTCAATTTCGACTGGATAAATGTTAACACCACCACGAATAATCATTTCTTTTTGACGGCCAATATAAAATAGATAACCATCTTCATCCATTCGACCTTCGTCACCCGTTCGAAGCTAACCCGATGGTGTAATGGCTTCGTTTGTTTTCTGCGTATCACCATAGCTTCCAAGCATAATAGGAAAACCGCGTGCCCAAATTTCACCTTGTTGACCAATATATGATACTGGAGTTCCTCCTCGATCAACGACTTTAACTTCTAAACGTGGCATCCATCGTCTTAATGAAGCAAGACGACGTGCTTGATTTTCATCACTCGCCCAGACTACTCGTGAGAATTGCAGGATTTTCTGTCATCCCATAGAGTTGTGCAGCACGTTTCACAAGAACTTCCATTTCTACTTGACGAAAAAATTTAATACTCATTGGACTGGCTCCTAATCCACAATAGGCCAGTGAAGTTCAATCATATTCTTTTCGATCCGGATGAGCTAATATGTCACGAAAAATAATTGGAGCGCCAATCATAGCCGTTTATTTTTCTTCATGTATTGCACGCATAGTTGCTACGGGATCATACAATATAGCTGGAAAAACCATTTGACATTTGGATGTTGCTACATTAAGTACACCAACGACTTCACAGAAAATATGAAACATTGGAATAGGTACACAAAAACGAGTAAAATGTGGTCCAAGATGTTCAGTTAAACGTTGTGACATGTTAATCATACCGAAATTTGTTAATGTTGCCGCTTTCGCATGTCCTGTTGTACCCGATGCAAAAAATATAGCAGCAAACGAATCCGGAATAACAGATGCGTGTCGTTCATTTAATTTATTATGAGAAATTTTAGCACCATGTTCCAATAGGTTTCTATAGGAATGTATTGGCAAGGATTTTGACGATTGTTGTTTACCAGTAAGAATAATATGTTTTGATGTTGGTAATCGTTTTAATGATAATTCTTTTGTTGAGGATTGTTGATCAAGTTCAGGTACGAGGTGGCGAAATATTGATAATGAATCAATACTTTTAACTGATGATGGTAGAAGAATAGCTTTACAACCTACTTTGTTTATACAATATTCAAGTTTACGTCCTACGTACGCTGGATTTATATTGCCCTGTGAATAAAAAAAATCAGCCTGGGTGAAAAAAAAACTACAATATTCTATGTTTTACTTTGACAAGACCTAATTTTGATGCAGCAAATGACATTGTAGCATTTTTCGATGTATTTGGTAACCAAACAGCAAATCGGTCATTTTTTCAAGACCTAATTCAAGAAGAGATGCAGCTAAGCTATCTATCAATTTTATCTTTAAATGATTTAAATGCATATCGTTTTTGTTCACCTAAACATTTGAAATCTAAAACACAAAACTAAAAAGTGAATATAAACGAGCATATATACATAAACTTTTAAAAATATAACATTCATCATTAGCATATTTAGTTGCTGTTTCATCAAAATTTTGACTTAATGTTTTATAAATAAATGGAAGTGATGATGAATGGTGATAATAATTTGAAGTTAATTTAGTTGATGAAGATGTATTTCGTTTATTAAATTGTAATTATTATGCTCCTAGTTGATCTTGGTCGTACGAGAAGTGTTCTAATAGCATTGATCAACATTTTTACTTCATTCAAAAGGTCAACAAATGTGTGATATATGTCCTACTCTTTTTTCTTTCTCTATTATACAATAAGACAACGCTTATTGTTATCAATTCTAACCAGGCTAGTTAGTATAGATGTTTTTACAGCTATCTTTTTGTTTTGCTAAACTGATGTTTGTCGTATAGTGACATCTGATCTGAAACTGTTTTGATTCGTCGATTGGATACCTGTGACAAGAACATGTGAATCATATTCTTTTGCTTGCGGACACTCTCGAAAAGCTGATTGTCCAAGGAGAGAGAGAGAGGCCGAAAGAAAAACAGACAATTAGTTATACACACTCTATCCTCAATCGCCATTGTTTATTTTTGTTTATTTATCTTGACAGAGGGATCTGACATTCTAACTTTTTTTTTAGTCACTCATATGGATACACCTGATCTGTATTAAATCCAATGTTGAACGATTATTTTTATTCAAATGGGCAATCAAAGTATAAAAGATTCGAGTACACGTGGATCGCCCAATTTAAAAAGTCGTCGTTCACTATCAAAACCATTTCTTAATTTATCCGGTTCACATACAGAATCTCCATTGATATCAACATCATCACTTGCAACTCAGCACACAAATGTTGATGATATATCTATTCATAGTCAAGGTAATTGATGCGTATAAAACAATATATATATATATATTGTTTATCAGTAAGAAATAACTTCATATTTCAAATTCCAACATGAAAAGGGAAGAGAAAAAAAAAGTATTTTTGCTTTTCTTTCAATTTGTTTTCATTTCGACAGATGTCACGAAAAAAATGTTCTACTAGAAATAAATTAAAATTAATTTCAGGTTCATTTCGTTCAACACCTTGCGGTACACTTGCACATATTCAATCTCAACAGAACACGAATGGAAATCTAGATTGTTTAACAGCCGAAAAACGTTGGTTATCACGTGAATTACTATTAACACAATCTGATACAGCATCAACATCATTTCTTGGAAATAATAATAACAATAGCCTTACATCTACAAATTGCCCATTACATCATCATCGTTCAAATGTAACCAACGATGGAATCTATATTGCTTGTTTACCGTTCAATGCCAGTGATGATAAACAATTATCATTAGCAGTCGGTGAACATTTAACTATTATTAATTATCATGATAGAAATCAGGATTGGGTTGAAGTACGTAATAGTCAAGGTCAAATAGGTTGGGTACCACAAGTATTTATCAAGCCATTATCATCATTAGATAGACATTCTTGGTTTCATGGAAAAGTTTCCAGATGTGAAGCAGAATATTTATTAACACAAGGAATTAATGGAAGTAAGTTATCCATTTTTGACATTTAGGTGTTAAGAAAACAAGTTTTATTAAATAACGGAGACGGGTATTTGACACTTTTGCGAAAGAAGAATCGAGTCTAGCATTTTCGAATACACTAGTGTAACTATTGGATATATGACCAAAAAACAAAATTAGCTGCTACATTTTATTTTGATAATTATATATATATATTCGTTTTTGGTTTTTTTCAATTAATTTTGTTCTTTCTCTTGTTCAAGGTTTTCTTGTCCGTGACAGCGAAACTGTTCCAGGTCAACTATCCATTAGTCTTCGATATGATGGTCGCATCTATCATTATCGTATAAATACCGATGAAAATGGTCAATATTATGTATCAACTGAATTACGTTTCGCAACGTTACAACAATTAATTCATCATCATTCAATCACAACTGATGGCCTTGTTCATCTACTACTTTATCCAATAAATAAACATAAAATTCAACCAGCACTATTTAAAATCGATGATAAATGGGAAATTCCACGATCAGAAATCGCTATGAAACAAAAACTAGGCGGTGGACAATATGGTGAAGTTTACGAAGCATTATGGAAACGTTATAATAAAGTTGTTGCTGTTAAAACATTAAAAGAAACTATGAGTCTACAAGATTTCTTAGAAGAAGCTGATGTTATGAAAGATTTAAAACATCCAAATCTTGTTCAACTACTTGGTATATGTACACTTGAACCGCCATATTATATTATAACTGAATTTATGCCACATGGGTGTTTACTTGATTATTTAAAACGACGGCCTCGTACAGAATTAACATCAACTGTTCTAATGTATATGGCTGGACAAGTTGCTTCAGCTATGACCTATTTAGAAGCAAAGAATTTTATTCACAGAGATTTAGGTAAAAGTATAAATTGAATTAGAAATCATTTTTTTTTCTTCTGTCTTCGGGATATTTAGCTGCACGAAATTGTCTTGTTGGAGATAATCATGTTGTAAAAGTTGGTGATTTTGGTTTAGCTCGCCTTGTTAAATGTGAAGATCATTATACAGCTAAACATGGTGCAAAATTTCCAATCAAATGGACCGGTAAGAACTAAGAAGATATTCTTGTTTTTCTAAATTAACATTTTTTTAAATTTGTTTTTGAAGCACCGGAAGGATTAGAACGCAATCAATTTTCAACCAAATCAGATGTATGGAGGTAAGTTAAAAATGAAATGATTTTCGAGTACATTGCTTTTTATCAAAGGAATTCTGTCGGTCTATGAAAGTTTTCTTGAATCACATTAGATGTGTAATTTACGTGTGAGAAATATTCAAATGCTATAATTTCTATTTTAGCTTTTCAATTCTTCTCTGGGAAATTGCCACGTATGGTGCTAGCCCATATCCAAAAATAGAACTTTGTCAAGTATTTGATCACCTTCGAGTAAGTAAAAATTAAAAAAATAAAACCGATCATTTATATACAAATAATTATTTTGTTTTTCAAGAGTGGCAATCGAATGGAACGTCCACCTGGTTGTCCATTAGATGTATATAACCTAATGCAGAAATGTAAAGGATTAAAATTCAATAATTATATTTTTAAATAATTAATCGATTTTTTAGGTTGGAGATGGAATCCTGATGAAAGACCAACATTTAAAGAAATTCATGCTGAACTCGAAAGTATGACTACAGTTGGCTTTAATACACAAGAAAATGGTATGTAGTATTTTTTTCAAATCAAAATTGATTAACAGAAAGTTTACGTTTAGGTGCAACAAAAATTCTATCAGCAAATGAATATTGTTCGAATGGCAATCGACCTCGAACGGGTCCATCACTTCCACCGCCTCGGCCACCAGCTCGAACATGTTCATTTTCTAGTGTTACATCTCCTCCCCCACCACCACCACCTGCTACAGCTCATCAATCAATTCTAGCGCGTTTTCTTCCTTCACCTCGTCCAAAGATGCCAACTGATCAACAGCCACAACAATCAACTATTACCGAAGAATCACATGAACAAACTCTACCAACTATTATTCATCAACAACCGTTACGTGATCGACCACGAAATATTAATCCTGAAGCGCGCCTATCAACATTCAGTAAAAAACAAACACCAGTACCAATAACTACTCCACTTCCAAATTCATTTTCAACCACTACATTTGCCGGACATAATCATTCATCAACTACGACGAATGGTATTGAACCATTAAATAATGTTGTTTGTGATAGTGTTCAACGTTCAACGCCAACATCGAAATCTAATCGAGATGGATCAATAAAATTAAAATCGAATAAAAAAGCTTCTAAGTAAGCAAAATTTTAATTTAAAAATTTTTTCCATAGTCGTCATTCCCCTCTAGAGCAAAATCGAACGTATCCATTGATAGCCTTACATCATCATCAAGTACAAATTTAACAGAAGCAAAAACTCCTGAACATCAAAATTCATCGTCGACTTCGTCATCAACAACACCTGAATTTTGTCGTATACATCTTCGACAAACAGTTAATGTATCAAATTCGAAGAATTCTACTGAATCTGAATCTACAAGTGAATCTGTTCCATCGTCCGTTGGTATGGCAATACGTTTATTTTCTGAATATGCATCAAGTCGTTGTCAAGATACAAAAATGAATCCAACAATGACATCATCAGGAAATGAACAATCAACAGATATAGTACGTTCTCTACTTGAAACAGTTCAATTATTAATAAAATACATTCGACAAATACAAAAAAATCGTCAAAGTAAATTCATTATGTCAAATTCAACAATGACCATTGATGATAATGAAATTATAAATGGAAAAAATCTATCAACAACACCAACAACAATCACATTAGTGAATGATTTAAATTTATTCGGTGATCGTTGTTTAGAATTATCAAAAACAATTTCACCACAAGTAGCTTTTAAATTACGTGAACATATACAAAATATAAAAGATACATCTAAACCATTATTTGATAATGATGATAATCGTGAAGAAACGAATATCTTCTCACAGATGACAAGAATTCTACAAGATATTAAAATAATTCTCGACAAATTATAAATATTGCTTTTCGTATCTGTATGAATGACATTTTTGTATATTTGTTCTAAGTCATTTATTATTGCTTTATACTGCAATCATCTCTTATTGTTTCTATTGTTTTTGGTCAGATCATCTTGCTCTTATTCTTTTCTTTTTTGTTTGCGTCTTGTGCATTATCATAGTTGTTGTTCTTCAGGGATATTTAAATCTTTAGGCTTACGTTAGAGATCTTTTTTTTGGTCAGTTCTTTCTTTTTTCATTTGCTATTTTTTAGCATGCATTCATGAATGTATGTATAAATGTTATTAAATCGTGTTTTCCTTTTCTTTTCTGTTTTTTTTTTTGATGTGCTTTCAATATTCACTACTGTGTTTTTTCCATATGTGTGGCGCAATCATCATTGTCAAATCTAACTCAAACATGCGTTTCTTTTTTTTCTTCGGATTAAAAAACAAACATAACATGAGAAATTTTGTCTCTATATATAAAGAAATATTTGTTCATTATAGTGTCATACAGGATTTGTCACAGACCAAATATCATCAAGGAGAATCATAATTTATAAAGAATAAATATTCCATAGAACAAATAAATGTCTCATTCTTTTCGCTTTATAAATAAAAATAATTTCTTTTTTCTAATTTTGGATATTGAAATCTCTTTATTATGTCTATTTATCGGTATTTATCAACGACAGCTAAGTCAACTAGTAAAATTTTTCAAGCACATTCTTTTTCCGAAGTTGTGAAACAATTTTCCAAATTTTCTTCTCATGATGAACTCATCGAATATTCTCAACGTCCTATTGACTATTGTTATGCAAATCGTATGATAGAAACATGTTCTTCAACTCATGCAACACCATTCTGTCTAATAAAATCAGCCGAAGATCTTCATAATCAATTATTAGTTCGTATAGCCCATTGCATCAGTTATTTTCAATCATTACCATTTTTACCAGCTGCTAATCCAACATTATTATCATTACATGATCGTTATTTAAAATTATTTGAATCATTAGCAAATTTCGATGCGATAAGAACAGATCAAGATGAAGAAAAATTCTTTAATTTTATCAATATGTTTATGTTACAAAATAATGACATTATTGGTCAACTATCAATTGGTTGTCGTGAAGCACAAAAGAATTTTAAATCCTATAAAATTATGAAAGAATTTCTTGATAATGTCCTGCAAAGTCGTCTATCGATGCGTTTACTTTCTGATCATTATCTTGAATTGCATAAACAATTAAGAAATAACATTTCAAATAAAAATTGGTGTGGAGCTATTTGTTTGGATTTCTCGCCAGCCAAAATTGTTCAACAATGTCTTGATGATGTTTCGTCCATTTGTTTTGATACGTATAGTGTTGTTCCACATGTTAAAATAGAAAATCTTATGACAAAACCTATACCTTATTTTCCTTATGTTGTTGAATATATTTTACGCGAATTACTAAAGAATTCCATGCGTGCTGTAGTCGAATATAATAAAGTTTTACTGGGTAATATGCAACATGTAAAAAAGTATTTTGAAGAACGTCGAGACGATGTATTGTGCAAAGTTTTAATTACATCAGATCCTGATGATGAACATTTTACCATTGCAATTCAAGATGAAGGTGGTGGAATCGATGAAACCAATGAAAAATTATTCAGATATATGTTTACCGGTAAATAAACTGCAAGAGTAATTTTTTTGCAAAAGTGACTTCGAATTTGTTTCTTGATTAAGGTGATATAAAAAAAGAAGAAGAAGAAGAGGAAGAAACAGATGTGATAGCTGATTTTCAAGAACGTATCATACAGTCGTAAGTCTTAGATTTTCAATATGTTTATGCATAGAAGAAGGCAACAATAAATTTCTAATAATTCTTTAGAAATAAACAAATGTATGGCCATGGAATAGGACTCCCGATTTGTCGCCTCTACGCTGAATTCTTCGGTGGTTCTTTGACATTACGACAAGTATCACGTGTCGGTGTTGATGTTTATCTTCGTCTCGGATTTATTCATACAAATTCTGAACGTATAAAGATCTGAAAATAACTTTTTCTAGCTTAGTGTTTTTTTTACGACACTTTCTCATGGAATAAAAATTTCTTGGCGCCTTTGTATCATTTATGTCTAAACTATAAATAAACAAAAACACGAATGACTGCTGTACAAAGAAAATTAGGTCGACGTTATCAAAGATATGTATCGGCAAGACAAACAATTGAAGATAGGGAAGATGATCCAAAAGACATCTGGGCACGTATGATCAAAATGCCCGATGTTGTATCAGCTATGGCTATTGATTTACAAACAAATGATATTTTCCCATTATATGGTCTAAATAATATCGCTCGAAATGATTTGAATACTTTTTGTCGTGAATACATTGAAATGGCAATAGATTTTTCTTTGAATATCGATCCAAGTGATGAAGTTAAAAATTTACGTATACGAAGTCAAGAACGTGAAATTGTTATTGCATATGACGACGGAACTATTTTTGTGATTATACAATCATTATCAAAAGAAAAAAATACTTTATTACCAACGTTATCATTTGAGACATGATTAAGAATAGGGGTTTTTTAATATAAATTGTGTGAACAAGATCCGCATAAAATTTTCCCTTAATCAACAATGGGTCAAAAGATCTTGAATATTAATGATGAAATCTCCTCCTAAGATCATGGTAACGCTAAAATATTTGTTACATGTGCATTTCGTAGCTTGTGATTATATTCATAGGATCGATGGCGTATTATTATCAGAATATTTATTTTACTAGTTCTGAATCTAATTTTACGCTCATTCATTTAATTGATGCAGATCTTCTTTCTTTAATTGTGTAGCAAGTCGCAAGTAGTGTATGCTAAAGCTGACGTGAGTTAGATTATCTTTTGAAGCATCCGAAACTGTAAGGCAACACTAAACTGACTAGAATTTTTGAAAAGTAAATTTTCTTGCAGATTCTATGTTTTTGTAAATAAAGATGACATATGTTTTTAAAGAATGATCTATAATATAACAAAGCGATCTTTGAATATGCTACACGCAAAAAATTTGTTGCATAAGCGTCTACACTTAGAAAATACTTGTGCTACTACGTCGTGAATAATATGAAAATGGTTTAAAGGCCTGTTTTTTCTTTTGAAAGTTCACCATTATCCGGAAATTAATATTCCATCGTCGTTTCGTTCCAAATTAATTGTCGTCATTTGTAATAAAAAAGTTCTGAATCATTGAAGTTTTTGCACGAGAAGAAGGTCTAATTTTTACAGTAAAGAAACAATAGATATTCTGACGAATAGTTTCGAATCTAAGATTCATTTCAATATGATACTGATGGTTGTTAGGAAGTATTTCAGACGTCGATGATTTTGAACAAATAATCATAATTTTTAACAAAACTACATCGACATAAATAGAAAGTAAAGGAAGACAAGTTCATAGAACAGCTGCTCGTGTTCATGGCGCAAACATCTTTAGTAATTGTTAGAAATGATGATTAATCTAAACCAATTTTCGAATTTCCTTTTGATTAATGTCAAATTAGTTTAGCTCTGCAGTGTTTCATGCGAGCGCTTGAGATATCGCAGGCTCTCATAGATTAACTGAACTAGTTGCCCATACAAAGCTAAAATTAGATGACTTTTCGAGCATGCGTAGGTTTTCGAGGAGACAAATCTATCGATGAAAACTTATGATTTATTCAAAAAATCATAAATATAAATATCATGAATCAAGTGCTATTCAATTTTAATATTTCAAGTGATAATAAATATGGGTCCGTTGAAAATTTTGTATCCGTTACAAAAACGGATTAGTTTAACAGAAGACTTTCATAATGGCAAAGATCATATTTCATCTATCTTGTTTCTTTTAATATCGAGAAATATTCATCGAGGGTTCAAACTTTTAACTTTTGAAAATGCTATATGAGGAGATTAACTCTACGGAGAGATTCATTTTACTTATCTTAATTTTTAATATGCCTGATATAATTCAATGATTCAAAATTGTATAGGAAAATTTATCATGTTTTTCTTATCACCTAGAGGTTACCTTGGGGAGATGAAGAATGCTTTTTTACTATATATACGAATACGGTCTGTAAAAATAGCTTCAAATTCATTTTTAATAAGGCCATTTGAAATAACAATAGGCATAAAATGTAGCCGCGAATTTTCATTCTTTTCCCGCATTTTATGTTACGTTCTGTCTTGCTTCAACTGACTGACATTAGCAGATTTTATTTTTGCTACTGACAAAATCCGGAATTTCGCCTCAGCACAATCTCATCAAATAATGCTAATTATACTTTCATAAAAGCCATAGATGTGTTAAGAACTATTATTTTTCACCTAAATGCTTCCAAGAAAAAAGAAAAGTATACAAGAGAACGCAGTATAATCCAAAAATAGTAAAGAATCAGTTTCTTCTGCTGCAGGGATTTCAAGCAGCTCTTACAGAGCATAGTCTGCTGTCGTTCGACCGCACATGTATATTATAAAATATAGACTTGTAAGTTGCTATCAAATAAATTAACGTATGTTTCTTTTTTGTTTTTATTACGAAGTCTATTTTAGTCAATAAAAAAAAAGAAATGATTTTTTCGAGGGACGCATTTACCCGATGCGTTGCTTATGCAAATCCATCGATCTACATCCTCGAATGCACACCTATCAATATTCTTCTCGATACACAGATTCGAAGCGTTTAGCTGCTGATATTTTAGCAATAAGATGATTTTATTCATGCTCATAATCAATTATTCGTGTATAGTCAAAAGAAAAATGATATAGATTATTCATGATATTTGCATTCATGCTTTTAAAGAAAAGCATTCTTCATAGTGTCTCCATACTTTAACAATACTTTGCAGCTTTTATTCTTTCGATTTTTAATTGAAACTTGATTCAAAATTGGATTAGAATGCAATAGAATGATAATATTTTAAAAAAAAGTACACTACTGAGAATTAGTTCTGCACATTTATCAGGATAAACTTTTCTCGCTTGATCTACACATATTTATGTTTGCTTTTATTTTTGTCACCAGGATTGCACTTAATAGAGTTTCGATTTATAAATATATACGAAAATTTCATTCTTTCACAACAGGTTTTATTAATAATTAAATAAATTCTCCCCTATATTTTATTTTGCGATAATAAAGGCAAATTCAATTATATTTAAAGAGTCTTCTGCTAGTAAATCATATTTTAATTCATGCGAAAACAAAATAATTTTTCTTAAATATTATCGTGATGAAAATAAATATTAGTTTATTTTATTTTTATTGATAAATGAACTCATGTTAAATATCTTGTAAAATAGCGGCATCTGAGTTCTTATAATTGCTAGAAAACTTTACTCATAAGCCATAGTTACCTAATCGAGTATGGTAGACAACAAACGCAGAAAAAGAAAAAACCTTTCTTTTTTCCTCGTTCTTTAATATTCAATTAAAGGAATATAGAAGAAAAACAGAGAAGATGAAACACTTAGATCTACACTGGAAGAAAAAAATTGCACATAAGCCGTTGAGTTTATGACAATATCGTCTCATAAATCGAAGAACAAAATGAGTCTTTTTTCTACCTTCAATGACTTATCATATAAACTATTGAAGTTTAGTTGCTAGGTGAACTGGTGGTTGAAGCGACGGAAAGAGAAAAAGAACAATGTGTAGATCTCAACGCAAACAAATGATAAATCATGTTTAAATACAACATACATTACTTTGTCAATAAAAAATTTCTTCTTTATTATAGATCTAATACGTAGTTTGTTTTTATATGAATGGCTGTGATAAGTTTTGGTTCAACAGTTGATCTAGCAGCAGGCCAACGCCGTAAAAATGGATTATCGTTACCACTTCATTATATACAATTATTGGGAATAATTTTTATGGTGTTTCTTATTCTAATGAATTATTTGACTTTATGCGTAAATATTCCTACACATCCATGGCAATGGTTGAGTATTGTTATTTCATCGGTGATTATTCTTCCATTTGTAACTATGTTTATTATAATAACTTATTTGGATCCAGCTGAAGACGCAGTGTTAAATTTACATCGCGGACCAAAAGCTAAGTTTGATCGTCGTGTACATGAACATGTTATAACAAATCTTTATTGTAATATATGTGAAGTACAAGTGACAAGTAATGCAAAACATTGTTCAGCATGTAATAAATGTGTTTATTCGTTTGATCATCACTGTATATGGCTGAACACGTGTGTTGGAGGAAAAAATTATCGAATATTCTTTTCAATGTTAATATTTATTGTGATAGGAACATTTTTTATATTCATAAACAGTTTACTTCAATTTATTGGTACATTTCAAAATTCATCGTCAGCGATTAGTTTAAAACCTTTTTATAGCACAGGTAAATATAAGATCTATTCTACTGTCTTTAATACAAAAGAAATCGGATCCTCCATCCATCTCTTGATTAAACTATAAAATAGAAATATTAAAAGGTTTTCATAGTCTTTATCTTTAAGAACTCTTTTTTTCATTAGTTTACTCATCAATTGATGAAATATGATGTTTGAAATAGAAAAAATGATTGGAACACTATGTCAATAAGAATGGCATCATAAAACTTCTATAGTTTCTGTTGGAAATAATAGCTGAAATTCTTTTATGGATGTAAATCAAAAAGTGTAAACATTAGAACAAAAGAAAAATGAAGTGTTGCCCTAGGAGAATTGGAATATGGCTTATGACAAAATAAAGAATATATAAATTTTGAATTGTGTTCACTTAAGTAAAAGAAGAAAATGGGCTTTTTATTTTAATAGGATTAAGAAACTACTAACCGTGAATAATTCATCAATAAAATAAAATACGAATAACTAGATTCTTTGTCTTATACCATATATAGCATTTTCTTTGAAAATGGTCATAAAAAGAATATTGTTTAATGTTAACGAGTTCCTTTTGTCATGTAGTATACTTCTACGTAGATAAGAACTTATCATAGAATCATATATCGATTAAAGGACGGGGGTGGAACATAAGTGGCTAAATCGACCAACTTTTAATTTATCATAGTCTCATGTACCATTCGATGTAGGATAAAAAACTGAATCGTTTGGTACCAAATTCAACCTGATTTGATTCTATTCGAGTGATTTAGACCTCGAAAATTGATCTAAAAAAGACATATATTATTGATTACCATTTCATGACGATATCTCTGTAATCCGATGTCATAGTGACTTGNCGATCAAAAACGACCGTAAAGCACCGTATACGGCACGGAGATTTACGATTGCAATACGGAGCCATGTAATACGGCCAAATACGGCGATTTACCGTCGTATACGACCGTGTATGTTCGACCTGGGGAATGTACAATGAACTTCTGAGTTTCGATTTTCCAGCTGATGAGAATGATAACAACGAATTCAAGAACAGGTTAGATAATAATTTGAACACAGTCTCTCTCTCTATTAATATATATATGTATAGGTGAATTTAACTACAGTTACTTTCGACCAAGAAACACAAACTGACAATGATTTAAGTATCATCATCATTCCGATAAATCGGACTTCAAAATCGCACGAGTAATTCAGCATTATAGAACTTTCTTTCTATCATAAGTCCATATTCATTTTGTAGAACATGTATTGTATGTCAAAAAAAATTCACACCTAAAGTTCATGTGCTTTCAGAGCACCAAAGAAATTATGTTTTTCAAGCATGGTATTATTGTACCATCTGGTGCACGATGTTGTCATGATCATTAATATAATAAAAATTTATCACATGACTCTATTCAACAAATTTCGGCTTCTCAAGATGCAAAACTTGTATAAAATGTAGAGGATGTTCAAAATATTTTACTCGACATGCGTTCTGTCTTGACGAACATTAAAACATTCGATGTTGATGATTACACTAGTATATCAGATGAGTCTTATGTCAATTTAACTGAACTTACAAAAGGTATTGATCTTTCTAATGTTAAAAACTTAAAATAATAAATTTTAATTAAGAACAATTTGAGAACCTCTTGGGTTATATTAAACATATGTGAGACTCTAGAATCCGATCTGTTCGTGTTGCACTTGCGATTGTCCTCGTCAAAATGCGGCTAGGCTTCAGTAATCGTGTACTTGCAAGTTTATTTCATTTAAAAAACAAACGAAGTGTTTCTTATACAATTCATTCTGCTCGTCTGACTTTGATGAAAAATTTTACTCATCATTATATTGGTCTGCAGCATGTTGATCGACAAACTGTTATTGATCATCATCAAACATCTATTGCCTCAGAACTGTTTACTACTACTCCTGATCAGCTTTGCATTTTAATGGACGGTACTTATATTTACATTCAAAAATCTAGTTATTATGAAATGCAAAGACGAACATATAGTCTTCATAAACACAGACATTTAGTGAAACCGATGATGATTACTCCAAGTGTAAGTTTTTTTTTGTTAATGGCGTATTAAGAGACGTTGGGGAAGTTAGCACAAGATTCGAGTTTTTCCAGCCCGGTTTTGCCTATATGGTTGTGTTGAATTTCATTTTCGTTGTGTTGGATGCAGAATTTTGCGCTGAATCGAATGGTGGAATTTTTAAAGGGGGTTGCCCATCAAAATCTGGCACTTTACCTGGAATTACTGCTTTTTCTGAAAATCTTGTAGAAGTAATTCCAACCCGGATTCGCTGCTTTAGCTGTTTTGGTTCTGGAAATGGTTGTGTTGAATTCAGAATGAAATTCTGCATCGAATGATGCTAAACTTGTATGGGGTCATCGATCAAAAAATTTCTGGTCTCACCCAAGTCATCCCTCCAAATCTATATTCCAGCCCCACCCAAGTCGAAGNTAGAGAGAGAGACTGTGTTCAAATTATTATCTAACCTGTTCTTGAATTCGTTGTTATCATTATTGAACCATTTCTTGCCGACGGCAAGAAGAATGATGCATCGATTGCTAAAAATATACTGTACAATAATGACCAGGCAATTTTGAACTGGCTGCACGACGATGACATCATTATGATCGACAGAGGATTTAGAGATGCAGTAAAAACGATTGAAATGTTTGGTTTTCATGCAGCTATGTCTCGTTTCTTAAACGGAAGCAAGCAGTTTTCTACAACTGATGCTAATTATAGCTGTTGTATAACTAAAAGTCGTTGGGCTATAGAAAGTGGTTAGTTCTAGTCTTCTTTCTTTTCACACTTAGAAAAACATTTAATTCTATAGCTAACGGAAAAATTAAGCCATTTAAATATTTCAATCAAACAATTCAAAACTCTATTATTCCATCTGCTAGTGATTATCTTCATATTGTATGTGCAATTGTTAATGCTTATCTTTCACCTGCTATCAGAGATCCTGTTAAAGGTAAAGAGATGGCAATCGAAATGCTAAATCTTTTCCGTTCTGACAATCCGTTACAAAAACGAATTGCAGAGCTCACTGATATTATATGGAAAAAATACAACGCAAAAATGTGTGTTTTTCCACTTCTAACTACCGAAGATATTCAGTGACATTGTCTTGGTATGAAGTCATTTCGGTATTTTTACTTTAGATAGTAGTTTAGTAATATTGGTAGGCAGTTATCAAGTTCGGCAAGCAAAAAGTTACATTCTCGAACATTTAAAGCGCTCTGAACTTGATCCTAACGATCTCGAATTCACGGTTGAATTATGTGAACAGCATTCTGATCTTATTCGAATACGTTTCGTATCAAGACATTCAACTAATCAGAATCACTTGGCTACCGTACAATTTGACACTTATCAGGACGAACCCATTCAAGGGTGGTACTGCACCGGTCATACAGGTGCACGGGTTGTAGGCTGTTATGTTCACATTGCAGCCCTTATTTGGTACCTCGGCGTATGCCGAGCGGAGTATAACGACAAAGGTCATTCTCTTTCAGCACAACATCTTTTTCAAGTCGTCGAGAATTATTTGCAATATGCGGAGAAATAGACACTGATGATGAAGAAGAAATTGAATCCAGATATTATTTGGCTACTGATCAGAGTGATCAAAGCTCGGACTATTCAGATAATTAGTTTTTTGTAGTTTTTTTAAAGTTGATTTTTTTCTCATAATAGGAATTCATTGGTATACAATTAAAAGTAGTATGAAAAACACATTATAAACTGTTTTAATAGCCGATTATTCCAACGTTCAGGGGTAATGTTTGGACGAAAAAAGAATATTTCTGATGTTTGCTTCTAATCGAAAAAGAAAGATAATTAAGTGTTGTATTTTTAGAGGTGAAATAATTGGCGAATTTTCATACGAAAGAAGTTATATAGTAAATATTGTTGATGAAAGCTGTACTAAGATCAAATTTCAGACATTTAACACTAAATGATAGTTGAATTTCAATTTTTATTTGATGCAAAAAGCAATCGTCTTACTTGATAATGAAAAACGTGAAAAAATCAGTGAATCTACGATAGTAAGTGACTTAGAAAAAAACTGGTCAAGAAATAGTACTTGTCAAGCTCTATATATATATATATATATATACATACCGACTTCAACGGCTTTTGATAAGTCTCAGTAGTCGAGACAAGCATTGAAAAAATCATATTAGTTAATAAACTTGATAATTTAAAGATACTAAAAACTTCAATTGATGGACTTATACTTAGAGTCATTGATACAGAATTTAGCGCTCTTTCTAACGAAACAAACAGCAAGTCACTATGACATCGGATTACAGAGATATCGTCATGAAATGGTAATCAATAATATATGTCTTTTTTAGATCAATTTTCGAGGTCTAAATCACTCGAATAGAATCAAATCAGGTTGAATTTAGTACCAAACGATTCAGTTTTTTTTATCCTACATCGAATGGTACATGAGACTATGACAAATTAAAAGTAGGCCGATTTAGTCACTTATGGGACCCCGCCCTGTAAAAAATAACTTCATAAAAGGAACGCCTTTTTTTTTTACAAAACTCTATTACCTATTTATAGAAAATAGGATATTTTGTGCGTGTTTTATCAGGAATTTTTTTCTATTATCCTTACGGGTATTTCTCATTCAAGCACTTATTTCATTAAAAATAGGATCTATTTATTTATATATAAATAACCTCAATTAATCCTCAAGATGTGCTGCACACGAATGTTAAAACATAATGAGCTGTCTGCATGATCTTTTTGTGGAATTAATTGAACTGGAATTTTTTAATCGTTTCATAAGAATTTCTTATGAAGTAAATTTCTCTTTTTTCTAATCGTAGAAAAAGTAAATTTCTTTTTGAACATCTAACTATACTATTTAATGTTTGCTGCTGATTGCAGAGGTCAAATTACGTAGATATTATCGACGGATCTGAAACTAAGTATTTTGTTACTAAACAATCAAGTTTTTTTGTTGTTTAAAGATTGAATTTCTTGATTTTGTAGTATGCGAGGGCTATTCAAAAATCATTACAACCATAGGATTTCTCCTAAACTACTGTTATGAAAGAGGATATTGTAAGAAGATACTGCTTGATATAATACGCTAAGAAAATTATCCCTCTATAATCAAGAAGGTATAATAATACTTGAATCATGATGATTTAAATCTTATAACTTATGTTCGAGGATTTATCTTTTATCACATGTATAAAGCAAGCCTTCAAGATTAATAAAGATTGTTTTAAGGAACACTAGAAGACATATCATTAAAGTATAAAATGGCTTCCTGTTCTTAAAAATATTTCTTTTATGACTGGATCGATCTACAAGGTTTCTACGAATAATTACATCGTAACATGACAATATAATTTTATTCAAAAAACTAATTCTCTATACAAACTGTTTTATTATCACAACTAGATCAATATGCCATATTAATGATTCCGTCATCAAAAATTGCATTTCAAATTATCTCTGCCACAATAGCTGCTATTTCTCTTGTTGCTTTTGGAATGACTGGATATCTTTTTGCCTTTCATATTTATCTATGTAAGTTAACACCAAAAATCCAATGAAAATATTAATACTTTCTTTGTTTTATAAGGTTATAATCATACAACTACCTATGATTTTGTTGTTAGTCGACGACACAATCGTACAGTTGATCAAACTCTATTGCAATTTAATCAAATAAACCGAAATAAAAATAGTGAATTACAAGATACAACAAGGCAATCGTCAAATTTTTCGAAATTCTTCCCTCTCAAGGTTCATTTCATAGTCAAGATTTGCTTGGTTTCGATTTCAATTTTCTTTTTATCGTTTTTAGAGAAAAAATAATAGAATTTCAAATTCAAAAGGTCAAGAGTCGAACCAAACGGCAAATGAAAAAATATTTACTGTAGAAGAAAACGTATGAAAAAAACAATCTTGTATCATTAACAAAATCTATTTATCGATTGTTAAAATATCTCTAGAGTCACACTCCACGTCGTGTACAAGTCTGTCAAAGTACAAATCAAGAATCTTATATTATTAATGGTTCTTATCAAGGAATAGATGAACGCAATCCTTAGTAATTTTATCCTTCACAATTAATTAAGTGCTTTAAACAATCATCTATTTCGACAGTGGTGTATTATTGTATCAATCAATAATGTATTTATTTATTTTTAAATACTCCTGTACTTTTTGTTATTTATTAAAAGAAAAACAGAATATGTTACTTTAAATTATGTGAATAAAAAAACCTACAACTTCTATTGCTCTATTTTGTTATAGATGTCACAAAATCAATTGCTTTTCTTTGATGCCATTGAGAAGGGACACACTTCAATAGTACTCAAACTTCTACGAAATCAGTTCAATATAAACGTGAAGGATATCCATGGTAGAACGCCATTGATGATTGTCAGTTGGATTTTTATCATTTTTATGAGATGAAAAACAAAAGAAAACATTCATTGAATTTTAGGCAGCTAAAAATGGCCGACGTGATATTGTTAAGATTTTATTAGATTATGTCGGAGCAGCGAATATTGAAGCGGACATTGGTGGAAAGACAGCACTACATTATGCAGCTGAAAATTCAGAGCTATCTGTAAGTATAATCGATTGTGATTAAGTAAAAAAAACTGGCTGAAAAAAAACAAATAATTGTAGGTAGTAAAAATTCTATCGAAACATCAATCTGCGTCGATGGCTATGAAAACAACACAGACACAACTTCTACCACTTGATTATGCTCTTGGCAATCAGAATATTTATGCACCATTGAATAAATACAGCCAAGGTCGACAAGTGAGTGCCGGTGAAACTGATGATGATGATGATGATGCTCCAAAAGCTGGTATTTATGTAAAAAGCACGAAAAAAGGTAGTGGTAAGAAGAAGGGAGGCAAAAAATCAGGATCAAAAAAGAAAAAGAAAGGTGGCAAAAAGAAAAAATGAGCAAAGAAAAAACTTCATGCGTGAATATTTTTTTTCGTCTACGGTTTTTAGTAAAATTCACTTCCATAGTTGTTTATCTTTGTGTATATAAATACTATTATGAATGAATGTATGCCATAAATTCTTCTTTTATGAAAACAACTATGAAAAAAAATGTAATAAAACTCTTTCTCAATGTTTATTTTCTTTGAATATCCTAATGAATTGTTTCCACTATAACTATACATCAAATTGAACACCATTGTATAGATCTGTTGCAATTAAATATACAATAAACTTTTATTTTCTATATTTAAAATAACAAATATTTGAATTAAAAATTCTTCATCGACACAGACAATGATTGAAAGTAGTCAAGAGAGTAAGAACATGTTACATCTCTTTGTGTAAAACATTTGAAAAAAACGAAGAAAGTTCATTATATGTTTTGATCATTCATAAAATGGATTAGATGAATTCATTCGTATTTAAGAGAAATTAGAATGGGGTAAATTTTGTATTTCTCGCTTCGCCAAGTTTCATCTGAACTTAAACATTTTTTCTGTTTGTGGTTCCGTGTTTAAGTAAATAAATCTTTTTTTTTCTACCTGATCTCACCCGGAAAATATATTATTCGGCAACAACATTAATTTTTTCTTACTACCCTCGATGGATCTCAACCAGATGCTCACGAAAATATTAATCAAGGCAAAATTTCAACAGCAAATAAATAAACACTTATTAATTTATTGGCTTTCTACTTTTTTTTTAAAGGCGATCGATATTTCTTTTCATTAACTTTGTATTCCATCAATCATCGTCATTAGTCAGGAACTTTAGAAAGTCACAAAAAATTATTTTTGAAAAATTATTTCACCAATATGTAAAACTAATATGTAGCACATACAATATTTCTAGTTCAATAAAGTAAAGTGTTTAAAGAAAAAATGAACACAATTAGGATATTCTACAATCCTTTCTGTAGTACTTATCCATATTCGTGGTACATGTTTTGAAGCAAGTTGAATGACCCTTTGATGATATGATTCTTGAAGTTGAAAGAACTTTTTGATACTCTTATACAGATGTCACAGCGACCTACGCTGGGAAAACAAGAATTTCAATAAAAGTCAGAAAGCGATAAAATATATTCTGACACTATTGTTTAGCACGAAGTGCATACAAAAGTAGAAAGAAAGAGTCACGATTAAGAGTTTATACTGCAACACACGTTTTGATAGATCACAATCTGTAGTAAATGGTGAAATATTTGTTGTGTCTTTATCGCGTGAAAACAGCGATATTGAAAGAGGTTTCATATCAAAATAATCATTTTGCATCAGATTATCATGTATCATTCAATGAGGTATCTAATACTGATTGAAGAGCGCTACGAATAATGATGTTCAACTTTTTGGTGGCGAAAAAGATCATAGAGTAGGGAATATAATCCTGATTTATTCGACATGTGGTGATTCCTATGTTTAGCTTTCAACAATATCTATTTTGCTTTTCAAACGGGAAAGAAGTTTATTCAGAATACAAAAAAGATAATGAACAGCAACATAAATTAATTAAAAGTACAGATATTATCAACGGAAACGAGGGTTCAGATACCGAACGTGAACACTTCATAGAAGATGAGTTGGAGAAGAGGACTGCAAGACTTGCTGCAACTATGAACAATAGAATTTCTGATGGTAATCGATACAACCGAAGTGCTGATGACAATTGTTAATGCTGTAGTAGTTACTTCGTGAAAAGATTCTAAAAATATTTTGTGTCAATCTTGCAGAAAGGCGAAGCGAAATAAAAGGAAAGATCATAATTATAGAAACATATTCTTATTCGTTCAAAACAAGAACAGCAGTATTGTGGGCTCCGATTCGACTTACAATTCCTATATTTCAACCGAAGAGTAGTACGGGGATCTTTATATCACTATTCCTCTCTCACCGCTGATCTATTTTTACGGAAAAAAAACTTTTCTTTTAATATATTTGTTAGAAACTCTTGCTTGAGCTTAGATGATGGAAAAAAGTCTTTCCTTATAGCGCATATATCTTTAAGGTGAGTAATATTTCTTTCAATTTTTACGATCATTGCTAATTCAAGGAGCCAAAAAAACGACAGGCTCTGATGCACGGATGCAAAAGATGTCGCTAATATTTGTGCCTTCTTTATATACAAATTCTGTATGGCTGAAAATAAAAGAGACAGGATAATAATTCGATGAATCACGCTTCTTCTTGCAGCTAATAGTACTCCCGTCATAATCAGTTTTCTTTATTATCAAGTAAACTGTAAGCAAGTGATAAGACAACGAAACCATTCCTTCACATACATGAATAAACAAATTTTTTTCTTCATACGAATTCCATTTCTCTAGATAATTACTAAATATGACGGGGCGACTTCCAGCCTGCGTCATTGATAATGGAACAGGTTATACTAAATTAGGTTATGCTGGTAATAATGAACCACATTTTATCATTCCATCTGGTAAATGAAACAAAACTCATAAAATAAAACCGCATGATAACTTTTTGAAAATTTTCTAGCGATTGCTGTTCGAGAACGTCCAGGCGGTAGCCGTATTGGGCAATGTGGCGAAGATTTAGATTTTTTTATTGGTGACGAAGCATTTAATGCAAAAGGTAAATTAAAAAAAGTACCAACTAAATTTTATTTTTACATACGTTTAATATATATTTAGGCTATTCTGTAAAATATCCAATTCGACATGGTATTGTCGAAGATTGGGACCTTATGGAGAAATATTGGGAACATTGTTTATTCAAATATCTTCGTTGTGATCCAGGTTAGTAAAAGCTATGAATTTAAATTTCTCTTTATTAATTTTTAATTATAATAGAGGACCATCATTTCCTTTTGGTAAGATATCGAATATTGCCTGGCAATGAAAAAAAACGATTTCTTGTTTAAATAGACTGAACCACCATTGAATACACCTGAAAATCGTGAATATACAGCTGAAATTATGTTTGAACTATTTAATGTACCAGGTTTATATATCGCTCTACAAGTAAGTTAAATCATTTATTATTTTTCTCAACATTTTGTTTATTGACTAGGCTACACTTGCTTTATATGCATCATGGATCGCAAGTGACGTTAAAAATATGCTTACTGGTCTTGTTGTTGATTCAGGAGATGGTGTTACACATGTCGTGCCTGTAGCTGATGGTTATCTTATAGGGAGTAGTATCAAACATGTTCCAATATCGGGTCGTGATATAACATATTTTGTGCAAACATTATTACGTGAACGAGAACCAAATATTCCACCTGAACAATCACTTGAAACAGCTAAAACTATCAAAGTATGATTTGAATAATTTCTCGTATCGTTTTTTTGTTAATGATAGTTTTTGTTTATAGGAACGTTATTGTTATGTTTGTCCTGACATAGCTAAAGAATTTGCAAAATTCGATGAAGATCCACGCAAAAATTATTTACAATATACAGGTATTAATGCAGTTACGAAAAAACCATTTAATGTTGATATTGGACATGAACGCTTCCTGGGACCGGAAATATTCTTTCATCCTGAAGTATGAAACCTATTTACTGTCGTAAATCGATACTTCACTGTTATTTTTGTGTGTGTTCTAGTTTGCCAATCCAGAATTTAATACATCATTATCCAAATTAATCGATGACATCATTCAAGATTGTCCAGTCGATGTGCGACGTAAACTCTATGGCGTATGTTGAATAATTTGTTTAACATCACGGGCTAAGTTTTTATACAGATCATTACTTCTGCTTCCAATATTATATGTGTATATCAGATAGAATTGCAGATACTGACTTCCACCAGAATATTCATAGACTTTCTATACCTAAACTAGAAGTATTTGATCCTACAATAAAACATAGTGTTTGTATCTCTGCAAATATAGCCTGATGATCAAAATTGTTAATTCATATTTTAATCCTATCGACTTTATTTTAGAATATTGTCTTATCCGGTGGTAGTACAATGTTTAAAGGTTTTGATAAACGATTAAAGCGCGATGTACAGCGATTGGTCGATGGTCGCCTTCGTGAATCTGAAGAGCTTAGTAAACATAAAGTAAAAGTTGTCCTAAACAAAAACAAACAATTTCTTTAATCAAATTATTTCTTGCTAGCCTGAACCAATTGATGTTAAAGTTGTTGCACATGCTATGCAACGCTATGCTGTTTGGTTTGGTGGCAGTCTAGCTGCGAGCACTGTAAGGAGAATCTTTTAAAATAAAGAATTCAACATTACATTTATTATTATTATTATTTTCTTAGCCGAATTTCTACGAAGTATGCCATACAAGGAAAGAATATGAAGAAAAAGGTCCAAGCATTTGTCGTTATAATGCCGTATTTAATCTTGTGTGAACGATTCTTTTTGTCTGTTATTTGCTTTTGTTCTCTTAATCTTAACTTTATACGGAATGAACCTTTTCTATGCCTTTTTCTCTTAAAACTGCCTGGTCTTCCGTCTTCTAGATTTATTAAACTGAGAGAAACAAAAGTAGTATCATTTTTTTTTGTGTGTGTGTTTCATTAACGGATGATCTCGCTTATCTTCTTAACGCTATGTTATATTTATACAACAAAAAAACAAACAACATTTTACGAATAAAAATTAAGCTAATCTTCTGATTTTTAAACACGTAGTTTTCTTTGTAATTTTTCATACGGGATAAGAAATAATTTTTCTTTGAGGATACTTTGAGCTAGATGAAATGGAAGCATGTATTCAATGGAACGATTACTTGACCCGATAATTGTTGGATAATTAATAAAAACATCTGTTGAACTATATATTGGTGCAATATTTACGATTAAATTCGATTGAAATTCTTTGCCATTGATAAGTGCACGAATGATACGAACTATTGTCATTGCTTCAGTCCAATTTGAACGCAGTTTTGTACTGAATGAAATATTCAGTGATTCTTGTAGTTTCGATTTCGAATGTGAAATAGGAGAATCATACAAAAGATATTTCATAGCAATTTTTTGTCGCGAAATCATATCTGTAACAATTGGTAATCGACGACGAACATTTGAATAAACATTTTCTTTGTTTTCCAGAAGTTTTTCTATACTCCAGTCTTTATTATTTTCTTTTTTTAATATGACCGGATTTTCGTTAGTCGTGTTTGTTATATGATTTCCTTTTAATTTCGAATGAATATCTGAACAAGGAATTCCATCAACAGTCACACTATTCATGACTAATTTCGCAACAGAATCATCAATTGGCCCACTGCCGATTACAAAGAAACCATTTACATGACCGTGTACTTTTTCAATATTGTTAAGAATAGTTCTATGGACGTAAGCAGTAGTAATACTTGCACCAAGTCCAATTATACGTTCGGCACGAAATTTACTAACACGTGATGCTACATATGTCATCAATTCATTGGGTTGTGTACAAATCAGCAATGTAGCATGAGGCGAATGAATACACACTTGTGAAACAATGTTTTGAATGAGTGACGCATTATTTTGCATCCATGCTGCTAGACTTTCATTTTCTACAAGACAATAGACATAATTTGACTATTCGAACAATCGCTATTTTGTTCGTTTTTTTTCTGTATCTGAAAAATACGAATGAGCTTCCATCAGATTGTAGTACAATCTTTTGGTCTCTTTCAAAATGATTCAAACATTCACTCATGAAAATGTATACGCACTCTCTAGGAGGATATTTTCATTCTAGTAAATGATTTCGTAGCTTCTATTTCGGTTGCTTTTTTTTGACTGAGAATTTTATTGAAATAGTATTTCCTTGTATCAATTACTATCGAAATCACAAGATTTGCTTCAAACTATACTTAGCCAGTAATGTATTTCGATTCAAGCGAATGTGTAGAATGAATCCTCTTTACCTACGAAAACTTTAATATTTAAAACCAGAGCTAAATTTGCACATAGAAATCTTTGTTGGAGTACTGAATATTATGTATCTAGTCGAACGTGCAGGAGCAATTTTTGTTTCAAAGTACACTTTCTATTGAGTTCTATGCGAATGAGACAGTATGCTATTGCGTATGATATGTTGAAAAATAAATTGACAAAGAATTTTAGCTTATTTCGTAGGATAATTGAGAAAAATATGGTATATGATTTCAAACCTAATTGATAGTGTTGCACATTGATGATGATGATGCTCGAATCTTTTGTTTCCAAATAAGATTGAACTATTTCAAGACGAATATTAGTTCTGTTGAATATAGCAAGCAGCTGAAGATCATTGAGTATCGTACGTGTTTCTTGTTTTTCAAATATATCAAAGAGTGTGATACGTTCGATTGATGTTGAGTGTCCATAGACAAGAAGAGCAGCTACGGTTGAATAAGTTGTTGAATTAATCCCGACAAATGTAAGACGACAGCAATATTGTCTAGTTCCAACAGGGGCCACTCGTATAAAAAGACGATTTTGAGTATTTGGTACAGATGAATTGGGTGGAAAACATGATGAAGGATGTAATTTAGTTCGATATTGTGTGTCATTCATTTTAGCGCTTTTTTCGTATTTCGGAAAAATCAAATATTCTCTATTGATATTGCGAGAAGGAAACTAAGTAGAAATAAAACAATCTGTAAAAATAAACTATTTATTTTCGAAATCTGATTATCAGAATAGAAGTTGCATTTCAATACTGTCTAGTCACATGAAAAGAATTATTTTTCTATTAGATATCGAATATGGGATTCTGTTTATTATCATCCAAAATAATTAATTTCAAGCATTATTAAAATTATGCATTTTGATGAACAAAGTTCATAGTTGCAATTTACTATAAGAGTAACGCTATTCCTTTGATCTACACATCACATCTCGGCTATCGGCACTTTGACTTTTTGAACACATACCAGAGTCTAGAGACATCTATCGCAACGACAGTGTGCGCAGAAATTCTATTGGGTTCACATTTTGAATCTACTCACATCAAAATACACAAAGCGTACAAAGAGAAAAAGGAATATTCTTCCAGCCGTATCGTTTGCGTGTTATTTCACTGCTGTGTTGTAATCAATTCATATTTAAATATTGAGATTGATTTCTAGATTTTCGACTTCAAATACTTTTTTCATATAATTCACCTGTTGCAATCGCATTCTAAATTCAATCATGTTCGAGGTAGGAAACATTTGCTAACGTCTAATATTAAATTGACATTTTTTTTGTTTTTGTCATGTTAAGGCTCGTCTTTTGAACGGTTCTATTTTTGCTAAAGTTATTGAAGGTCTCCGTGAATTAGTCAATGAAGCAACATGGGAATGTAGTAGTAATGGTATCACACTTCAAGCTATGGATAGCTCACATGTTGCATTAGTTTCACTTGTAATGCGAAGTGAAGGTTTCGAAACATATCGATGCGATCGAAATATGAGTCTTGGTATAAGTCTTGTTAGGTATATCTAAAATAATTCAAATAATATATCCTCTTGAATTTGTTGCTTTTATTCTCCAGTATGTCAAAAGTACTTAAAACAATGGGTAAAGATGATTCTTTAACAATACGTGTCAATGACGATTCAGATTCAATTATAATTGCTATGGAATCACGCAGTAAATTTTTTATTTAGAAACAAATAAAATTTTGCATTTGTTTTGTCTTTCTTATTTAGATCAAGACAAATTTGCTGATTATGAATTACGTTTAATGGATTTAGATAGCGAACATTTAGGTATACCAGATACAGATTATTCATGTACAATTAAAATGCCTAGCAGTGAATTTTCTCGTATCTGTCGTGATATGAGTATCATGGGTGATTCAGTACTTGTTTGCACTACAAAAGAAGGTGTTAAATTTTCAGCTAAGGGTGATCTTGGTCAAGGTAGGATCTTTGTAAAATCGTTTCATGTTGATTTCTATAAAAAAAAGCGGTTTGTTTTTCATAGGTAGTATTCGTCTTGTTCAAACGACAAATATTGAAAAAGAAGAAGAAGCAGTTATTATTGAAATGAAAGAAGCTGTTGCACTTACATTTGCTGTACGATATTTAAGCATGTTCTGTAAGGCAGCCCCCCTTTCACCTCAAGTTGGCTTGAGTTTATCAGAAGATACACCATTGAGTAAGTTTTATTTTTATTATTATTACTTTTTAGACATATTTTTTTTAAATTCAGTGTGCGAATTCAAAATTGCTGAAATGGGTCATGTTCGCTTCTATTTGGCACCTAAAATTGAAGACAGCGAAAATTAAACAAAGTAGAATATCAAAAATCATAAGAAAGAATTTTGTCAGATGGATATATTTTATTTTTCGTATCCTCTATTTTTTGTTGCTGTTGTTGTGTAATTGTAAAAAAAATGGCAACGGGTGTAATTTTTTGTTTGTCTATATTGTGTAACGAGATTTGGATGTAGTAGAACTATTTTTTCTTATGAAATTATTTACTAATACATATAATTAATGCTCATGTCTATCTGCCTCGTATTTTCAGATTTTAACACGATGAGTAGTAGTGTAAGTTGATCAAATGATTGTGTTCGAAATGCTAATAGATATATTTTGACCATAGACAAACACAAAGAATATTTCTTCCAAACCGATCAAAATAAATAAATGGGACACAAATGCTTTGAAAAATGCATTAAATGATGCTTGCAAGAAAGTACAATTAATTCTGAAATATTATAAATGTGTCAGTATCTAACTCGTATGTTTTAGTATTTTAAAGAGACTCTTAATTATACAGAAGATTACTCAGTTATGGATCGTCGTCTCTATATTTCACTGATTTCATGCTTGTTCTCATTATATGCTCTTATCTACGATTGGTTTAATCCATTTCCAAAATCTCGTTCAGTTCTCATTGCTTGTGTTGCATCGTAAGAAGAAAAAAAGATTTGAAAATTAAATTTTTCTTCTATCTAGCTATTTCATTATCGCTGGCATTCTGACGTTTTATATGCGGTTTATTGAAAACGGTCGATTTTTTACTGGTAAACTTAGTAAGTATTTTTCGCCATTGTTATTATTATTATTGAATCGAACATAATATGTATTCTCTTTCAGTTGATAAAACTGGTATTGATCCTGGGCAAAAATGTAAAATTATTTCAAAGTTGAAAAAGTAAATCTTTTAAGAACTTTTTATAATAAAAATAAATGCGAAAACCTCGGATTTAAATCCGAGTGTTATGTGTACTTCAAAAAGTGAAAAGGTATATTCACCTTTTTTTTCCTATAAGACATAGATCTCATCAAGATAATCCCTTGTCACTAAATTGCAAGGAGAAAATACAGGCGTGCTAAGTTAGCATGGACCACACTGTATGCGACCATATCCGGTGACCACTGACTCTACTCTTAGAGTGATATAATATCTTTAGAAATCACAGAAANAAAATCCCTGGGCCCCCCCCCCCCTCAGGGTTGGATTGGTCAATAATGACAATTTTTTCGATAACTCAACCATTTCTTGGCGGATCCTTCTCATCTTCGAACTCGACTGAGAGATTAATGAGGCTGACGAGTGTAGAAAATTTCATCATGATCTAACTCTCCTTTCGAGAGTTATCGTGTAAACGGACGGCCGGCCGGACACACTAACCGATTCTAGAGTGTACTCACTTCTTTGAGTACACAAAAATGTTTTTTTTTCTCTTGATAATTTTAGATATGATGATATATACAATTTAACTTTGGAATATTATGATGGTACAAATACATCAACGAGTTCAGTAGAGGTGCTAAAAAAATCAGTAGGAAATTATTTTGATGAAAATGGCGTTTTATGTTACGATAAATATATAAATGATTTGAAAAAGATCTATGATCAAGCACGATCCAATGCTCGTAAAGTTAAATAATCCAATCCAAAGGGATTCTATTTATTGTTTACTACTCTTTTCTATGTTTCTAATAAAACATTTTCTCACATCACATATCTTTGTTTGTTTTTAGTATTTGAAATAATCCTAATAGCGCTGTATTTTCTCGCAATTATTTTAGATGAGTATATCGAAGTAAGAATGAAAACGGAAGTAAACACGATCAGAATAAGTTAATCTTGTTTTACTCAATCTATAAATTTTTGAATAGTCTATTGGCTTTTTTTTTCAAACAATTATTAGCTTAAAGAATCCAGCTAGTCAGAAAAATATCTTCGATAAACATTAGATGATAGTAGCCATATCAGATAGTACACATCGATTACGAAACTAGTGAAATAGATTATTTTTCAATAAGATCATAATATACTTCCAATTGTGGTTTCTTTTTTTTGTAAAAATTTCTATCGAGTACATTTACAAAACAAAATTCATCCCGATTTAATTTCTGTTTCATTCATGAAGAAAATATATAGATTCACAAGGTAAGGTCTTTTTTCACACATTATCTACATGCTACTGAGCTGCGAATAAATGAATATCGCTCAAAATGAAAATTCGTTGCGAGAGTCGGAAATTAAAAAAAGTAGCATTGCGTAACTAATACATAAAATGACGTTTTGTTGAAAAAACATGTATTAAAAAAAACGAGAATGAAAATAAAAGAAAACAAAATTCGTCAGTGCTTATCGAACAGATAAATTTCGTTTATCGATACTTGTCGTAATGAGTCCAATTTTTCCATTAGATGATTCGAATAATTTCGATTGTTGTATCATACCATCACCTTTGGGCATAGACGAAATTAAATTTGATTCTTTCATAGTAACACTACGAGCACGAATCAGTCCCGGTACTGTTTTTAAACTTGAAATAAGTTTAAGTGTAAGACCAATTAAGCAAAATGTTTTAACAAGTATAAATGTCGAACGTGGATCCGTATGAATTTCGAATGTTTCACAAACAACCGGAACTCCTTGTTTATCTTTTGTTGTTGCAAATATATTCGAAAACCAATTTACAATTGTTTCTAGTATTGTATGATTGCTTGCATGCTGAATTGATCCTTGTTTTCGAGTCGTAGCCATCGCAGATTTCGGACATTTCGAAGCGACAAGTGCAAGTGACCGATATCCATGTCGCATCCAATAATATTCACAGTAGGCGCATATAAAGCCAGTAAGAAGACAAATAATAAAGAGTTTATTTGTCATAGAATTTCGTTTTCTTTTTCTGTTTATGATCAAAATAGGAATTAGATGAGTAGAATACTAAGAAGCTAAAGTAAAATGTTTAATCTACCTAGCAACAAGATCAATTCGAATAAGAAAACAAATAATGGCGCGAAAAATATTCGAACAGTTTTCGTTTTATTTGTAATCTTGATTATTTTAGATAAAAATTTTTAGAAAAATATGGCGACACTTAAAAAAAGAATTCTACAAAATATAAGTCAAGCGGAAACAATATCAGAAACGACAAGTCAAGTAATTTTAGATAACGTTTGCCTTTAGAAATTAATATTTAATTTAATTTCACCGTAGGAACCTCCAATAACAGCAATAGCAACCTTAATTCTTGATAATAAAACTCGATCGATACCTACATCTGCTCATAAAGTTCGTGTTGTTGAATATAAAACAACTTATCGTCGTTTTACTGAGTTTATTAAACGTTTAAAAACATTAAAAACACTTCGAGAATATAATGAAATTCTTGCTGAACTTACTGATCGACTTGTTCTCTATCGAAATTGCATTGATGATTGCGCAGCGTAAATTTATTTATTCTGTGAGAAAAAAACAAAATATTTTCTTCGCGATTTTCTTTTTATAGGATATTAGTACAACATCTTCTTGATGCGACTGATCCATTGATTCAAACTGCTTTTCTAAATACATTGAAAATTGTAGAACAACAATATCCAACAAGTTCAATAAAACATTCGAATGAACTGCTTAATTTAGGCAAACAAACAAGTAAATCATTTTTCTTTTTGCTTTCAATTAAAATTTAATTTATTTATGACGCATAGAATCTATTAAAGTTGCAAGTGCTCTATTAAGTTACTTTTCTATATTACCAATGTCATCACCGGTAGACAAAAATGCTTTAGCTCGTTTTGCTATTCAAGTAAATTTGAATGAATTGCTTCTAGTTTTGTCTCTAATTAATTTTATATTTTAGTATTCAACTAATACGCATGTTCGAATACAACTATGCGCATTTAAACTACTGAGTACACTTGGTCGGGTATCAGACCTTGAAGCATCACTTAAAACATCCATTATTAATAAATTACTACAAGCTATTGAACATGATGACGCTCGAGTTCGAGCCGAAGCCTTACGTGCAATGGTATGACACATATATTTCAGTTTTTGTTAAACGTTACTCGAAAGTAGTGCTAAGCTTGGAAGTAGATTTAGTAATTTTCAAACTCAAGTAGTGTGATCATACCCTCCTAACTAAGTCTAACTCTAATTGACGTATGGTAGTAAAACTTTTCACCTTCTCTATCGACTGTGATCAGTTATGACTTTTTGTTGGTACTTGTCGGAGATTATTACAGACGCGAGGTTGAAAATATTAAGAAAGTCTAGATTCAATCTCTATATCAGACCTACCAAACAAAGATAGCACATAATCATGTTTTCTATTCCATTTAGGTAGATTTATTTAAATGTAAAGTGGGTCTTAACTCCAGTTATTACAGTTCATTTGTTGAATGTTTACAAGATTATTATGCTGAAGTACGATTAGCAGCATGTGAAGCATTATTTCTTCTTGGCATTAATACTCCCGATAGGTAATTTTTCTGATCTTTTCGAATAATTTTCATTATAAGCTTCTCGGATTTTCATATTTAGTATTGTTCCATTGGGATTATCAACAGATGAATCTTCAAAATTAATCAATGAAGTATTTCGACTTATTTGTGATTTAACTAATGATGAAGCAAAAATCGTACGAGTACAGGCGATGAAAATGATTGTAATTAGATCTATAATGCTCGGAAGAAGTAAAAATATCTAAATATTTATATCTAGGGAAAATTATGTCGAAATGGCGTTGATATTAATTTAATTCATCAAACACTTGATAAAAAACTGCTAAGAGTAAAAATAAAAATCACATTAATTGATAGCTAATTTATTTTAATTTCGCTTAGATCACGAAAAAGAAAGCATTTATTGCAAAAGTTGAACAATTAGATAGTGAAACCGATGATATCACAGTACACGATGTTACAGTTGACGCACAATCGGCATCAATCACTGCAATAGGTCCATGTGGTGCTTTGATTAGTGGATTGGAAGATGAATATTCAGGTAAATATTAAAAACTTTAGTAATTCCACTGCATGTATGACAGATTTGTTTTTGTGTAGATGTTCGTGCTGCAGCTATTGAATCTTGTTATGAAATATCATGTTGTTATGATGCTTTTCAATCCAAACTTGTTGAATATATTGTATCGATGTTTGATGATGATATCGAACATGTACGATTACTAGCTATGCGTACTTTAGGTAAAATAGCTCGAGGACGTGTGTTAAGTGGCGAACAAGTTCTATCAATTTTAACTGAATTACTTGTATGTAAAGCGAGACTAGCTTGATTTTTTTCGAATAATTGTTGTCTTTGATTCAGAGTCGTTCGTATGATATTCGTTCAGCACTACATGATATTTTACGAGTAGTACGCATTGGTGATCCAGACACATTATTCAAATTGTTCCATCGTCTCGTAGAAAATATTCAACGTTTTAAAACAGACACTTATTCAGTTCTCAGGTTTGAACATAACTTTACTTTCTGATCGAGTTTTTTTATCAAAAATAAAATGAATTATTAATTATTTAGATGTCTACGTGAATTAGGACAAAATAATAGTGCTTTTATTGCTTTACTTCTACCAAAATTATTGCCAATGCATAGTTATTTAGATGTTCAAGAACCTCAATTTTCAAAAATTGATCGTTCGTATTATGAAATTTTGTTCTCGAGTACTATAATAAAAGAAAACGTGCATATTATGTTCTTTTAAGATACTTGTGCTTTGATTTTGGTGCTAAATGCTGCCTTACATCATCCATCAATTGTTGCTGTTCTTCCCGATTATGTTTTTCGTCATTATCGATATTTGAGAACCAAAGAACCAGAATTAACACCAAACCTTCAAACAGTAAATATTCACCATTGTTGGAATAACTCAGTTTTATCTATAAGAAATTTTCGATTCCGATATGTGTTTCTTAGCGAGACATGATCTTCAAGATTTCTAAAATTCATTTTATATTAGAAAATATATCTATTTAGAATTTTTCCGATGTCAAATTCGAGATTGATGCATCACTTCCAATTACAATTCCATCATCGCATGATGCATTTGAACGTATTCTAAAACTTTCAGAACAAAGTCAAGATTTACATGCAAATGATCGACAAAAATTCTATCGAAATCTTGCTGCGTATGATCACTTTTTTTCTTTTATATTCATATTCGACAATTTTTTCTTTTTTTCACCTATACAGTGAATTACATAAAGTAGCTGAAATGGACGTTGATCTATTAGCTATTTCAGAATGTATATCGCTCTATTACGAAGTACTTGCAATTATTACTTATCAATGTAATACAAGAACTTGCTTAAAGGTTAGATTCGATATTTTGAACGAGGAGGAAACGGCGAACTTGAAGTAGAAAAATACGCCAAAGTAGCTCAAAGCACCACCCAAGTAGGAACAAGTAGCTTAAAGTAACCTCAAGTACCTTGAAGTAGCTCAAAGTAATTTCAAATCCAAAAGTCCGCCGTTTCCCACTTGAGTTCGAAGCAAAAATATAACTTTGATTCTATCTGATAGGCATTATCGATTTGTAAACGTTTGCTAACTATGTTTCATGGATATTCCGAAAAGCAATTACTACTATTTCAAGAATTACATTTATATTGTCATTTATTTCTTATTTCAATACAAACAAAATTGTCTACAAATGCTCGCCAACGATGTTACAAACATATTCAATGGCAACGAGAACAGCTAAAAAATGCTGGTGAACAACAACAACAACAACAGCAAGAAATGGATGAAAAACTTTTACATACAAATCTAATATCCTATGCTCAACAATATATTTCTGTCATGTCAAAAAATATTTTATCTAATAAAACAAACATGTTTAAAGCTAATAATCTAATAAAAATGGTATCGGTTACATTTCTTGAGCCCGAATCTAATATTGAACACGTATTAGAATTTCTACCTGGTCTATCAGTATCAATACCTTGTTTAATGAATGGAAAAAATCTGAGCCGGCAACAGAATATTAATATTAAAGTATATTTTTTGTAGAATTTAAATACTCTTTAAAAAGAAATTATGTTTTTTTTTCTTTTTTTCTTTATTAAGGTTACTTATTTGGATGGGCAATACTGTTTACTACCAATTAATGATGATAATATTCGAACATTGGCGGAAGATAATTCATTGCGCATTGATTCAAAAGTTACATTTTCACATCAACATTGGCTACGTAAGAAATCTTTTTAAATACTTTTTCCAGAGTTTAAGTCTACCATCGGAGGAAAATCCACTACGTTTCGACTGAAACTGAGCACAACAGACAGCAGATTCTTTTCCCTAACTTTCATGACGATAATCGAAAGAAAGTTTATAAAGATTCAACATTTTAGGAATACACTGTTGAACTATTTTTCATGGGCCTTTGTTACTGGTGAGAGCATGCAGAGACACGAGCAAACAATGAAAATGGTAAACGCAGCATTAAAGTGTAGTAGTTTTACATGGATTTCGAAAATTTTGATCGTGAAGATCATTTCAGGAAAATAGAGAATTCACAAAAAAAATCTCTAGAAAGATTCTGAACATTCTTGAGTACAATTTCTTCGTCCGAGAAAGCCTTGATGTTTAGGATTGAATCATCTTCTATAAAACTTAATATCATTTTCTAAAACAATCATTATGAATGACCCCAAAGTTCGCGTAATATTTAAATAGTACGTTCAGAACTCCTATTGTTACAATTAATGGATCATTCTTTTGTCAGTGAAAGTCATGGCTGGAATAATAATAAAGCTAAGCTAAAAACACAAAAATTAGATAGAAATAGGATCAATTGTACTGCCTAGACAACTAAAGTCTGCTAGAGATTTTTTACTTCACGTAATCTGTTTTAGTATATTCTGGTTCCAGGACACTTGATTTTGTACATTTTTTTATTCCAAATTATTTGCTCTACTAAACAACTTTTCTTTTTGTTTTCACACCTTCAAGGTCCATGCTATGCAACATTTTCTGTTGTACTATTTCCATTACGGTCGCAATGTTTTGTTATGGATATCAATGATGAATTTGTTGAAATAACACGTCCGATTCGTGTTTTACTTCATCCCAAATATCTTCGCCATCGTCTACGTAAAAAGCATAGCATTGATGAGCAAAGTACAATGTCAGCAACAACAGTTGAACAATTAGACATTGCTGAAGATGACAATGATGAACCTGAAACTGAATGGTTAGATGAAGCTGGTGTCGATGAAGAAGAAACTGGCCATATGGATGATGATGAATCCGAAATGGATACAAGTCAAGATGATGAACAAGTGGAATATGTAGAAAGAAGAAAAACTCCTGATAGTGATGAGGACGAAGAAATGTCCTATTAGGATGTTCGTGGTGAATTGTTTGTCTATCCGCGATACTTTTTCTATACTGTTGTATATTCGTGTTTTCTTTTCTGTATCATCTATAAAGCAAAAAAATATTTACATTTCAAGGTTAAAAAAACATATTGTCTATTGTTTGTGTAAAAGATTCTTTTATAATAATACATTTTTCTTGCACAAGTTTTACATGATTGAACTCAAGTATGTATGCGTCATGAAGATTGATTATTTGGAATTCGATTGTACTCTTAGAATCATACACGAGGATTTAATTTTAACTCTTTTAGAACTCAATTGAATCTCCACTCCACAAGTATAATGCTCGAGACTTGACATAACCTACTTTTGCATTACAATCCGATTATTAGACTAGGCGTGTACTTCATTAAAAATGCGACATTATCTCACGTGAATTATATAGAATAAATCTTCTCGCACGAGCACACACACACACCTATTCTAATGTCTCTCGTAATGGTAGAAAATTTTTAATTTCTTGTTTGATAGCTACACTTATATTATCGTCCTTTTTATTTCATGCATGAATAAATATTATTAATTAACAAGTTAAAAATTCTATTTCAGTAAATTTCAATTTAAACATTTTATTAATAAAATGAGTTTTCATTATTTACTGACTTAGCCTCTGAGCACGGAAACTTTCCTACTAGAACAGTGCAGGTGAGGCAAATTTTTTCTCCTGGCGTGAAAATAACTGCTACGTCGTGTGTACTACCAAATGGAGCAGACTACTATATTAAATTTCTTTCCAAATTTTACTTAATGTAATAAAATATCTCAAATGTTTTCCCGATGCATTAATATTTACTGGTTACTGTGAAACTCGAATTTTAAGTGAAAAAGTATTCTTGTCTTAAATAATAAATCTACGAATGAACAATCAATTATTCAAGAATAGACCTGTAGTTTGTAGAAATAAATGCCGACTGAAATCTAATTGCATGCAATGTGAATGATGCACATTTATTTTTATTCGGTATCCTTTTCTATTCTGTCCTTCTGTTCGTTTTTCTCATAGGTAGCGAAAGTAAATTCATTGAAGTTCTTTAAAACTCAGCAAAATTATAAAATATTTGCAAACTTTCTCAATTCAAGATTAAAATTTGCATTTTCTTTATTAGTTCTACTGTGATTTTTATCGGTTCATGCAGCTTATGTTGTTCATTCAAATATGATCATTCTCTTGAAACGTATCGTTAGAATAATAAAACTTTACTTGAAAATGATACATGAATAGCAAAATCATTTTTTTCTATTGATTCAATTTCTATTTGCAAACTTATTACAAATACGGTTCTTCTTATAATCACAGATTGTATTCTTTTCATCAAACGGTGTATCAAAAACATTACTGAGAGATAGTCTATGTCAAAAACGTCCACCGACGTTTGTTGTATTTCATTTTCTAACTGTCAATCTCGGAAGTCAAATTGCATCATTATCAAATTCATTTTCACTTAATTGTCTATTGAGAGAAGCAAAAACATCGTGACCTTATTAAAAAAAAGTTGTTTATGATAGGTTATTTAATAGTTCGTTAAAAATTTTACATTTTTATGAAATCTCTGATCTAACTATCTAGAATTTCTATACACTATTGTAATATACATGTGGTGTAACCGCAAAAAACAATTATTTAGTACTCGCATTTAATCGCAATGATTATTAAGTTTTTTATTTTAATGAACTGCCAAAGAATACAGCAATGGTAATGACTTGATGGATCAGCATAGTACAAAAAAATGAATTTCTATGCTATTGAATTGAACTAGCCAGGAAACTATCTAAGAATTATGAAGCCTATTGTTATGCTCATTTAACATCACGCTATAATCAGGTTCATAACAAAAGAATATCCGCTTTAAAACAAATATACTACATTGATTTTTCAACAAAAGAAGATCATATAATACGAACGAAGTTATCACCCGTTATGGTAATGATGAATACAGAGAAAAGAACATTTTCCATTTATTTTAATCAGATGATCGCATGAATAGTTACAGTTTTATATTGCGACCTAGAAAGCAAATTCTATGGCCTCTTCACGATTTTCTTTGCCATGTACTTTTTCACTTGATTTAATCAAACGGATATTTATGTACATTTGTTTTTATCCGCTTAGCTGGCCTGACGAATATAGAGTAACAAACATCTTTTGGTCTTTATTCGTGTCAACTATTACTAATCGACCATCAAGATCATCATCGCAAACAGAACATTCTTTCGTGCATACATTTCTATGGGTTTTACTGTTCAATTTTCTGTAGTTCGCTTGGTTTGTGATACACATTGGTTATCAGATTGTATTGCTCGTGGATTTAGTGAGGTACTAATCAACAAGTCAACGTTAAATTAGCAAAAGAACTTGCTTAAAATTCATCTGTTTTTGTTTTTGTTATGTAAGATGAAATAAAAGGTAGAATTTAATGATAACACTTATCGTAGGCAATTATTGAAGAGTATACGTATAGGGATATGAAAAGACATCAACTACTTCATGTTTTTCTTATTTGAAGTGTTTTGAAGAAAATAAGTATTTTAAATTTTTTACTATTCAAAAATTCTAGCCGATGGTGATTGCATAAACAACCTACCTGAAGACTAGTAGACCAAGGCAAAATTAAAAATGAATATATATATATTGCACATACGCATTCATTATGGAAAAAGATAAATAACATATTTCATCGTTATATAATGTCTAGAAGAATTATTGTTTTCATCTATGATATTCAAAACAATGAATTCTCATTATTTCACACTTAATGAGAAATATGGATGGGCTCATGTAGTTTCGTTTTCTTCTTTAAATCAAATGATAAATGCTTTGATAAAATGCGGCATCAAGCATTTAATCGATGGGACGTCTGATTAAACGACATTTTTTGTTTTAGATAACTATCGCACAAACAAATAGTTCTTCTTTTTCGCTCGTTCCATTTATAGAATACAAATATGCTCTTTTGCAATTCCGATTAGTCGATTCGACAACGTACAATCTGTTAAAATCATTAGAAAAATCGATTGATGATCCCTCGTTTCATGTGTCATTCTAGGGAAAAAGAAGAAGAAGAAGAAGAAGAAGACAATTGTTCTATTGATTAGCGGAACAGCAAATCAATATCATAAAATAGAAGAGAAAAAGCTAAAACAGTATCTCATTTTACGCATACTCGCGAACTGACACATTGTCTTATTTAAATGAATACGGATAGCACGCATCGAAAACGTCGAATGTCTCCAACAACTTCAAGTAATAAATTAGCATCAAATGTAAAATGGATAAAACCTCGTTATTTAGCTAACCAGCGTGAACGTGATCGCACACATTCAGTTAATTCAGCATTTGTTGAACTACGTCATCTTATTCCAACTGAACCAGCCGACAGGAAATTATCAAAAATCGAAACACTTCGTCTAGCTGTTAGTTACATAAATCATCTTCATTGTGTCCTCAGTTTGCCAAATGTAACACAAAACCATTGCGCTTTTATTAAAATGCGAAACAATGAAAATGATCTTGGCGATAATAGTGAACAGCACTTATGTACTTTTTGTGTTAATCATTCATCATTATCCAATTAAACATATGACAAATCTATATCAATAGAACACAAACGTATATAGGTGCAAATAAACATTATTTGTAACCTGTAAAGTTACCAGGAAAAATAAAATGAGAAAATGTTTTTTTTTATTAATTGATAAAAAATTTAATTAATTGTATATAAATCAAATTATTTGTGTTTTTTTTTCATCTTTATTAGTAAAATTTATAGATAGAACAACAAAAATCGAAGATCATTTTCTTCACATGTTAAACGAGTGACGCGTTGCATATAAATGAATAAGAAAAAAGCATATTAACTTTTCTTCCATCACCATAAGCAATAGAAAAGAAAATATCAAGATTCTGGCGATATTATTATATATGATTCAGGTAATTGCTTCTTTGTGTAAATTTGCTTAATTTTATACATCAGAAATTTTATTAAGTGCAATATTCGTTGACTGATCTTTACTTGGTATTTCTGGGAATTTTTGACATGTTATTGTTTGAAAAAATTCAGCACGAAATATTCGACTAGTTAAACAATATAAATAAAAATTAGACCCAAAATGCACATACATAAGAGCGCGAAGTGTACGAAATATTAATAAATAAAAGTCATTATTTTGTTTCCTGTTAGGATCTTTTATAGTAAATTCTTCAAGTAATATAAGACAAATCGTCACAGGTACTGTTGTACAAATAAATACGATAACACAAGCTGCCATCATCAAAGACATTTGTCGTTCCATAGATCTTCGATGTGCTGTAAAAACTTTTCTAGTAGATAAAATTCCATTTAATGTCTGTTGAGTATTTATTTGTGTTGTTTCTTTTTTTGATCGAAAGCTGTTTGTATTTTCTACGTAATCTAGTTGTTTTTTACGTAGATAAATTATATTTGCATTGCATAGAATCATAATGCAAGCAGGCAAGAAACAAAAAATAATCATATCAATTTTTGGCCAAATTCTTTTATAAAAATAGTAATAATTTGGATATGTATCACGATTTTCTAAGCAATGTGCTGTTGAACGATTTTCACCACGTTCTTGTCCAATACCAGGTGAAAAATAATGTCCATTTATGCCGCATAAAACAAGGACAAATGTTAATACTACAAAAAATGCATTCCGTGGCGTACAAAGACTTTTGGAACCAAAAGGAAATCGAATACGCAAGTACCGGTCGAATGCTAAACCGGCTATACACCACGATGATAAATCCATAAAAACATAAGCAAAAAATGTACGAAAACGACAAGCCAATGCTGAGTAATTCTGTAGTGGAATTCCAAACGCATCACTCAAAAAAATCCATAATGATGTTAAAAGTGCACCAATATCACTTATGGCAATTGCAAGAAGAAATATGCTGCTTGATATACGACGTAATCGTTTACTTGAAAAAGTAATAAGAGCAAATGTATTACCAATGTAGCCCATTGCATAAATTATTGACATGATAGTTGTACATATATGACTACCTAATGTAAGATAATTAGTAGATGCTACTGACTGAGCAGTTGTACCATTCGAATTAAAATTTAAGTGATCACTGGAGGTTGTCATTTTTTTGATGATAATACTAGAATAGAATGAGAGAGAGAGAGAGGAAGGTGAGTCGTACTTCTTTAAAGATACACGACGACGAATGAGGGCAGGTTCATTCTTTTTTAGAAGGTAATGAACCCTATATCTCGTTTGCTCGTAAGAAGAAAGAAATAAAGGAATTTAAGCAAAAAAATATCTTCATTAGAAAACTAAGATATTCTCTAATGTTGAGATTATCTTCTTTTTCTCTTATTTAACGCTATCTGTGATAAATGCGATGTTTTTATTGGAGTGCACAACTTATATTTTACAGACTTTTACTTCTTATACTGGCTTGTTATAATAATAATAATAAAAATTATTCTATATCACTCCTTTTTTTCTTCTTCTCTGTATAATTTAAGAGAAAAACAAAAAAAAATGATAGCCTATGTAAGAGACAAAAATAGAATTCATTAAATATTCATGAATACACATGCGACGATGAAAGGAAATTTATCGAATTTGTAGATTGTTCCTCTACACCGCATTCTGGTAATAATGCCTTTTTCAATGTACCTAAATTAGATGATTGATCGATTTTGTGTTTTATTGATGATGATAAACGGTAATTTGTTGCACGTTTTTGCGGTAATAGTAGATATACATATTCACCGTTCGGTAAAGGTATACTAATAATAAAACATGAGGATTGAGTTAGAATATGAGGAGACGATCTATTTAATTTTTTGGAGAATGAATTTCAGGAAATTCAACAATTGTCGATGGTAATGATGAACTTATTGTAGATATTTCATGACAACTAGCCGAAGGACCACAAGGTCTTAGTGCATGATGCTTTTCGTTTCGAGTAAAATAAGGTCGCATCCAAGATGTTGTTTCTGATGTTTTGTATCGTTGCACGTCGTCCTTATTAATTTGTGAATATGGGAACTTCCTTGACAATGCTTTACCAGCCTAGAAGAAAAAGAGAAAAACAAAAGAAAGCTGATGGGATCAAAGCAAAACGGAAATGAGTTCTGTATCTTTTACAGAAGATAACTTCGTATTTCTTTTTATTTCTATAAATATATCTGTGTATATTGTATTTCAAAAGTAATTAATTTCAAGTTAAGTTGTGTGTCTAACTGTAATTTCAAAAATATTCTGTTTCAAAAGTGAATGAAACGTGTTATTTTTTTTTCCATTAGAAAAGAGCAAATAAATGTTAAATAATTCTTTGAGAAATAGAAAATTATGATTTCCAATAAGTCAATAGTGAACAAACTTTAGAAAAATTTCAATTGAATTCTTTGTTTTCACAGTCATTATATTAAGTCCAACGGTAAAAATTCCGAAAATTCTGCGATAAGAAAAAACTAGAGTGACAACAATCTATCTGGTTAGTTCTAATATCACAAATGTTATCTCAAAATCATATTTAACATATTTTCTTTATTAAAATAAGAATATGACAATTCCGGACAAAGCATCTGCTCCTCTATCAACTACTTTCTATTTAATCGATCTCTTGAATTCGAGTAAAAACTATTGATAGAATAGATCATATACAACTATGGAATCATATGAGCGAGTAAAATGTGTATAATAAATTTTCATTATCATCCGCATCAATGTTGAGTCGTTGAAAATCGTACGTGCGTATATAATTTAAACTCTGGTCTAAGGTTCATTTTTATCAATTTTATATATTATAAAATTTGCTAACGGTTTTATAAGTGCAGCCCTACGTATTCCTCTGAGTGTTTATTATCAACAGAAAAAGAATTAAGGAAATGAAAAAGTAGCTTCGAAAAACAAATTCAAATGGTCCCTACTTGTTTTTTATTCGAACGAGATTCGGTTACCTGGTGATGATGATGATTAGTTTTTTCAAGTTTTTTTAGTTTTGTTAATTGCTGCCATTCATTATTGGAATTACGTCTTTCTATTGTATGACGATCTTCATATTTACTCTCGATCAAGAAACATAAAACACTTTTAGCATGCAGACGAAAACGTCGGCTCATTAATATACATATAAAACATTTATATCCATATGACAATGGCATAAACGAGTGTAATTCATGATTGAACTTAATTAAACGTGGGAAAAACGATTCATACGCATATGGGTTTACAAACATTAATAAAAGATCGCTGATACGTGCCGGTAAATTAAATAATGCATGCAAAATACCAATCGTTGCAGCTATGTAATAAAGTGAATTGCATTCTTTATTCGTATTTCTATTCTTTCGACATGCACGATAAATAATTGTTATGGATATGCCAAGTATGATTACGCAAGGTATAGCAACACCAAGCAAATAATATCCATAATTGGTTGCTTTTAATAGTGTTGCACTTGCACCTTCTGTACTCATTGAACATGCGTTGGATACGCCTCCTACTCACAAAAATTTTCTTTATGGAATGAAAATAAAAAATTTCTATTCTTATTCTTCTAACCTTGGTCATAATCTTTCTGGTATTCTTTTTTTTGATATTTAAGCACTTCAATTGGATATATATTATAAACACTGAATATAAATATAAGAAATACAGTTGAATATTTTGCATTAACATAGTATAAACCACGACTCCAACATGATCTATGATGATTATTATCATTATTATGCTCCATTGTAAGTGTAAGTTGATTTAGAATTAAAAATAATAATAACCACGTGGTCAACGAAATACTCATTTTAGCAAAATAAGTAAAGAATTTACAACAAAAATCTGATACATGTATAAGATAATGTTGGCCAGCTGAACGATCTTCATGAATATAACTTAGAAAATTATCAACAAAATGATATATTATTAAAAGTGTATCAATAAAAACTACTTCAAATAAAAATCTTTCAAATGAACCTGTTGATTGTATTTTTATGAATGGTAAACGTGATAAAACATGTTGACGTTTATCAAATAAGCCAATGCGCACGAGTATAACTAATAGCAGTATATTAGATGGAAGACCAAGCAATGCTGAAGATACAGCAAAGAAAACATATCGGTGATAACTGATGTGTGATAGTGACTCATGTGAAAATCTATTTGTTTGATTTAAACCAAATAAATGTACCGATTCATTGCCGTCCATTATGTTTCGGAACATCTAATAAAATGAAAACGCATATAGAAAACAAGCCAATAAAAATTTCGAAGCAGCTTTAATGATTATTTTTATCGCATAACACATCGGATGCATTTTTTTCTAAAGGATAATTGTCATGCAAGGTTATTGCCTAGTCTAAATTTCTCATAAAATAGTAGGAAGCCTACGAATTTCAATAGGATCGTTTCTTTTTTGCCAATAATTTTTCACTATTGTGATTGTTGATCAAAACAATGATATGATTCCTGAAGATTTAATATTATGCCTAAATTTCATAGAGTAATACGACACCACCATCATTCATCATTAGCATGATTTAGTTAGAATTTCCTTTTTCATACTACATAGGCTATAAAAGTATTGCTTGTCATTCATATGAAACCCATATGCACTATTCAAATAGCAGATGCAACGGCTTACTTATGTACACAGATAAGATGCTGTTTCTATTTTTAGCATGAAAAATCAAATAATCAAGGGAATCCGAACGAAGAAACTCATATAGTATTCATCTGATAGAGATAATATCAGCATGAAACAATTCTTGTTTTAATTCTGCCATACTTTTCTACTTACTCTTATGATAGTAATACTGAAAATTCCTACTAAGATCTATTTTTCTTCTTTAAAATTCAAGTTGATTAGATCTGTTCTTTGCCTAAGAAAACTATTCACCAAATAAATCGGCACACGGCATCAGCATGACAAATGAATAATAGACCAGGTGTCGATTCTTTTTCAGCGTAAACATTACATATGTCGACGCGCAAGTAAATGTTTTTCTTTTCGGTGAACAACTTATTTTGATGTATGAAGATGCTTTAAAAAAATCATTGCTTCTTCCGACTATGTACTTCAGGCAAATAAGAAAAACTTTTATGCTCTTAACAATAAAAGAAAATTTTCTTTCATTAAAATGAACTTATCTCGATAGCAAGTTTATCTGTAAGCAATTTGAATTCTACTATGGTAGACGTATACTCTTGTTGATCAGTCGACTTAAGAAAAACAAAAACTAAAAGAAACAAGACAATCAAAAATACTTTGATTGTCACAAGCAGTTGTCTTTTCTTCTCTTCTTCATTTTCTTTCGCATTGTTACGGCAACTTATCATGCCATGTAGTATTGGCATTCGTACATGACGCTTTTGTTCTGTCACATTGTCCACTCAAATAATATTAATATTTATGAGATAGTATAGAACAAAAAAAGTTGTCTTCCTTTTCTATTAATATGTGAAAATAAATTGAAAACTACGTCGACAACCATTGACAATAAGTATAAGATATAATTCCAAATGATATGTTCAATGAAGATACTCATTCTGACTGAAATTACTGTGGTGGAACTAAGTAAAAAAAAAATAATTTGAAACATCTATTTCATATATATTGCTATTTTTTCTTTCTGTTGATGAAATAAGGATTGAAATCTTTATTTATTATAGCAAATGCGAAAATTGGAAGTTTACTTTCGTTAATGTCAAATCACGTTTGCACTTATACAGAATAAGAGTGTCGAATGATTAGGAAAATGTAGAAATAAAATAATGCCGTGACTCTTACGTGTGAAACAAAAAGACTGCGCGAATTAGGAAGTGGCTACTCAGGTCGAACATTCCGGCCACCGGATCCCGTAGGATACTCCAGGGAATATGCGGGAAAGTCACCATATCCTGCAGGAAATCGCGGGAACATGGAAGCAGTATTCCGGTCAAAAATACGGCCGGACTTTTCCGGATAATTCGTGCCAAGTTCCGGTGCTTTCCGGCAGGAATTGATCGAAAATCACCGGAAAAAATACGAAAAATTTCCAACCGGAATACAGTTTCCACAAAGTCAACGGAACTACCCGGAACCGACCGTTTCCCGGTAGGACTGTTCGACCTGGGATGTACACTCAGAAGGTAGAATCAATTGATTAAGAAATTTCAAGTTACTCTCAGCCTTGGATATTCTTTATTATTAATACAAATTCGATATTTTAAGTTTTTATGAATTTTACTCGCTAAATTGTTTCTTAAGATTAAGAGAAGTACGAGTCAGATGCTGCGCAACTAAACGAATATAGAACAAAAAACCAAATCATTCCAATAAAGATTAGCTAATGTAGAAACATTACTAAATACCGCACTGTGACCCTTGAAAAACAATGTATACTGTTTTATCATTGTCAGAATATTTAACAAAAGTTACATTGTATCAACTGTCTCTTAATTACATCTTCCTTCCATTGGTTGATCATGAAAGACAAGATTTTTTCGTCATGAATTGGATTGCAAAATGGAATATCGAAATGCATAGAAGCTAATTAACATTCGACGTCGAGATATGTAGTCTATTAAGATATGCTAATTAATGCTCGCTTTAAAATTTGCTTTAGCACTTTTTATTGGCAATGGAAAATCAAATATACACATTCAACAGCCTCATTTATAATGAGAAATAAACTATTATAGAACTAAATAACTGTAACACTGTCATACTTGAATCAATGTGTTTCATTCATACGGCTATATGTTTATACTAGCATATTCATTTTGACTCTTGTGCTAATGCTCAACAGTCGATAGTAGGAGTGGCTCCTTAACTTTATTTTAAAAGGTAAAGTTAAAGCAACACACTTTACGAATTTAACTTTAACAAATCCGAATTAAAGTGAGAAATAAATTTTAGGTCTTCATGATTAATTCTCTATTGGTTTTAACCGTAACTTTAACTTTAACCTCAAAATTGATGCGCCACCCCTAGTCAATAATCAGATCGTTGTTGTTCGTCAAAACAAATGCGGTAAGATAAAGATTTTTCCTCGCAAAGCAATTCAACAATATTGACCATTTTTAAAAGTACTTAAAACTTATTTTCATGATAACTATCAACAATTATGCGGCGAGGATAGAATGTGGGTGAGATTATTCTGAAGGACTTTCAATCACCATTGTTCTCTAAGCAAAACTTTTCACGTGACAACTCTATTAAATACATTTGAAATAATAAAATACAAATATAGCCTTAGAAACATAAGAAGATAACGAATACTGTTTCAAAAATAGTTGAATTTTATTCATATTGGGAGTTTTTCCTACGTTCGTTTGGTTGCGCAGCACCTGGCTCCTACTTTTCTTGATATTAAGGAATAATTTATCAGGTAAAATTCATAAAAATAAAAAATATTGAATTTGTATTAATAATAATGAGTATGGAAGATTAATCGTAACGATGAAATTTCTTTATAAATTGATTCTATCTTCTGAGTGCACATAGTCAGTCAGCTATATATACTTGATTGCACATAACCATGCGACTATGCCAGGGTTGCCAACTGATGAAATCCAAAAGGCGGAAAACTGATCTTAAAAAGCGGAAAATAGCGGAAAGAAAAACAGAACAAACGGGAAAAAAAGCGGAAGCTTATACTGTTACAGATTGGTGGTGTTTCTGAGAATATTAGGCATTTTTTTCATATTTATTGGATTTCTTTTTATTTCATCAAAGTTTCAAAAACATAAAAGAATGATGGCTCACGGTATTTGTGAACAATAGGAATCGATTCAATAATATCAAATATTATTCTGTACGTAGGTTTGATATGCAACACGTTTTATACGAAAAAGCGGAAAAATAGCGGAAACTTTCCGCAAAAAGCGGAAGAGGTGGCAACCCTAGACTATGTACACCTAAGTGTATATAGGCACTTCCCGCAAATAATATATGACTACAGATCTAAGTTCCATATTATCGAAGAGAATAATTAATAATTTGAAAAGTGGAAATACTCATGAACGAAGCTTGCGCATCATAATTAGTGCTAAAAAGACAGCACAAAATGTGCTCACTGTTTATTTATTTCTTGTTTCTTTTATGATTATTAACTGAAATAATAAAAACTAACACCTAGTCTTAAAACTAAAAACTATTTCTCAGGAAATAAATATTCTCTGTCTATTTGTAGAAAGCTTCTCTACTGTGAATTACGATGAAATCTATTTTCTTTCGTTTTTATCATAGAAAAATATTGAATACGATTAATTATGTTGTGCCTTAGCAAACAACGCATTTCCTATAGTTAATTCCGAGCTACTAAAACTATGCAGATATAATCCTTGTTATATGAAAATATACAAACGCGCAAAATATTTTACTTTGCTTATTGAGTCGTATGAATTCATTTTGCTTTCTTCAAAGTAAAATAAATCGTTTTGAAATTGTTGTAGCGTGTAATTTAGGCATCAATCAGATATTTTTCTAAAAATAAATAAAATCTTATTTTTATAACATGAATAAATATAGAATAATATAGTCTGTTAATCTCCGTATGAAAATGGAAGATCCTGCTTTAGGCTAAGATTAGTACCGTGTTATAACGATGCGCAAGAAAGAAAGAAAAACGGAAGTACTGTGTTTTTTAGTAGTAAGAAATTGAATACGATTGTATTTTGCGTAAGAAAATACACTTGGAATGCTTTAGATATATGACAATAAATAATTTATATAAATTTCTTCTATACAATAATAGGAATTTGCGACTTAAAAAACGATAAGTGGATATTTTCTTTCTCTGTACGCTAAACGAATCATGAATTGCTTTTGATTACTTACGTTTTATGGCACAAACAACATAGCTTGCAACACAAATGAATAATTTAATATGGAAATATCTGCTAAATGTTTCAAATGGAAATACATGACACGATGTTTATAGGATTAGGTTGCATCTGTTTAGAATGTTAAAACCAGGCTTACAATTGTCATGTTTGTATATATCATATCTTAAGAGTCCCGTTGGAAAATAACGAAAAGATTTCTTCATAATTTAGTGGCTCCTTTCTAGAATATACTTGAACAGGGAACCACTAAGAAGGTGAAGAAAATCTATTCATAATATACAGTCAAACATGAAATGCATCAGCTTATCCAGGTTACATTTAATTACTATGTTTAGCGAGTGTATTAACGTTTATGAGCCTGGATGTATTAAATTGTTGCGCTTTGAAACTGCTTGTTTGCATGTTTGAAAGGGCGATTGTAAACCAGATTTGTTCCTACAATAGAGATTTCTAACAGCTCTTCTTGATCAATTGAAGAACCCTTGAGACGTCTAACAATATGGCTACAAAGAATAAAAGTGGATCTTCACTATTTTCTCTGCTCCAATGAATCGGAATGGATAGAGTGTGAGAATACTGGATATCGTAGCCGGGGGTGGCGTAGTGGTTCTATGTATCTAATTCTTAGTCAGACAGGAGATGGTTCGATTCGTTCCCCCGGCTCGGTGTCTTCGGAGTCAAGATATACGGTATCGGAGAATAAACAAAGGAAGAACAGCAATGCACGCCAACCACGTCATCACTGCCTCGATTTCGATTTTCATTCTATTCGTTTTCTCTTCCTTGTCATTCTTTCTCTGTTTGTTATCGTAGTCCTATCTGTTGACTCGTTTCGTAAGCGTCCGCAAAAATTGTACAAAAGTCACCAAAAAAATGTATGGATGTCACGAATAAAATTCAGCGTAATTAAAAAAAAATACTGGATCTCATCATGAAAACGTGAATATTCAACAGAAGATGATTACAATCACACAGTTTATCCAGCGGTATTGATTTAAAAAATTATGATTAGAATAAAATACTCTTTAAGAATAATGTATAAAAAACGTTGAAAACAAAAAAATAACTTTGTTTCTGTAAATATTTCACTTTCACAAACCTAATATCGGCAATACGAATCTCAACATGAAACTTTTCTTCGAAACGAGCCAGCTTTTTTTTTCTTATGTGCTTTTCATGCTCGAAAGTGATGTAACTCATCAAACTAGAACTTTCACCGCAGGAAATGTGTCTTATACTGCAAAGTAAGCATTCGGCAACCTCTTACCTTTCATAAAATCATATTTGGATTCATTATTTAATCTTATAACTGTACCTCATTATGCTCAGAAATCTTTGAGAGGGTAACAGGTGTTTGCATGTTATGAAAGTCAAGATGCCCTACATTCCGTGCAAGATGATATTTTATCCTCAGCACGATATAATAACAGATCTTTTGAAGACGCACACTAAACGGAATTCAACCATTCATATCAGTAGTTGATTGTAAACGATCAATTAATTAAAGAAATATAACAAAAGTTGTGGATCGGATATAGTTTCCAAAAGCATTTTTCTGAAATTATTACGAAAATTCGAAAATATAGAAAAATAATTTAGATTTAGGATAATAATCATGACTGTATACGAATTATGGTGATAATTTGCGACAACATTTGAAGTAAAAATTTGCATGCACATTTATTTCCATTAAAGGATAAAAATAAAAATAAAAATAATAAGAATATAGATAATTGCATGTATGACTTTACATCAATTAAAATTTTCATTTAAAATTCTTTAATTCTATATTTACTTTAACATGGTCTTTTGTATTACTGCGATTCTACTGTTACTTTTTCATTAATATATGTACGTCTTCATCTGCTCTTACGCAGTTAACTTATTACCAAAAACTGAATATGCGTATATTCAGTGCAGAGAACGACTCAGTTTAACATACCAATAGTTTTTTTTTTATCTTCATATTTGATTATGTTCTTCATTTAATTAGATGTAGTTATATCCTGTAGTTGTCATGTATTTGTCTTACAATGTGTCATTGCTGAAGATGAAATCGCATTTAGAATAGAAGTACTCGTCATCATACATAAGTAAGACAAGCTGTCTTCTTTAATAACAAAAATCAAATTTACATGAACCAAAATACAATTCATCGCCTAGGTTTTTTTTAATGATTGATTTTTGGAGAAATCTCAATGTTTTCTTTTTATAAGAAAAATAAGTAAAGAACTGAATAAACTCAAATGCATGGTTCTGTTTCTAGAGAATATTTTCGAGTGTTTTTCGGTAAAAAATTTAGCCGGTTTGTTTGATCGATTGTTGAAAAGCAGATGTTCTCAAAAACACAGGATAGAAAATATCTTTCTTTAATATTATTCACAAGTGTAACTAATATACAAAAACGAGTTATTGAAATTTATCTATTCAAAGTCAATAGTTATCATTGATACATTGGAAGTTTCTTTTCTCTTACATCGATCTCCATCATCGTCCTATTACCATTAAGAAAAGAAAAAAATCTAGATTTTTCTTATTACACAGAATATTTTCGATGGGTCTTTCATAGTCGATTCACTCTATTTAGAAGTACAGCTTTGTATTTTATCGGTATTTACCTGTTTGTAGATCAGTTCTTTATTGATGATGAAAAACACTACCATCGATTATTTGATAGAACCTACTTATGAAACATTTGGAAACAAGTTCTCTATGTAAAACAAATTACGTACTTATTCAGCCTGGAAATCACACTTTGTGAAATATTTGATCGTCAAGACACAAACGAGCAATATTTATTTGACGGCAAGCCAAGTTTATTCTGATTATATTGACTACATGAAAAGAATTGATTGCAGCGTAACGAAACAGCTATGTATTCCGTATCGCTATGATTGAGAATGAACACGAGAGAAAAATCGATGAGCTCACGATGTGTCTACAAAAAGTACCATAAGTATTGTCGGAATATTGTGTCTTTGTAAACATCACGCACTTTTTCTTGCGCTCGATATTTTGTAATTAATCATTTTATTCAATCTGGAACGTACGATCGATCAACACCAAGACTATGTGCTTCATTTTTTTTACAATCATAATAGGGTGAATCCGCCGAGTTTCTACCACTTTGTGGGAAATTTTTTTTCTGGCGCTTTTGATACTCTAATTAGACGGAACATAAACGAAAATGGTTGGAGGTAACAATTAAAAATTTTTGTAAGTTAAAAGTACGGAGATCCAGGTTGTTTTTTAGGAACACTTCATCGCATGCGTTTTTGATTCATATTGGACTGGTTTTTGTCATAATAATAGATTTTTTGATCAAAGCAAATGGCATATTTGGAATCAGAATACAAAATTGAGTGGATGTATATGCTTTTTAAAATATTTGGAGAGCTTTTATTTTTCTCTAAAAAATCAGCTGGGGTTCCTCTCAGGGATTTGTGAAAAAATGAAATCGATTAAAATCTCACTCCGAATGTGAAAAACGACGTCTGGGCCTTTCTAATACTATTCAATCTCAAAACGGCAGGTGGATAAATAATAAATAGCGCATTCTCACTGAATTAATTTTGACATATTCCTGAGAGGGATCCCAGCTGAATTTTTCGATGAAAATAAAAGTTCTCCAAATATTTAAAAAAAACACATATATCCGCTCAATTTTGTATGCTGATTCCAAATATGCCTTTTACTTTGATCAAAAAATCTATTATTATGACAAAAATCAGTTCAATATGAATAAAAAACGCATGTGATGAAGTGTTCCTAAAAAACAGCCTGGATCTCCGTACTTTTAACGTGCAAAATTTTTTAATTGTTACCTCCAACCATTTTCGCTTATGTTCCGTCTAACTAGAGTGTCAAAAGCGTCAGAAAAAAATTCCCGTAAAGTGGTAGAAACCCGGCGGATTCACTCAATATTTATATTATTGATCTCTCTTCCATGAAAAGGTGGTAGTGTTTAAACAATTCCATTCAATAGATTATCATTATAAAAATTCCAATACTCAACGATCTGCCTATTACTCGTAAATTAATTTAAAATTGCAACAAATTATTATTAAATAAATTCATAATGTCTGTTTTAATTGATTAAATTTGTTATCTATTGAAATACAAAACGGCATTCAATTAATAATTCATGTCTTTTATTTGAGTATAATCAGATAGACTAATAAATTCTCTTGGTAGCCTATTTATTATATAAATACATTTTGTGCAATGTTATTCAGTAAAAAGATTTATTATTGTGAAGTCAATCGATCTATTTTTTAGTTTATTATTCTCAATCAAACCTTGCGCGATACGGAGGAAGCAACAGACGGAATGTCACTTCCTAATAGGTTCTCTTGTTTCTTTCTTTTCTCTACGAAGATTTGTTTTAACTGCAACAAGCTGAATTTTCTTCGTAGAACAATTAGCTATATTAAAAGTATGCGCAAAGGAAAATATTTCAAGCAGAATAAATTTTTATTTGAAATTTTATCTAGAGCATCGACTTAAGCCCTATTTCAATGGTATTGATCGTTTTTAAGTAGACACACATTTCTCTCCTTCAACGAAACTAGTTATATTAGGTAACTGCACACATGATGCTTAAATGTTAATGAGCAGTATGTAGTGTGAACGATATTAGTGCATATTCTTAAACTTTATTTTTATATCAAAATATGAAGATTCTGAATGTGGGTATCTACACAATAATGAGAATTTATTTCTTGTTTATAATAAACTTTTAAATATTTAATAAATCTTTATTATTGCGTAGAAAATCTTCACACATTTCAATCATTATACTTTTATTTGGTAGAATTGATCGATTATGATTTGGTTTTTTATTAGGTTGAGATTTTTGCGGACTATAATCGGTTCGTTTTGTTCGACTACCAGGTTGATACGTTGGATAGAGAGAACGTTTATAAGGTTTTAATGACGAATTACATTGTGCACCATTATTTAGCCAATTTTTTATAATTGATTCAAGATGATGCACCTGTTCGTCGGCCATTTTATTATTCAAAAAGAAAAAAAGAAAAAAATCAAGACGTATTTAAACAAAAAGAAACTTATTTTCGTTAGTATAGATTTTTTAACTTGATTTAGCGCAAAATAATGAAAATCTTTTGAGATTGTAAACAAATTATGTTTTGATCTCTATTACTAACGAAGACACTGATGACAGAGCTAATCTTATAAGACAAAAACCACTGACATGTGTTCGTTACTATTTATAGATTCGTAAAAAGAAGTCATATTTACAAACATTCGTAATTCCTAGAGAATCTACAGACAATGTTAAAACAACACATTCTTAAAACATTTCATTTTTATGCATGACTATATCTTTACATTAATGATAAATTCTAAAAGTCGTCAGCAGGATAATTTCCATTTGTATTGTTTATATTGCTGGAAAGTATGCACTAAATTGTACTCTACGAACCGATTCTTTGCGTTTTCCACTTAGTACGTACCTATAGAAAGATCGGGGGGAAGAATGATGTCCAACAATGAAAAAGTAAATTGACAAGATACTGTTGAACTGGGAAAATTTTATGAGTTGCATCTAATCGAACCGTACTTAGATACTTTCAATGGAATTTGCTACTCCGAGTAGGATCCCTGTTCTGAAAATAAGACATATTTCGTTTTGTTTTTCAATTCAGACGAGTGTTCTATAAGAGATGCGTAGGCAAGAGGCTATTGGGTCCAAAGCCAATCACATACAACTCTCATACTTCGCATTCTTATCTTCATCTCAATAATTTAAACTATTATACATTAACCTCTTTTAGATTTGGTCTCAACGCAGCTATTTTTGAACGTTTTCATCTCACGATATTATCTTTTCCGAATCGATTTTATACAATTCTTCCATTGGGCGTTTGTCAATATAAAGATTCTCTCGGTGAAGAGTTATTATACGTATACTGCCTTCGTTTAAAATTTACAGCAATTATTGGACGTATTGACAAAACTCTGCGGAAGTATAAAAATACGACAAATGTAAAGTATTACTTGATTTAAATTTCGTAATAACTTTGAATGATTTCTTTCATTACAGTAGCGACATTGGATACACAATTTGTTTTAGCTAGAGCCTATCTGCATCTTCATAAACAAATACAAATCATAGAACTTTTCTAAAAAAAGAAATGACAACTTTATTCTATGGAAAAATATATTCAGTTATTTCTGTAATGTCTATGAAAGTATCATATAATTGCTATATAAATTTACTTAAAAAAAATAACAAAGACTAGAGGTGTCTTCACCGGATGAAGGGATCACAAGAGTGCAATGGCCAATCTGTAAATGGTTTTGCTTCCCTGTCAATTATTTTTGCTAGCTTTTCTTCTCTGTAAAAATTAAGGCGAATATTTGTTTTAAAACAGTACGCATAAAAATAACTCTCAACGATAAACGCTTTCTATTCATGTTTCACCAGATATGTATCTTACTATTCTTGTTCTACTGATAGTTTGTTCAATAAATTCCTATTGATTTTGCATAAAAATTTGATATTCTAGTATGACCGAAAATGCAGAGGTTCATGATACTGAATTGCAAGCTCAAGCAAATGTTATCGAATTGGCGACATATGATCAAAATACAAATAATACAAAATTGTAGTAAGATATCAATAGATACAGAAAAATACTTGTTAAAATAATTACTTTCACTAAACTATTTAAAAGTCTGCTCGAGCTATTGAATGTGAATCGATATCGATCAATTTCTTGTTGGAATCAATCTAAATGAGTGAAGTCGAAAGCTATTTATTTAATCAATACATATGGAACAATTTTTGTTTTGGTATTATCTAAATGAATAAAATAAAAATTCAGCTAATCACTTAGCACTTTTTGACTCGTTTTCTGTCGATATAAGTTCATATACAAAATCTCCATACACTCTCACTCGGCTATCAAGATATGTTGAGTAAAATAATACATATAGCTTATAGCTCTCTATTCTAGACAACAAAATGTGAAAAAAATGTGTATTTCAGGAGAGAAAGAATTACCCTCTATTTGTTTTAGTGTACAATGGACAGTTGGAAGTGTGATGATTGTTGTTGGAGTGGTGGTAGTGGCGTTTATTTTTCTCATCATTCAAATTGTCGAAGGTTTTAACATAAAAAAATGTATATGAAAAGCCTGTGGATCGTATGAACCGTGTATTTCGTGTGCTTGGCATCTTCATCAACATTGTTGGCGCAATACCCAGGTGAATGAATCCGACGAGCCGAAAAAATCCCATGGGATTCTGGGTTGAGGAACTACTAAGGGATCCCTAGTGTTGGAATCCGGCAAACGTCCGATCAAATCTAACCACCGAATTCGATAGGAATTTCAGGAGTTGGATACCAACGAGATTCCTAAAGAAGCCTATCGGATTTTGACTGGTTCCTACAAGAATCGATTGCATTTCAACACTAGGGATCCGTGAGTAGGTCCACAACTCGGATTTACTTAGAATCCTGTAGGAGCTGATGGAACCCGATAGAATCCGATTGGGTCCAGTATCGGATTGTTCGTCATGGGTACGTTTTGGAAAGACCTATACGGCAATGTACATATCATTGATTGGTTTTGTTTTTTCCATGTTTTGTGTTGGTGGTTATCTGGCTTGTAGGAATGATGTGAGAAACTTTTTATGATCTTAACGTCTCTTGGTCTCGGTGTACAACATTTGAATAATGGCATTCGATATGGCGGCACACCTGAGCGAATATGCTTGTAAAAAAATATTTTTCTTCTTTTCTGTTTCTGTTGTTATTCTTTTTTTGCTCTTTCAAACATCATTTTTCTTAAAGGTTCTTAGTTTCATACAAATATTTTTGCTTGAGGACTGGTAATGGTAAATACAAATTTCAGCATAATGAAGAAAAGTATACTCTAATGTTCATAGCATTTGAATCTTCAGATAAGATATAGTCGAATGAAACATTTAATCAACGCCGTTGATTCAACGACCACATATATGCATTGTACAATAAATTCATCTGTTGGATAGGACTTAGAAAAAATAGAACTCAATAAAGAATGCTCAATTATGGGTGGGTGGGGGGTGTAAATCCCCAATAATTGAAAATTCTCAATTTTTCCGTCAACAAGCGTAAATTTTCTGTACGTTTTTTGCTAAACTTTGTTGAAAATACCCTTTTACACCCACCCAATCGTAAGTTCTTCGTGCGACGCTTGCATATATGATTGCGCTTTATGTGTGAGCGTGATATTGCATACAAGCTTCAAATCTTGAATCTATTTTCTTCTATATATTAAACAATGCATGCACTTAAATATTTTATTCATCTTACCACTGTTACCAATTGTTTTTTAGTGTTTCATTAAGTGTTTATTGACAACAATACATAGTATTATAATCTGCGCATAATAATATCTGATTGATTTGTTGTTCAATCAAAATACTTACATAATTTACAAAATAAACAACATGAACATTTGTTTTTCATATTATTAATGATAACCCAAAATGCTTTTCAAAACCAGATGAAAAGAACATGTACAACAAGTTATCGTGAAATGGAAGATTATCAGTAGTAAGATGCCTAAGCAAAAACTAGTTTTCTTTTCTTTTCAAATGTTTACAATTTACTGATTAGGTTTATTGTGAAAAATACACAGGTAGACCTAAATAAAAGATTTTGTTGAAATTCTCAGCGGACATGAAAAATCGCTTTCTTTATCATTCCTAGATAAAACAATCAACATAAGAATCTTCTTTGATAAAATACATTCTAAAAAAAAGTAAATTATCTGTTCATAATAAATTTTACATTACGTTCATCCTAGTCGAGATGATTATATTATGTATATATATATAGCATCGAATCCATGCTAGATCTAATGAAATTCATTGTAACAATTATAATCAAAAGCAGCAGAGATATTCAGCGTTTAAGATTTATAGATTCTTTCGATTAGACGAAACTAACAAATTTGTTTATTTTAGGGTTAAATCTATATTGTACACTTGCTATAACGATATCGTATCATAGCGCCATCCTTTTGTGTGAAAGATATTTTCTCTAAAAACTAAATTAATAGTTAAAAATAGTATTCAATTTTATATATTTCTATTATAATTTCTCATTCTGAGGTTTGTAATAAATTCAAATGGATCCTCACTGAATATATGGTCGATATTTATTCGTACTTCGCGTTTATCGTCATGCTCTCAATAAACACATCCATGGATTATAAAAATAAGAAAAAGATTATTGCTGTTTTCATTTTTCTATTACAAGCACGAAAAACATCATGTTGTTGATGATGAAACCAGCATGATAATGAATTTACTGCAACTTCTTTGACTGAAATGAACATCATCAACTTGATTTCTGCTCAAAATTAAGAAAATTTACGTAATGGAAATATCCAATTCAATCAATAGATTCATAATGCATCAATTTCGATTTCGATTTCATTATTTGAATCCTTTTTTCTATTCGAATTTAAACTCTTTACGTCGATCATGTAGAAATCCAAATAATATCAATACAGTAGTAGTCCACTAAGGAAGGAATGTTGTACTCTTATATTATTTGTTCTCGAAATAGACCAATAATTTGTTAGTAGACAACATGCCTCCATGAAAACATCTGTTTCGTCGACCAAAATCTATTTTATTTATTTCCACATTTACGTTGCACAATGGTAAATAGTGTGATGTAAAAAGTAGAAAGTCTTTGATTTTATGTCGTCAGCTTTTCTTCGGTAATTAATGAAACTTTATTGCCCATTTATATTGTAGATTTTAAACCATCCGTCATCTCTTACTTCATTTACGAAGAAATCATGGCATCCAACCAAGGCAATGGCGTAAGTTTTTCATAATGTGTACAATGCAAATAATGAAAATTAAATGTCGTCTAGACTCTCTATACCTTTCCTGGTAACTTTCGTGCATACAAAGCTCAAATTGCTGCCAAATACAGCGGAGCTAAAGTAAATGTTGCTGACGAAAATAAATTCAAAATGAATGAAACTAATAAATCAGCAGAATTTATCAACAAGTTTCCAACGGGCAAAGTAAATATAAAACTGAAAGAAGACAAACATGATTATACAAAATTTCTTCTTCTTAGGTACCAGCTTATGAAAACGACGCAGGTGTTAAATTATTTGAAGCCAATGCAATCGCTTTTTTTCGTTAGTTGATTGATTTGTTTGATTTGAAATTGATTTAACTTTATCTATTTATTCAGTTTCTAATGAACAACTTCGTGGAAACACATTAGCCGAACAAGCTCAAGTTCTTCAATGGATTAATTTTGGTGAATCTGATATTAATCCAGCATCAGCAACATTGGTGTATCCATGCATGGGCATTATGCAATTCAATAAGCAAAATAATGAACGTGCAAAAACTGAACTAACACATATTTTACAATTACTTAACAATTATCTTCGTACAAAAACATATCTTGTTGGCGAACGCATTACACTAGCTGATATTGCTGTTGCTTGTGATTTGCTTTTACTTTTTCAATGGGTATGATACAAGGAACAATTGCATGTGTTTTTACTTTTGCTCGTGTATTTAGATAATCGAACCAAGTTTACGAGATCCTTATCCAAATGTAACTCGATGGTTCGTAACATTGATTAATCAACAGGAATTCCAAGCAGTTATTGGTAAAGATTTTAAATTATGTGAAAAAACAGCTCAATTTGATGGTAATTATTCATTTAGAATTATTATATATTTTGGTTATGTTTGTTTTCTTTAGCTAAAAAATATGCTGAATTTTTGCACAGTGAACAACAACCACAAGCAGCTGCTAAAAGTGCTCCAGCAACAACAGCTGAAGGTGCTAAAGGTGAAAAGAAGAAGGCTAAAGAAGAAAAACCAGCTAAAGAAAAAAAACCAGCTAAGAAAGAGGAAGAGGAAGAAATTCCAGATGACACTGATGACGCTTATGCTGATGAACCTAAACAAAAAGATCCATTCGCTGAAATGCCAAAATCATCATTTAACATGGATGAATTCAAACGTGTTTATTCAAATGAAGATACAGCTACAAAAGCTATACCATACTTTTGGGACCATATTGATAAAGAAAATTGTTCAATTTGGTTTTGCGAATACAAATATCCAGAAGATTTAGCTCAAATATTTATGACATGCAATTTAGTATCTGGATTCTATCAACGATTAGAGAAATTGCGTAAAAATGCATTTGCTAGTATGTGTGTTTTTGGTGAAAACAATAACAATACTATTGCTGGTATTTGGATTTGGCGTGGTCAAGGACTTGCATTCCAAGTAAACGACAACCAATCAAATGCTTTTTATATATGTTTTTTGTTTTGTTTCATTTAGCTTGCACCTGATTGGCAAGTTGATTATGAATCTTACACATGGAAAAAATTACCAATTGATGATGAAAGTACTAAAAAAATAGTTAATGATTATTTTCTTTGGGAAGGTGAACATAATGGTAAAAAGTTCAACCAGGGCAAAATTTTCAAATAAAAAGAAATTCTATTCACAAACGAGCTAAACAAAAGAAGAAGAAACAAGAATAGACAGCAGACAATTGTTCTTTTTTGTTATGCTGCAGAATTTTACAGTCGCAGCGTTTATTACCTGTTTTATCTTCTATGTTTTCGTGTGTCTGCATTGAACGAAAATAAAAAGTTGAGAAACACCTATTGACGATTAAATTTGAAACATTACTTTTATAATTACAAAGAAAATCCTATGTGAAATTGACATATTTATGTTGAATGCATCTAAAATACAAGTTGAGATTTTTATAATCACAATTCGAATAGCACTTTCCTGTTTAATCATATAGTAATAATCATACATTACTATAGAAACATTACTATCTATCGTCAATGATAGCTTTTCTTTATTGATTCGGTTTCAATATCACTAACGAGGGAACATTCCGAGGTGATTCGCATAATTTCGATTCACCTTTTGCTAGCTTCTAGGGCTCATCGTATAATTGATATACCTGAAAGGGTTCGTGCCATTGCTGCTAGGTTTCAAAGTTATCAGCGAAACCACTGTAGTGATAGATGGTGCTTCCATCTATTCATTGATGTTTCGTTCTCTCAACGTGGTTGGTCAAGCATAACTTCTCGAAACTTTTTTCGTTCGAGCAAGTTGAGACATATTTGTATTATTAATGTCTATGGGAGGAATTATCCCCTAGTTGAGATATGACGAGAAGAAAAAAAATAGCACATAGAACGTGGCACCATTATTGTAACACATTTTCCGCTCATAACTTTGAAACCGAGCAGCAATTGCACGAACCATTTCAAGTATATCATATATATGATGAGCCCTAGAAACCAGCAAAAGGTGAATCAAAGTGGTACGAATCACCTGGGAATGTTTATGTTCCCTCGTAAGTTGAAATAGATTATCCTGTACTGGTATTTAATTTTACATATCCGAATAGTATTATTGAATGAATATTCCTAGAAAAGAACGTGATATTTTCTCATATATACTATGAATAAATGTAAAAGAAAGCTAGCGAACAATTTCATGAATATGTTGTGGATAAATTTGAAAAATCTTATTTTTTCGAAGAATAAAATAGCAAAAAGAGGCGGTCGTGGAGTGATAGCGGAGAAATGTTGAAATTGATTTATGAATGATAACCCGCTACCTTCGGACCACCATTTCCTTGTATGTTCAAACTGAGATTTATGTTGATAACCAACTGATATTGTGCAATTACAATGTTTAGTCCATATACACACTCAATATGTACAACAGGGAAGTAACGTTGATGGATCGATCCTACTTTAAAGCATAGTGGGATGTCCTTTTTGTCCTCATGTATCAAAGGTATAGTAATGCAGAGGTTCCTTTCCGTAAGTTAACCAATAAAATTTGGTAAAGAGAGAAAAAAATTTATTGAAATTAAAAAACAGATAAATTCAAATAAGCTGTTTAATCTGTAAAAGCCAAAGCAGATTTTTTTGACGATACTATTAAAGTGAGATACAATGTCTTATGGTATGTTGAGCTTCAGAAAAATAAAAATCAACATTTTAAAATTTTCAAGTTTTGAAAAGTCTGTGCTACTTGCTGACAACCAATTTTGAGTAATTTATTTTTCTCGTTACGACCTATTAAATCATGAAAGTCTAGGAAAATATCGATTTTTCCATGAAGAGTTCTCTTATGTTTTTCTCTAGAGCAGTTATTTCAATGTTCCGTCGAAAGGACATTCAACATTTAAGAATTAATATTGCTTTTAGTGAGCAAAATATATTCATACTTTGCTTAGTTTTTCATTTTATTTATTATAATACTATGCTTTTTTAAAATTTTGGCTATCAATACAAGATAAGATATGAATTAAAATGAATCATATCAAATAGTTAACTAGCACTATTCTATCGTATCTTAGTGGTGTCATCGTTTTTTGTTATCTTTCTTTATTACTAAGTAATCAAATGCAAAACAAAAGAGAGCTGCGTCACGCATTTCTATATATACTAAGTATCAGAAGACTATCAAATTATAAGTAACCAGATAATGGCTGCCAGTAATGCACACGAAAATAACATTTATCCATCGTTACTACCTGATGGATCTGATAATCGCGACCCAAATGGTATAAATAAACATCTTCAAGTATTGAAATAGAATTGTTTTTTTTTGCAACGAAATGCTATTGTTATTATTTTTCCTTTTCTAGCTGGATTTTTTCAATGTTATTGCTGAGCCTGATTCGAGCGCTTATAATTTTGCAGTATTGCATGAAGTTTCAGAGAAAGTTTATCAATACAGTAAACTTTGTATTTACCGTCTATTAGCTATTCTTGTTGGTTTACCATTAATGTTATGTTGGGGTATTATTTTTGGTGCCTACACATTCTTTATGATTTGGATTGTTGCGCCTAGTCGTCGTTTATCGCAATCAATAATTGCCGAATGTGGTATTCCTATTCAAACAGTCAGCGATGCTGTCATTGCTCCACTCTATCGTTCATGTGGACAAGTATTTTCTAGTGTTCGCATAAGTTTATTTAATCAAACAGCCGTGGCAACAAAAACAATTCAAGTATAAATGACTAGGTTAAAAACGAGCACGAAAAACAGAAACAATAAAATGATTGAATAACTTTTTTTCTCTTTTCTAATATGGAAGCTCAAGTTTTTTCAAAGCTCTTGTTAAAATTTCATGTTCAGACATTAATAAGTGATCAATTAAATCATTATTTTTAAATGACGCTATATTTAATGAACGGATAAATAATTGTATACGTGTTCTGAGAAATGTTCGCACATCATTATCTTTGTCTAATGCGTAGATATTGAAAAATTCATCCATTGCCGTATTTTTTGAAAGAACATTGGTCACATCATCTTTTATAATTAAACATAAATATGCAAAGAAAATTAAAGAAAGAATTCTATGCCGTCTTACCTAAGCTCATAAGGAAAATTTTGATAAAAATAAATACAGCTGGATTGAAAAGTTCATCATCAACAAACAAGAGATATTTATCTGATCTAAAATAATTATACATTAATAAAACTTAAGACAGTAATGCTAGGTAGCATAGTCCTTTTAATTATAAAGATAATCATATCGTTTGACCCAATAAATTTATCAGGTAACAAGGGCACTTAAAAACTGACTCATACTGAAGTTGACTTTCTTTATCGTTTTATTTCGTTAATGAGAGGGATGCCATTATTTTTGTTTTTTGTAAACTTCAAAAATAATGAAACTAGTAGGAACATCGACATCCTGACTGGCAAATTACCACAAAATATGATAAAAATGAATATATTACTATGTTACTTCAAACTTCGGGAATATTTTCTCTTCGTGAATAGGGTGCAATAGAAGTTCTCCTGGCATGATCTCAATAAAAATTGAAATATATTTACGCTTCTAATCCATAACGTTGTAGAAGTTGACTTTTTTCTTCAAAACCTTTATCAGTCTTTGAAAGCGCTTTAAAAATAAAAGAATAGTAGTGTAATTTTGAACAAGAAGAAGTCTCATCTTTGCTTAGTTACCTAATTTTAGTAAATATGTATCATATGGATTGGGTTGATGAGGTACGAAACCATTATGTAGTAGATATTCAGCATTTGTTCGTTTTCCATAAAACATAAATATTTGTTCATTTTTTTCAATATTTTTCATTGTTTGACATTCAATTTGTCGAAGTTTTAAATCGTAATGAATACATTCTTGACCAAATTCATGATTTAGAAAATCCATGACAGGTATCAATGATAATTGAGGTACTCCTTGATCATTCAATATATTATTCTGTCGTGTTGAAACTACGCTAACTGCCCATCTAAATTTCATTCAGAATCAAATTTTAATACGTAATACAAAAAAGAGACAGTACCTGTAAGCATCATACGAAAAATTCTCTGCAAGTTTTGAATGTGTTGGCTGACCCTTTGAAAAAATGAAGTTTCCAATACGGTAAAACTAAATAAAAGAAAAAACTTTGTCTTTTGAGTTACTTTAAGTAGATTATGTAAATAGCAATATTGTCTAGCGATTCGTTGTATATGTGTTAAAATGTCGCCTAAATATGAATTTATTTTATAACTAAATAACAAAAGAAAATAAATATTCTTACAGAGTGCAGCAGATGATTTAAGTCTATTCAATTGATCATAATTAAAATACAATGGTGTATTGAAATCAGTCGGTAAAATATCAATATATGGTTGCCATTTTGATTGAGGTCGTTCGTGAAGAAGAAACAATGCTAGAGCTACATTTGGCATTGAACGAAGTAATGGATCTTTATCTATCAATGGGCTAAACGATGATGAATTCATAATTGTATCCGTTGTGATGATCATTGAAAGTGGTACAGTAAGAAAACATTCGTCAGACTAGAAAAGTTCGTAAAATAAAATTTCTCAATACACAATTTTTATTGACACAAATTACTGAAAGAGTTCTTGTTGCTTTTAATCCTAATCCATAATTTTCAAAGGAAGATATTTCAAAACTCGACGTGTCAATACCATTGGAATGTAACCAATCGATAAAAACATTTAAATTTTCTTCACGATTACAAACTGGATTTACTTTTAAAAGTTCTATATCATTGAAAATAAAATTCATTTCATTGACTGACTTTATAATAATGAATTCTACCTTTTTCTATGTCAATTACTTTCTGTAATTTTTCATGAATCGGTTCAAATTGAGACCATTTTATAATTTCATTCATTGACCTGCATTCTATACAGAATATTATTGCTATCATCGAATTATCAAACGATAAAAATAAATACCTTGATATAGTTGAGCAATTAAATCTTCACGATTTTCTAATAATTGTCTCTTTTTCTTTTTATCCATCTAAAATAAAATCATATTTCTCAATGGTCAATGCCATGATGAGTCAACAAGCAATCTCTGCAATGCATCGATGGCGGCCATTATTCAAAACAAAAAGAAAGGAACTTCATTGCATGATTAAATATCGTTTTTATAAATGAATCAAATTCACAAACAAGGGTTTTAGAGGAGCGCATATATTTTTCTTGTTTTACTAAAATTCCAAAAGCATTAAACAATTATGAAAAAGTGGGGCGATTTTGTCTTTGTCTTACAATTTCAAAACAAAACATATCGATGTCCTCAGACGAAATTTTCGAGTACTCAAAACGGAAAATCAAAATTTACCGAAAGCAAATAAAAATGAACTAACACTTGAAAATAACAAGTAATTAACCTATTAAGAACAGGTGTACGAAACACAAAAAGAAGTCCTTTTTTATTGTTCTTCTATGCATAATAACTAGGCGATATCAAGACATCAGCCAGAATCACCAATTGATCTTCAGTAAATTTTTCCCGATGTTCATGCCACGAATCATGATGAGTTCGACGAAATTCTGATAATGCTTTCTTTATTGATTTCTACAAAAGAAAAAAGATTCAAACCATGCAGATGTGATTTTCGTTCAAATCTAATCGAAAACAACATACTTGAATTAGGTCTGGATCATGTGAATGTTCACAAAGTAACATTAATGCTTCAGGCACATGATTTGGAATCTCGTAAGGACTTGACAAAACTATTGCACAAAGACCAAGAACGCCTATAGGTGAAAACAAAATAGAAATCGACGTACATATCTATCAATTTATATTCTAGTCATACTAACCGCCATGTCGTTTAACAACATTCTCTGGCGATGTAACCTTTTTTCCATCGACTTTTGTAAAGTAACTTGTTTTACTCATGGAGCGAAAATATTTCTATAAAAAAAGAGAAAAGCTTTATATAAACCAAAGCAAATAGTAAACTTTACCAGATCCTCATTATTAATTTGCATAAAACCACATTGATAAAATCCTGATAATGTAACAGACGCAACAGATCGAACTTCGAATTGTTCATCGAATAGACATTTGAAAACAAGTTGTCTCAATCGTTGTACATAAGGTCGAACATTAAATAAATTACAAAAGATCATATTTTGAGTGAATTCCATAGCAGCTCGACGTGCATGCCATTTTGGACTCGAACAAACCTATAGAACAAGAAAGAATGCAAATAATCTTTCGCTATTTTTATTTTTTTCTATTATCTGTTAGACTCACGTGTTCCAATTGTTCAATCAATTCTTCCATAAGAGATGTAGTAATATAGGTTACAGCCAAGCACATACGGCTAACTATTGAACTTGTACGAATAACATCATCATTGGCTACGATACTATCGATCTCACAGAGCTAAACAATCGAAGATATGTTTAATAAAGAAATGAAATACAACATGCATAATATTTATGTATACATGAGGAAAAATACGAATAATTGCATGTTTTACTGGTTGAATATGACCAGAGAATATCAGTGTGTGCAGTTGTATTACTAAGTGACACACAATAAAGACAGAGCAGTGCGTTTTTTAATATAAAGCATTCATTCTTTTTTCTACCTGTTTCAATATAATTTACAGCGTCTCGAGATTTCGAATCAATTTCAACACCTTGACCAGAAATAGTTGCTATGATAGAAAAGAACTTTTAGATTTTTATTTTTGAAAAGAAAATAATATTGTACCTAAAGGTTGTTTTTCATAGATTTTTATTGCTTGATCTAATCGTTCACGAATATTGTCAATAAACTGATCAACATCGGGATGACGTGTCGATTGACCATTGGATAATTTCACATCAAAGCTAAGTGCCGTGGCTAAGACACTAATAGATAAAAACAAAAAAATGAATGATTCTCAAGTCTGAATTTAAAATTTAAAGAAAAAGCAAATATTTACCTAGCAATACGTTCTCGTATTGCTTTATATGAATGACCAATAAAGTCTTTAGCATGTTGACTAAGAGCACACCATACTGACGGAATACGCCATTCAAGATTACTCAGTTTTTGAACAAGATTCCAGTGTGATGTTTCAAGAAATGTATTGCCTATTGTTTGATTGTTGAGTAGAGAACGAAGAAAATCAATTGCACGATGCATTCGACGCGGATCTTCGTCTTCCTATTAAAAAAAAGGATTCAATACATACGATGTTTCATGAGTAAAAACGAAAATGAAAGGAAGTAATCTGTTCAACACACCATGCCATATTTAAAACATGAACCCCAATGTCCAACTGTTTCAGTACAAAGACTTGCACAAACTTCATTAAGAAGTGGAGTTAATTTTTTCCACAATTCATCAATCTGAACAAAAACGACAACAAATAAATGAGTATTGTTTTTCTTTTGAATCATACCATATCTAGAGTCCAATGTTTTGAACCACGAATCATTCCAGCAACAATTTCCGCTGCTACTCGATGGCTACCTTCTTGTTTCTTTGTTTTTTCACGAATTAAAATATATAATTCATCCATGAAACTATCGACTAAATCCAAACCAAAGTTTCGAAACAGACCCTAATAAAAGAGACAAATGAATATTAAAACTATGCTGATCATACTATTGAAAACTACAGCAATAAGGATACAATCATCATAACTGCATAGAGACCTGTTATTCAAGTACAAAAAAAAGGATCAGTAGTGTGAAATCCAAAATTTACATTCAATTCTATATTGTTCTTTATATTCGAGATAGGAACTCTTAGCAAGGAAGATGTCTCCTGTCTATTGTAGCAGCCAATCAAACATGAGAATTTTAAGTTCATTAGATTGAAAGTCTACTACAAAAATCAAATGAAACTAATGTTGTATCCTTATTCGCGCATTTGTAATTTTCTCTGTTGATTTACTTTAAACATTCGAAATCGATGAATATCAAAATTGATTTCTTCCTCTTCTTCATCCAAAACCATAAACTGAGTAATTTTATTGATAAAACTCTTATCCATAAATTTCTCATATAAAATTGCAACATCTTCTGGCATATTGCCTTTCGTATATCGTTCACGTTTATTCATAGTATATTTAATTGTTTTTGGCCATTTGTAATATCCATGATAGCTTTTATCCAAAAAGCATGTTTCTTCCCATTCTTTCTGTGTTTTAGCAGGTTTATAATTGTCAATTGTTACCCAAAGATTATCATCGCGATCACCTGGACGACATTCTTCAACATCAACTGGTCGTTGAAGAATTTCTCCAAGTGTTTTCTCCACATAAATGCGAGCTGGTTTTTGTATACGACAAAATGCCGCAACACCTTTTTCAGAAATCTATACAAAAAGAAACTTATGTAAGATAAATTAGCAGCAATTGAATAAAATAACTCAACCTTTCGTAGCTCAACATTATCATGAACAAGAAAATCAACAAATGTTCGAATACATGATGAAGGTATTGGGACACGCTTTTGAAGAAGTAACCAAATAAATGCCATAGCCATTTCTTGTTGTCGCCAAGTCCTAAAGTTTTCAATAGGTCATGTTTTACGGTGGAAAAAAAACAAATTACAATAGTTGATTATAGAATAATGAATTTAGTGTTTCCATAAGATTATTATACGATTGAATATTGGCTTGATTTCGTTTTTCACGCATCTGTTCTCGTGATATTAATTCGTGTTCTTCTAAGGGTCTCCATAATTCAATGGCTGCTTTGATTGATAGATCGTTTGTATCTTCAACAATAGCTGGAGTATCGAATTGTTTACCAATCTTTTCCATAATACGATCAAGTAATTTTTGTGTACTAATTTTCGTTGCATGCATTGTACGTGCAAGCGTTGGCCATAGTTTTTCAAGTAATGTCCATGAATGTTTCGTTGGTATAAAAATAGATTCATTTCCAAGAAGAATATAAAGGCAACCTTTTATTTGATCATGATCAGCTTCACCTGGATTATCAAGTAATTCTAGAATTCGATCAATAACAACTTGATACGAGAAAAGGTAACGTCGTAAAATATGAAATAAATAAACTTGTGCATTACGACGAACCTATGTGACATAGAAAGAGAATATGTTATAGAACACAAAACGATAAATTATTCTGTATATTTACTTCACCGTATCGATGAATCGATAATTCGAATAATTTAAGTATGACTTGTTTATCAATTTCACTTAAACTTTGATAATTACTAATAGAGAATAACTATTGAAAAGAAAATTTTCTTATAGTTTCATGTTTTTTCATCTATATTTAAAATCATTGGTTTACTTCGAGCTGTACTGCAATTCGTCTAATGATCACAAAACGAGGATGCGTTCGTTTGCCGAAGAGTTTATTTTTATATAAATATTTAATGCTTTCAAGATCTTTACATAATTTATCAACATATTGTTCAAATACACCGAAATAGATTGATGCTAATGAATAAATCTACAAAGAATTTTAGTAGCGAAAAAAAATTTTAAATTAAAAAGCATACTTTCAAAGAAATTTTTATTGATGATGCGTCATCGGAATGATTTTCGACAAGAACATCTAGACGAAAGCGTTTAATTCCAGTTTATTAATTCTACTCATAAAAATCTTACCAAGTAATTTGCCTACATCAATTAGAAGACGCATTCGTAAATTCTCTCTAAATTCTAAAATAATCATATGAGAAATTATTGAAAAAAAATAGACGCCTCTTAGTTTTGATAACATACGAGGTTGTTTAGCATAAAGTGTATATGTAGATCGATGTTTCGTATCGAATGGAACTACAGATGGTATTCTATAGAGAATATTTAATGAAAGTCTTTTTACGATTTAAAAAATGCTAGAGTTACTTACAGATCAGCTACTTCTTTACTATCAATTCGCGGTACCATACGAAAGCATCCGATAGCTATAAAACGTATTAAAGTCAGCGATCTTAGTCGTTCTTCATTGGTCATTTTTGAGCATTTTTCATTTAACAATTGTAATTCAGGATAAATAAATGTTTCAACGAATTCACATGCAAAATCAACTTCATCTTCATTTGGAATATGAAATTGAACATTAAGTTTATCAAATTCAACATGTTGACCCCAAGCCTATTAGTGCACAATAAGATAAATGACTAAACTTCGAATGAACTTACTCGAATAGGTAAGAAATCTGTGAAGGGTTCTTCAATATTTTCAACAGTTAAACGATATTCAAGTGGATATACGTATGATAATGTTTTAAGTAAATTTTTTGCAGCATTAGCTACAGCTTCATATGATTCTTTATGAATAATATGAATACATCGATGAAATACAGATAGAATCATTGGTTTATAGATAATTAATGCATCACCACGAGCACGAACAAGTTCAGAAAATAGTGTTAAAGACCAAGTTAATTCTGGATCACCCTTATGATCCGATAATATGGTTGTTTCTGAATGATTTAAAATTTTTTCAATACGTTCACAGGTTTGTGGTAGAAGATATTTAAGTGTTTCTTCAGGATTTCCTTTCAGTATAGCACGTACAAGACCATTAAGAAGCCTACTAATTTTAGGTGAAAAAGATGATGCTGCCAAGAAGTTTGTAATTTTCTCTCGAATCATCTGTAAAACAAAAGAAACATTTCTATTTAGATAGCAATGGAAATTCTATTGATGTGTGAGCATACTTGAAAAATCTTCTTGCTACATTGCTGAACAATACCAGAGATCATGGAAGTTAATTCTTGGCTAGCTTCTTGATCTTCTGAATTTGTCTCATGATTAAGTACAACAGCATCGGACATTTCAGTTGATAGTGTATCAATCATTTGAAATGTTCGATTAAGAAATTCAGTTACGAAATCTTCGAATTTTGCTGTTGACAAACAAACTTCTTTTTCGATCTGTTAGAAAATAATCGTATTCGAAATAAATTTATTAGAATTGAAAAGAAAGTTTTTTTGTACTTCGGTTAGATCATTTCGTGTATGAATAGCAGATGAACAATCGATACAGGTTACAAGCATTAGAATTGCATTGAGAAATTGAAATGTTACAGCAGTTTTTTTGAAATCATTTGAATCAATACCAGGTAGAACAGCCATTAGTAATGGTAAAACATAGGTTTGACCTTGTGAAAAATCCGGTGTTTGTCGTACAATTTGACGAGCCATATCCGCTAGGCAAGTCACAAGAGATGTAAAGCGATGTGGTTCAGTCATACTGTTGACCGAAGAGAAGAGCCTAGATAAAGAAAAAAGTTTAAATAGTTAGTTAATGAATCGAGCTAATTTCTCGATCTACGAACAAGTCAACCAATGGTGGAACGATTAATTCTGGCCGAAGCATTGATAGAAATTGGCACGCTTTTGCTGCTTCTTCAAGATGCGCTTTATTAAAAATTGATATAAATACGCATTCTTTGACGCAATTAACAAAATTTGTAATATCATTTTCTGTCAGTCGATAATGTTCAGGTGGATTAAAATGCCATACCGAATCAGCCTTACGTTCTCTATAGAAGTTAACGATAAATAGTATCGCATAATAATAATAATAATAATAATACACTTACAGATGAAGTCGATCAACAAATGCTTGTGATAATTTCGAAAGAAAACTAACAAGATCTTGTTGAAATTCTCCTGTATTCGATGGATGATAAAAACTTTTAATAGCAGTAAATAAATCTGTTAGATATTGTAAACATGAACTTCCATTGCCCATCATAGCAACAATCCATGTTGCAGTAATCGATATAGAATAATTTTGTACACGTGACGATACGTGTACGTTTGCAACCGGAAGTGAAAAACTTTTAAGTATACGTGTGAAAATCTAATGCACAAAATTCTTCGTATTATAAGATCATTAAGAAAAATTATACTTTTGGCATCCAAGGTTCCCAATCAATATATCCAATATTACACCAGGCAACAAATGAAAATATATTGATCATATTCTAAAGAAGAAAATAATTCTTTTTCGCTAGGAAAAATCGAAATTTTGATAAGAAACTTTTTGATTTTGGTGAGTTTTCTGACTGAAAAAAAGAGTTATGTAAAGCATCACATTATATTATATTGTTTCAATAAAAACAAAGATGAATCTATACGATGAGAACTCGTGATTATACTCTCAACATATCCTGAAAGTTTCATGCGATTTGATTCAAGATCAATTTTTTCTGTGGCATAAGTTTTAAAACTAACCTGCTCCCAATCGGGATTGTTACAAACAGTTTCCCAAATACTCAAAAATTCCGGTAACCATAGTCTAAATAGAAAAATGTTTTTCTCGATTCATACGAGTTATTTCGTTGTTTTAATAAGTTCTACTTGAATCCTTGATCATGTAATTTCGGTGGTAAGTGAACAGGTAGGAAAAGATCTAAATAACACATAGCATCACTAAAAACTGAATCGAATGGGCATAACCATGGGCGAAATTCATCGAGTATTTCCTGTGTTGCTGTTGCCGAAAAATATGGACGACAACTACGAACACAATACAAAAGTGATTTTTCAACATCACTAAAAGAACAAATTACAAGCGAAAATTTAATTTATAAAAAAAGCCAAAGAAAATACAAACTTCGGTAATACAAGTAATGAATAGTTTTCATCGTTATTGAAAAGAATTAGTTTTACCCATGTGTAAAGTATTCGCCAGTCGACAATTAGATCATCGCGTTGAATCAAACGAGATTTACTAAAAAAAATAAAGATTTTTGTTTTAAAATTAATGAACAAAGAATATAAACAATTACGAACTTTAAAAGTTCATCGAGTATATCAAAACATGTTTTTGCATTTGAATAATTCAAATCTGGTACAGATAGTACTGATAGATATAAATGAATGAATTTAAGATGGTCGCTTTTAGTAAAACATAGGCCATAAAGAGAAATAAATTGCTGTAATTTTGATGACCAAAGTGGAAAACCTGGTCGTAATTCCCTTAATTGAATAATACGTGAAATATTTTCACAGATTTCTTTGAACGATTGTAAACTTTGCTGATGAACAGCATCATGGAATGGTAAGAATTTGTTGTAAACATTGGGTTTTTGAAAATTATCATGTCCCATAGCTTCTATATATTGTTCGCTATCATGCATTGTTTCTATCGTTTATCTAATCAGAAAAAAATTTTAAATTAAACACAATTAATCATATCGAAAATAAAAAGTAAAAGTCATTCGTCATGCTTTTATTCAATATGCCAACGCCATTCTTAAGCTATAAATAGCACGCGTGATTTATAACATACGAATCGTTCATAAAAAAAACTATCAACAGTGCAAACAAAATTTCTATCATAAGGTGAGGAAATCTCATAATAGCTGTTTGAATAATTTAGAATGATATTTTGAATCCAAGCGTCATAGATTACAATTGAGAGAGAGAGAGAGAGAGAGAGAGATGAATCAACACATGACCTTATTTATTCGTATTCCTACCAGTATACTTTCATATACACCGGCAGCTCATTGCCGGTCAGAGAAAAGCGATCGCCATGCCGCGATAGAATAGAGGTTTGTAGACAGGCGATTTCTTTGGTTGAATCACATACGAAGTCATTCGAGTAATGAATTAAAAATTGTTTTTCAAAGTAAGATACTTTTCACTGAAGCTCATAAAACTATGTTCAGTCGCGTAGTCAGATTGGATTTACCAATCATCAGCCCACTCTGAGTCGACAAATTGATTACGTCACTAATTGTTCTATTTTTAAAAAATAATGGTTTTAGTTATTCTCCTATTGATAAAAAAAAAATACAAGAATCTCATAGATATAGATAGTTAATATTACAATAACTCACTAGCATTCATTTGATTAAATTAAATAGAGCAAATTGGCATTTTATTTCATAGCTATACTATCTTTATGGCAAATTCGATGAGTAATATAGGCAGTAAAGCGTAATTCGATACGTAGATTAATCATTATTTTACGGCTTTCGACAAGAGTTATAAGATGAGTTCTTATTTCTGAGTAAAAAGTGTACTACAACTAAATAATTGTTTGGCAGACAATATTTACCTCAGTGCTAGCTTTATCTATACGGTTTTTGTGTGCTAATCTAAAGAAGAATACTTATACTGAGAAGAATTCGAGGAATTTAAGCTTCATTTATATCAAAACACATAGGAAAAAAACACTTGAAGGACTACTTTGAAAAATCTCATCATTAAGATCAAATGAGTACTAGAGGGAAATTTTAAATCCAATAATAATGATTAAAAAAATAGCAAACTCATATATTTCTGTAAGCAAAGTGAAGCGTTCCAATTGCGAAAGTAAAACTTCCTAATGATCTCATGTATGAAAAAAAGAATTATAATATTTTCAAAGATAATTTCAATTCCGAAACTTAACCAAAAACATTATTCGATAGATTTCACCACGTTATCTTCCTTCTAAGCTTTTAAAAGCACATGCCACTTCAACAATCAATCACAAGTCCTGAAATTTAGATCATGCAGGTGTACTAGACTTCTACAAAAATATAAATGTGTACTTAACACAATGAGATATCGATGCAAACGTAACAAAAGCATGCTCAAAGAAAAAAACGAATTCAATTAGGCTTGATGCTAAACTCATTTCCATGCACAAAACTTCTCACCGCTTTTTTTATCACATTATCGAAAAAAAAAATAATTCTTTGAGTTTTAATCTAAAGCAAACAGTTTCTTCTGAGTTTTTTTTCAATATATGTCTCTACATATATATATTTATATAATAATAAAAAAAAACAAAAAGAAAGCGAAAGAACCGTCTTCGTTTCGTGAAAAAGAGAAAAAAAACCAAATTTGCCTTATGTCTAACAACAACAAAAAACCAGAATATGTAATTTCAAGAAAAAATGAAAAGAAACATTCGTGATTGTGACAGCAGATTGTACTAGGCAAGGAAAGCTCTTAAGAGAAACAAACAAACCGGGGTATTCATATCATTTCGATTCTTGGTTTGAGAGAATATGAAAAAAAAGAGGAAAAAACATCACAGTAAGTAATGTTACTGCAGTAATTCATTCGGTTTTATCAGGCATAATAGCTGGGTGATATCAAGACATCAGCCAGAATCACCAATTGATCTTCAGTAAATTTTTCCCGATGTTCATGCCACGAATCATGATGAGTTCGACGAAATTCTGATAATGCTTTCTTTATTGATTTCTACAAAAGAAAAAAGATTCAAACCATGCAGATGTGATTTTCGTTCAAATCTAATCGAAAACAACATACTTGAATTAGGTCTGGATCATGTGAATGTTCACAAAGTAACATTAATGCTTCAGGCACATGATTTGGAATCTCGTAAGGACTTGACAAAACTATTGCACAAAGACCAAGAACGCCTATAGGTGAAAACAAAATAGAAATCGACGTACATATCTATCAATTTATATTCTAGTCATACTAACCGCCATGTCGTTTAACAACATTCTCTGGCGATGTAACCTTTTTTCCATCGACTTTTGTAAAGTAACTTGTTTTACTCATGGAGCGAAAATATTTCTATAAAAAAAGAGAAAAGCTTTATATAAACCACAGCAAATAGTAAAATTTACCAGATCCTCATTATTAATTTGAATAAAACCACATTGATAAAATCCTGATAATGTAACAGACGCAACAGATCGAACTTCGAATTGTTCATCGAATAGGCATTTGAAAACAAGTTGTCTCAATCGTTGTGCATAAGGTCGAACATTAAATAAATTACAAAAAATCATATTTTGAGTGAATTCCATAGCGGCTCGACGTGCATGCCATTTTGGACTCGAACAAACCTATAGAACAAGATAGAATGCAAATAATCTTTCGCTATTTTTATTTTTTTTCTATTATCTGTTAGACTCACGTGTTCTAATTGTTCAATCAATTCTTCCATAACATTCTTATGTAGATATGTCATAGCTACACAAGTTCGACTAACTGTTAGATTTTTTCGTATGAAATCATCGTTTGCAACAATGCTTTCTATTTCACACAGCTAAAAAGAAGTAAATTTTTAAATTTTAAAAAATTCTTGAATTAATAAATAACTTACATATGGAAATAATCGAACAATGGAACTTTTTATTGGTTGTAAACATTTACTAAATAAATGTGTGTGCATTTGGATCACTATTAAAACAAATGTATGTATATTTTTGTTGTTGTGATATTTAAGTAAACTAGTATTGACCTGTTTCAATGAAATTTAATGCTTTACGAGCTTCAGGATCGATTTCAACAGTTTGACCAGATACATTAGCTACAGAAGAATACGTTCTATCACCATCGGAACTCAATTTTTTGGAAAAAAACAGTTTTACCTAAAGGTGTTTTTTCATAAATTTCAATGGCATGGCCTAATCGTTCGCGTATCGCATCAAGAAATTTATTTGCATTTGGATGACGTGTTGATTGACCATTGACTAATGTTACATCAAAAGTCAATGATGATGATAGGATACTAGAGTACATAAAAATATATATTAATTTAAAAATTCGCTATACTTTATTATCTTACATAGCGATTCGCTCTCGAATAGCTTTATATGGATGATCAAGTAATTCTTTGGCTTGTTCATTAATCATACACCAAATACTTGGTACACGCCATTCCAAATTAGTTAATGTTTGCACAAGATACCAACGTGATGTTTCCATAAATGTATTTCCTGTTGCAGTTGTATTTATTAATGAACGAAGATAATTAATTGGACGATGCATTCGACGCGGATCTTCATCTTCCTATTTGAAAAATAAATATATCTATGCAATGAAGCAAATACAGATTTTGTTTTTTTCTACGTACTAATCCTAATTTAAAACATGATGCCCAATATGATAGCGTTTCTGGGCCGAGATTTGCGCAAACTTCATTGAGGAATGGTGTTAATTTTAACCAAAGTTCATCAAGCTTAAAAAACATAAATAATCAAACGTTTCTTTTTCGTCCAATAAGAAACTATCATAACAAACCATTTCTATTGTCCAATATTTTGATCCACGAATCATTCCAGCTACGATTTCTGCTGCAACTCTATGACTACCTTCTTGTTTTTCTTTTGTTTTTTCATGTACAAGTACGTATAATCTTTCCATGAAATTATCAACGAATGCCAAGCCATAATTACGAAAAAGTCCCTAAAAATAATGTTCTTTTTCTTTATGAAAACAGAAAACAAAAAATTTTATCCTTACTTTAAACATATGAAATCGTCTTGTATCGAAACTAATTTTTCCTTTTTCTTCATCCAAAACCATAAATTGCGTAAATTTACTTATAAAGTTTGTATCCATAAATCTATCGTATATAAATGCAACATCTTCTGGCATATTGTCTTTTGTATATCGTTCACGTTTATTCATAGTATATTTAATTGTTTTTGGCCATTTGTAATATCCATGATAGCTTTTATCCAAAAAGCATGTTTCTTCCCATTCTTTCTGTGTTTTAGCAGGTTTATAATTGTCAATTGTTACCCAAAGATTATCATCGCGATCACCTGGACGACATTCTTCAACATCAACTGGTCGTTGAAGAATTTCTCCAAGTGTTTTCTCCACATAAATGCGAGCTGGTTTTTGTAGACGACTAAATGCAGTAATACCTTCTTCAGAAATCTAAATGAATAAATAGAATAAGAAGAAAAAAAGATCAAGTTTTCAAAAAAACAAAAATGTCAAGCAAACCTTTCGTAATTCAACATTATCATGAACAAGAAAATCAACAAATGTTCGAATACATGATGAAGGTATTGGAACACGCTTTTGAAGGAGTAACCACATCAATGACATTGTTGTTTCTTGCTGTCTCCAAGTTCTAAATATTTAGAGATAAATTAGTATTTACTATTTGAAATAAAATAAAAAATATATGTCCATCCACAGTATGATTTATTGACTGAAAGTTTCAACTGCATTTTATCGTTGTAAAATAGTCGATACAATAGATAGGCATTTCTAAAAATGCGTTTATATGATCTTATCATAGTTTCTGTTTTCGGGTCTTCACGAGTTGGGATGTCTTAAGAGAATTCTCATCTGCTTTAGAGATTTTCTTACAAAGAATCGCCTCGAAGTAATGAATTAAGTGTTTCCATCAGATTATTATACGATTGCACATTTTCTTCATTTCGTTGTTGTCGTATCTGATCTCTTGACTCCAAGTCAACGGGATCCAATGGTTTCCATATATCCACTGCTGCTTTTCTCGATACGTCATTTGTATCTTCGACTAATGCTTGTGTATCGAATTGTTTACCAATAGTTTCATTAATATGATCCATTAAACGTTGTGTTGTTGGTTTCTTGGCATGTGTTGTTCTTGCCATAGCTGGCCAAAGTCGTTCAATCATTGACCACGAATGTTTAGTTGGTAGAAAGAATGAATGATTACCAAGCAGAATATAAAGACAACCTTTTATTTGGTCATGATCAATATCACTTGGACTATTCAATAATTCAATAATTCGATCGACAATTACTTGGTAAGAAAATAAATAACGATTGAGAACAGAAAACAAATAGCCTTGAGCATCGCGTCGAACCTTTTATTACAAAAAACGAAAGTATCAATCAATGAATAAATAAATACTTCGATTAGAACTGTTAACTTACTTCACTATAACGATGGATAGATAGTTCGAATAGCTTCAGTATCACTTGTTTATCAATTTCAGTTAATGATTGAAAATTAGTCAAAGAAAATCGCTGTGAAAAGAATAAATATTAGCACAACGAAAAAAAAGGTTTCTTTTAAGATTTTATTTACTTCACATTGTAATGTTATACGTTCAATCATTAAAAATCGTGGATATTGTCGTTCACCATATAATTTATTGATAAAAGAACCTTTTGCTGCTTCAAAATGTTTATGTAATTTATCAGCATCATGTTTGAATACACCATAGTAGATGGATGATAATGAGTAGATCTAAAAAGAATTAAGTTTATTGAAGTAAAACGAAAATACAAAAATCATACTTTCAATGCTATTTTGATCGACGATGCATCATCAGAATGATTTTCAACAATAACATCTAGAAGAGAATGACGACAAAACCATAGATAGTTTTCGACAAAGAAAAAATATTGTTTACCAATTAATTTTCCTACATCGATTAAAAGACGCATTCGTAAATTTTCTTTGAATTCTAAAGATAGAATAACAAAATAGTGAAAGTCTCGTTTCAATTCATCGTCATACGCGGCTGTTTTGCGTAAATCGAATATTGAGTTTGATATTTTGAGCCATACGGAGCAACAGATGGTACACTGCAAAAAAACAAAAATAATATATTGATGAACCAAATATTCTATTTGTTTTTGCTTACAGATTATCAATTAGTTTACTATCTATACGTGGCACCATACGTAAACATCCAATAGACATGTAATGAACTAGAGTTAACGATCGTAATCGTTCTTCAGTGGACATTTTTGAGCATTTTTCATTTAACAATTGTAATTCAGGATAAATAAATGTTTCAACGAATTCACATGCAAAATCAACTTCATCTTCATTTGGAATATGAAATTGAACATTAAGTTTATCAAATTCAACATGTTGACCCCAAGCCTATTAGTGCACAATAAGATAAATGACAAAACTTCAAACGAACTTACTCGAATAGGTAAGAAATCTGTGAAGGGTTCGTCAGTATTTTCAACAGTTAAACGATATTCAAGTGGATACACATACGATAATGATTTAAGTAAATTTTTTGCAGCATTAGCTACCGCTTCATGTGTATCTTTATGAACAATACGAACACATCGATGAAATACAGATAGAAGAATTGGTTTATATATAACTAATGTATCACCACGAGCTCGAGCAAGTTCAGAAAAAAGTATCAAGCACCAAGTTAGTTCAGTATCTCCTTTGTGATCAGTTAATATTGTTGTTTCTGAATGGCTCATAATGTTTTCAATACGTTCACAGGTTTGTGGTAGAAGATACTTAAGTGTTTCTTCAGGATTTGCTTTCAGTATTGCGCGAACAAGACCTGTAACAAGTTTGCCAACTTTTGGAGTAAAAAATGAACCAGCAAGAAAATTAATTATCTTTTCTCGAACCGTCTAAAATCAACATAATTTTTTTTTTATTAAAATATCGAGCATGTATCACTTATAGACGTACTTGAAAAATCTTCTTACTACACTGTTGAACAATGCCAAACATCATTGATGTTAATGCTAATTCAGTTACATGATCTTCCAAATTTACTTTTGTAATGACAACAACAGCATCGGACATTTCAGTTGATAGTGTATCAATCATTTGAAATGTTCGATTAAGAAATTCAGTTACGAAATCTTCGAATTTTGCTGTTGACAAACAAACTTCTTTTTCGATCTGTTAGAAAATAATCGTATTCGAAATAAATTTATTAGAATTGAAAAGAAAGTTTTTTTGTACTTCGGTTAGATCATTTCGTGTATGAATAGCAGATGAACAATCGATACAGGTTACAAGCATTAGAATTGCATTGAGAAATTGAAATGTTACAGCAGTTTTTTTGAAATCATTTGAATCAATACCAGGTAGAACAGCCATTAGTAATGGTAAAACATAGGTTTGACCTTGTGAAAAATGTGGAGCTTGTCTAACAATTTGACGTGCTAGACTTGCTAGACAAGTCATGATAGATGTGAAACGATGTGGTTCACTCATACTATCGATGGATGAGAATAATCTAAATGCAATCAATTGTTATTCAACAGAATGATTAAAGAATAAAAACAGACTTTTCAACTAATGGTGGAACGATTAGTTCTGGCCGAAGCATTGATAAATATTGACAGGCTTTTGCAGCTTCTTTTAGATAAGCTTTGGTGAAAATAGCAATAAATGCACATTCTTTGACGCAATTCACAAAATCTGTTATATCTTGTTCAGTTAATCGATAAGCATCCGGTGGAGTAAAGTACCAGACTGGATTAGCCTTGCGTTCTCTATATAACGAAAAGAAGAAAACGAAATTGAAAATCATTTTGTTTCTTTCTTTTCAAAATAAAGTGATTCTATCAGTGGATCATACAGATCTTCATAGTATTAGACAATTTAGAATTTGCTTTCGATCATCAAACAGTGTTGGAGTGCAGAAATTAGATATAAATCAAATTTAAACATTCGATCCAGCATCTTTTTTGAAAATACTCTCGTCGTAGACATTTCTCTATGTAGGTATCGTTTCTTCAACGAATTTGATAATCAGCTTGGACGTATGTTAAATCAAGGAAATATTTGTTTTTGAAGGGGGAAGAGTCATCGCAAATAGCAGTCGAATTAAAATCTGTATGATCAACTTTTAGAGCAACTCTATGGTTTTTTCTACTAACAAATGAACACGATCAACAAATGCTTGTGCTAATTTTGAAAGAAAACTTATTAAATCTTGTTGAAATTTTCCACTATTTGATGGATGATAAAAGTTTTTTATTGCAGTAAATAAATCTTGTAAATGTTGTAAACATGAACTTCCATTGCCTAACATAGCAATGATCCATGTCGTAACACTCGACATGGAATAATGATATTGTTGAAGAGATACTTGCAATTTACCAACAGGTAAAGAAAAACTTTTTAGTATGCGCGTAAAAATCTAATGAAATAAAACCAAAGACACTTTATGCTTACAGTAATAAAATAAAAAAATATATACTCGTGGTAGCCAAGGTTCCCAATCTATATAACCAATGTTACACCACGCTAATAATGAGAACAAGTTTACCATATTCTAAAGAAAAAGAAGGAAAAGTTTATTCATAAAAAAACAATTGTTTCAAAAATTTCTAAGGGCAGAAAAATTCTTTTTTTCTATTATTTCGACGATAAATGCTTTTAGTATTCGTCTACTTTATGGTCAAAATCTATAGGTTTCTCAAATGTTTGATCCTATGTTTTAAAATTCTGTGCCACAAAACTTACCAATTCCCATCCTGGATTACTATAAATCGATTCCCAAATTCCTAAAAATTCTGGTAACCATAATCTAAATAAAAGTAAACATAACATTTTAATAATAAGAAAAATGAATTGACTAGCCAGTCTTACTTAAATCCTTTTTCATGTAAATTCAGCGGTAAATGAACAGGTAAAAATAATTCAAAAATTCGCATTGTATCCGAAAATGCTGAATCAAACGGACATAAATAGGGTCGAAATTCATCGAGAATTTCTTGTGTAGCTGATTCTGCAAAATATGGACGACAACCACGGATACAATAGAATAGAGAACTTTCAATATCACTTTAACGAAAAGAAACAATAAAAATATGAAATAATAAGAAAACAAAATAAAAAACAAACTTTGGTACTGAAACAAGGGAATATGATTCATCATGATTGTGAAGAATTACTTTAGCCCATTTATGTAATAGACGCCAATCAACAACTAAATCATCTCGTGTGATTAAACGTGTTTTCCTTAAAACAAAAAACAAGACAAATTGTAATAGTTTTTATTTTTCTAAATTATTTAATAATCCAAACCTAGTAAGATCATATAGCATATCAAAGCATGTTTTAACATGTGAAAAATCTAAATCTTCTATTGTAAGTACTGCGACGTATAAATTAATTATTTTAATATGATCAATTTTTGTGAAATAGAGACCATAATGTGACATAAAACGTTGTAATTTCGATGACCAATGTGAAAAGCCTGGTCTTAATTCACGTAATTGAATAATGCGTGATAAATTTTCACGAATCTCATCCAATGAATCATAACCTTGCCGTTTTACTGAATCATAAAACGGTAAGTATTTATTGAATATATTCGGTTTTTGAAGATTATCCTCAGATATATCCATTTCATCAATATCAGTACTACGTTCACTTTCAATTGGATCATCCATCTAAATAAAATTTTAATTATTAATAGAAATGTTTTCATAAAATTCTTTACTATTGATGTACGAATATATATATATATGTAACTTTTGTTATTTTCTTTTTATTTATATGATGTAAGATGGCAATGATAATTCACCGATGAGTCAAATAATAAAATAAGGACACAAAGAATTTCGATTAACTTAAGCAGAAATAAAAGTTCTAAACTAATCAAGGGCAAAAAAAATGCAATATCATGACGAGCAGACATATCTTGTTTTTTCAACATGGTTGATCAAGGAACATCCATTCACTGAGCAATTTTTGCCTCTTCTGAATGAAAAGGCGTCAAGGTGTGACATCTACTAGATTGAAGATCTTTATATATTTAAGTTATACAATATAATATCTAGTTTTATTCTATGAAGTATTTTAATTTAAAGAGTAAATTTCGTTTACAATTCGTAAACTTTAAAGTATGGATTGAAATATATTCATGTGTTCATATAGTAAGTATATTAGAGTAGAAGATAGATTAGAAATTGTTGTAATATTATGTATTGAAATAAAGTTAGTTTGTTTATTGAAAATATTATGGAAGAATTTATTTGCCTCATTAACTGTATTTGTAAAACTTTATCTATATATTTGTCTAAGAATTATATCTTCTATTTTAAATGTATTTTATATTTATTTAGTAAATTCATAAATTTCAAGTTAGTATTTGTCTTTGATTTTAATCTTAACATTTGTCAGTAATGATCTATTGTCTAAAAGCTTAATTTTTATTTCATATGAATTAAATTGCATTGTTTTATATTGAATTGAACTTTCAAATTTTTGTTGAACATCAGTATGAACTTTCTAAAAATTTTGTTGTTTTCATTTTCTAATTATTTGAATGGCCTGCGCGAACGCAAGCCAGCGCAAGAAATTACCGGATCTCTTCTATCCAATTTGAATAGAAAGCGTACGTCAGTCGTAGACCGAAGTGCAATGGCCGGACCTTCACACGGCGGATCGAGGTTCTTGATCCTCGAAACCGCATCCGAAAGTAAGTATGATTGCGTATCTAATTTCTTCGATTTTTATATGCGCCGTATGCGCAAAACAAAAACGGTGATAATGCCGTAGTCAACTTATAAACAAACGCAAGCATGTTGGCGACAAGAAAGAAAGAAAGAAAGAAAGAAGAAGAAATAAAACAACTGATTCATTCTCACATAAAGAAGCGCATGACTCATCACATAACAGAATAGAAAAGGGTTCACTGTGCAATTTCTGCATAGTCAAATGTTATATAATATTGAACGAAACGATTTCTAAAGCATACTTACCTGCCACAGGAACTTCCTTGAACAAGAAGAAGGAAGCCCCTGGCGGAGGCTCTGTCATTGCACTCCGACAGTGCTAAAGCCAGCGAAAGGTTCACATAGAACCTTCTCGAGTGGATCATTTTTCCCAACGGGTCGAGCGTTCGCGCTTGACCCTGCTTTTATATAATTAAAAATGTGAATCGGATTTCTTCTGAACGCACTTTGTCAGCCGGAATCCAGCTAACGGTTTTAACAAACTTTTGAATATATGAAGTCTTTCGTAATGTTTGAACGTAATCGTCGTTGTTTTGATGCCTCATCGTTTACAATAATCGAAATAAAAGGAGTGATGTACATTATGCATGCAGCAGATATATATTTTTCTTTTTCAAGAACAATAAACCAAAGATAAATGTATTGAAAACATATAAATAACAAGAAACGTTCAATAAAAAGATTTTATCCTGTTCCACGTTCAACAAAAATCAATCATATATGTATATATCACTAGCACCTTATTGTAGTTTCTGCAAGAGATTTTTAAGATTAATAAATAATTATATGGATTATCCTCAGATAGCAGGAAATTAGAAAAGATTGCCCGATAAAATTCTCATTTAATGGAATGTCTATTGTATTGCAGATTAATTTAGGTTATTTAAATTATCGTGTACCACTATGTTGCGTATTAGTATTTGTTTCTTTACGCTGAGCCCAGAATATAATAACAGCATCACCACTCAGAAATAAAGATGCTATGATTCCCATTGCCTACAAGAAAGAAAAATTTTAACTTTCAAAATATTTTATTTAAAAACAATAGAAACTATTTACTCCGCCAGCCATTTGACCTGGAACGCGACAATAGTTAATTATCGCGATTGAGGCAATCTAATATACGGAGATAGAATAAATAAGAAAGGAAGAAACTATCGTTTCGTTTCAATCATACCAACAAATTCAAAGCTTCATAAGACGTTGCAAAGAAATCCTATGAAAGAAATAATTACACGATGAATGTAGGACAATCCTCAAAAATATTAAGCAAACAAAAAGAAGCTCCTATCTAGTTGTTGACTCTGAATGATGATGTTTGGTACATGTTTGCAAACGAACGATTATTCTAGCACATCTCTCCGTTATATTTGACTCTCGACGCGCCGACTACATATCGACTAATATCAATAGAATAATATACATACCAAAAGTTCAAAATCAATACCAGAGAATTTTGTTCTCAAGCGAAAAACATAAACAACAATAATGCAAATTTGCATTATCACAACAAGTACTGTGACAACACTAAGAAATACATGATTGCCAGAACATTGCGGTGTTGATGCCACGCAAATAAATGCAGTAAAACAAAATAACTACAAAGAAAAGATATCTATTTCAATCGAAATATTTATATATGATATACAATAAAGTATACAATGATAATCATTTTATTTAGATGTTTTACTCCTAGAATTTTTGATACGATGAGAAATCAATGATTATTTTTTTTGCTAAGCTGAGGGAAAATAAAATGTTCACTTACTAAACAGGCATACTTGAGAATAGCACGAACAGAGATGAGGTAACCTTTATCGATGCGACTTTCGACTTCTGTTGGCGCTTCAGTATGATGAGCAGATTGAGTTTGGATAGTGGCCTTATAATTACTTGGAGTATTGTGTGCGCTCATATTCGACGACACTTGGGGTAATAACTAGTCGTCACTGCTGTTGTCTACAAGCAAAGAAAACGAGTATGTCAATGGTGATTTACTTCTTCTCTCTTCCCCTCTCTTCTTCGCTTTCGATTCGACAATACGCCAACGACAAGAGAAGCGCATTGTCTCCTCCGCCTCTTCTTTCGCTTCTTTTTTCGAACTTATCTGGCATCATATATATATATATATATATATATATGTATGTATGTATGTAGCAAACGACGAGGGAAGAAAGATCGAGAATCCAGAACAATGTGTTCTATTTATACACCGAAATGTAGCAAAACAAGACACGGACCATAATACAGCTGACCAGAATCTTCAATGAATGACGAAAACACAAGTACACATTATTTTTTCTCTTTTAAATTCATTTTCTGTATATTTAAAACGAACTACATATTCATTATTGTCGTTGTAGTGATGATGTTCAGTAATGTTTTATTTCTCTGTTAAACTTCATGAGAGTGATACGAAGTAACAGCTGCTATTTCGATTCTGTATAGAGCCAGATGGGTGTATCGAAACGTTGTTATTAGGGAAAAGAGACCATTTCATCTTTGTCTTTTCCTTTTGTCTTCTTTTAATTTGAAAAAAAAATAAATGTACATAGAACAAACAATAACAACTTGGATTTCTATCTATTGTTAACGCGATTTATGCGACATATTATCTAGTTCGTCATCGAAAACTTTAAATGATACATAAATATATACGTATGCATATCAACTTCTTTAGATAGTCGAAAAGAATTTACTTATGTAAAGTTATCGATTGGAAAACATTGAATTTTATTTCATCCGCAAGATTTAACTATCATGATTTATATGATTATTGTCATTCATCTTCATCATGAAAAATGTGAATCTTGCTCTTCTTTCTAGTTTATTGAGAAACGGTCACAATGAATTTATAATTAGGAAAACAAAATCATCAAAAATCTTTTCGAAAATTTCTTTCAACTGTTAAGGATAGTTTTAATCAATTAAGGTGACTAAAACTCGAACGTTTGAGGAGCAAGATTAAGTTTGACATAATTTCTATTCTTGTCTAAATAGGATTAATAGCCTGTACTCTATTGACGTTAATCTCTTAGAAAGACAAATATTCTTCTTTTTTTTTCTTCTCTTGTTTGAAAACATATTTTAACATTGCCATTGTGCTTGTGAAATTCATTTTCTCGGCATGCGATAAATCATCGGATTACCATGCATGACTATTCTGAGTTTTTACTTTGAACCTATTATTGAATCCTCTTTTTACGACTCAAGTGCATTTGTTCCCATGAGAAATTCACTATAACGACTCAAACTGACGGCAATTTGTATTCTATTATTTAAAAAGTCATTAACTTCAAGCTAATGAAACATTAAGAAATATTTAAAATTCGAATTTATTTCTCTCTATTAGCATCTTTTTTATTTTTCTTCGAGATTTTATGTTTTTTGTATATTTCAACCGAAATTAAAATTCATCCTTCAAAATATCTATATATGTATATATATATATGGAATCCTAAGCACAAAAGTACTTGTCCTTGATTGGAAGGTTGCGATTTTTGTTCTACATATAGAACTGTTACTTCAAATGCATCTAACAAAGGATTCTCTATGATTGCATGGAAATTATCATTGTACGAATCTAACATAGTAAAACTCTATTGTTTCATCATTTGAATGATATTTCAACGATATAATTTAGAAACTCGAAGCATTAAAGTTTATCTTCTCTCGTATCAACATTGTAATGAAGAATTGGACAACAGTGCTTCTGTCAAAATGTTCATGAATTCAATCAGTATGCACTGGCCAAGGACAAATGAATAGTAACGGTTAGAGATTCTTATCACATACATACACTGAACATATAATAGAGTTTCAAAGCGAGCATCTATTATAAATTGATGAGTATGATTAAGATTTCTATAAGCTGCAATATGAGTTTGTTTAAAAACTTATTCTTGCTGTGCAGTATTAGATTTTGAAAACTAGAACTATAGTGTTTGTTCATTTTTTTTTGTACTGAAGTATGTATTCAACGAAGGAAAAAAAGAAATGAAGTGAGAAGATAAAAAAAATAGAAGTTATCTTCCGACACATTTTTAACCATGAACATAATATAATAAAAACAAACACGAACAACATTTAAAAAACGTACATTGGCTGATCATTTTTTTTCTGCTTTTTTCTTCTGTTACATAGGCACATAAGTCATTATATTCAATAAACTGATGTGAATATCGAATAAGAAAAACAATAATTCAAGTACACATATACAAACACATGAAGTGGAAGACATTGAAACAAAATTTGGAATGTAATCTACTGAGTAGATCATATTGTTAATCAAAAGAAGAGAAGAAAAGAAGGGAAAAAAAACTAAAAGTAGATGTAATTATTATACAGTCTGCAATGCTGAACATAGAGTTGTAGGGATTGAATTTGATGTTCGAAGAGATGCGCATAATGATGACGATGACGAAGACGCTGACGATGATGAGGATGAACTTGAAAATGTTGGTGAAGAGTTTGAAGATGAAAGGGGTGATGATGTTGCTTGCGGTATTGGCATTGATGGTGAAACAGGTTGACTTGGTATCAATCCTTCAAAGTGACGAAATATTAATGCAACATAATACATAACACGTTCCCAATCAGGCCATTCAGAAGAACACATTTCTTCAACATCCTATTATAAGAAAGAAATATTATATTTATATTTTTCTAAAGAATTAATATCGCCTCTTTTTTTTTTGTTAAAATTAATTCGCATCATAGAGAATCTGAATAGTAGTTTGAGTCGACTCTCAATTTATATGTATTAGAGAGCTATCGTAACAACTCAAGAAAACTCCAAATCGACTTTTCTGCAACTATGAAAAGCATCAAATTTTCTGAAGTTCGTATCATTCTATTAACTCTGCATTGCTTTTTTTAATTAAATTATATAAATTTGAAGAGAAGTTCAAGATTTCTCGTAGGAAATAGTGAAAACACCGTTATGAGTAGTTTCTTAATGCCTATGTAGTTTCCTAAGAATTAGAGGTTTTGAAGATATAGAGAAGATTTTATTTCCCCTGGAATTTCATTTTCGACATAAATCGAGTCACTTTATGGATTCTCAATATAAGTTCTCATTACGGCAAAAATTCAAGACTTTATATATATATAATTGATTTTTCAAAGTTATTCTAAACAAGAAAATAAATAAAACGAAGCTCTTTACCAATATTGTTACAATTCCAACACTACTAGCAACGCTGAATGCAATTTCAAAACGTTTTTTCTAAAGAAAATGAAGAAATAATAAAAATCGAATATTTATTTTTAATCTACCTTTGATTCATTTTTAATAACATCAAGATCAATACGATCAGGCAAATAAGAATGCAATAATGAACAAAATGCAATACCATCTGTCCATGAATTTGAAAAGTTTGTTATTGTGATTCCCTATGAAATTTTCAAATAAACTACTTCGTAGGACTTCAAAAATAGACATGCTTACATAATTTGCTAATTTTTCACCGCACCATTTCAATAGAGCGTCACGCTTGCAAACGCTTCCTGGCATTCGAGCAAAAACGGCTTCAACTATTGATTTCATTTCATCATATTGTTCACTATGAAAAAAAGCAAATGGGAAATAGAAAAAGGAAAGTTGCCAAAAAGAAAAGAATCTATACTTTGTTATCGATCGAAGTGAAATATCTGATCGATGACTATTATTTAAACAATTTGATGACGGCGGAGAATTATGTTTTCTTGTTGATGATAAAAGTTTAGCATCATCAGTCGTGGTACCAAGTTGTCGATGATGACTGTTTGTTAGTATAGCATTCGTTTCTGTACGTGTACATGGTTGGGACAAAGGTCGTTGTCGAATCGGCAACTCAATTGGAGTACTTAATGAACCTGAAAAAAAGAAATAAGTTTTTTCTCAAGGCATGTTTATTATACCATTTCGTGAATTGGCTTCTAGTGTACGAATCATTTCTTTTATTCTTATATGGCCAAAATCTGAAAAGAAGCAATCAAAATTAGAAACAAATATTAAACTTAAATATATTACCACTAAATCCATTACTGCTTCGACTTGTTGGTGGTAATTGCATCTAAATAAATAAAGCAAAATCTTGCTTTATTATTTGAGCTAATAAAATTGTTTCGAAAAGTCTTCTGATGATTAAAGTTGAAAAGTTTTCTAGTACTAGACACGTAACCAAACAAACTTTTTTTTTTAAACGAACTCTCTTCAGTTCAATTTCAATAAAACATACAAGCTAATCTCATCTCTGATGTTTGTATGTTTTTCAATTCATACGTATGTTTTTAAGTGCAATGGAGTGGTTTTTCATAAACGGAAGCAACTCTTCGGTCTATCGCCGACAATTGTATGATATAATTCATTCACATCTGACATTTTAAACATATCAAATAGAATAATTCGCATGTTTCTTTTTTTCTATCTTAAAATTTCTATAGATAAGTTCGACATAAATAGTCGTATCTTTAGACATGGTCACGTAAAAGTCTATTCCCATCTTAGCTTACCTGTCTTCGTTGAACTTCTTTGTTGATAGCTTTTTCTTGTTCAATATGTTCTGTAACACGTTTCAGATCATCTGTAGCTTTACTTAGTCGATCTTCAGCGTCTTAAAAAAAGAAAATGAACATTTGTTTGTTAAGTTTTTGAATAACTAAAAAGTAATATGAATAAATACCATGTCGCATTTCACTCGCAACTCGAACAGCAATTAACATATCAGCTAAAGTTTCATCTTTTTCAATAGTAACATATTCAAGTTGTTTCTTTGTATCGGTTAATTTTTTTTCGACATCTTCAATTTGTGTTGATAGTAGAGAATTTTTCTCTCTGTATTCAGCTATTTTTTCTTCATAATCATCTTCTTTATCGATTAAAGCTTTTTCTAATTTACGATTTTCTTCAATTAATTCTCCACAACGTATTGATGCTAATGCTTTATCTTTAATAACTTCTTCAATTTTTATTTCTAATTCATTGATATGTTCTTTTAGACTATGAATTTCTTTTTCATATTTATCTTCAATTGTACGATAATTTTGTTGTAGTGTTTGATATTGTTTTTGTGAATATTTTAATGTGTCATCCAATGTTGCAATTTTAGTTTCATGCTCATATCGTTGTGTACGTAATTTTTCTTGAATATTTTGTAATTCAACATCTGATGATGTTTTCGATTTTGTACATTCTTCGGCCTAGAGAAAAACAATGGATTTTTTGAAATAATTTTAATGTCATGGTTTTTTTTATACTTTTTTTCGTTCTTGTTCAACTTGTAATTTTAATTTTTGATTTTCTTGCTCAAGGCGTTCATAGGATTTTTTCATTTCATTAAAATCATTTGTTAGACGTTCATTTTCATCGGCTTTTTTTTCAAATTTGATTTTTGAACATAAAACATTATCACGCATTTTAGCTCCTTCACTTTCGTAATGTTTTAATTGTTCTTCCAGTTTTTGTATACGTTCATGTGTTTGACGCTAAGCAATTAAATAGAAGATTATCTTATCTATATATGTTATGTTTATGATACCTGTTGACTTAATAATTCATCGCGCTCTTCTTGAGATTCTTGTAAAAGTGATAAGAGTTTCTTTTCGTCGTTGCTATGTTCTTCATCTAAATTTGAGAAAAAAAGAACGAATTTTAATCAGCTTTTGTTTTGATTTGTAAATATTTAATCTGATATTATGCTTTTTCTGGGATTTTTGCGTTATATTATTTACCATTTCTTATCATTTGCTCCAATCGTTCATTCTTTTGCTTTAGATTACGTAATTCATTCGAACGCTCATCGACAATAAAGCACAATTGATCACGGTCCTTTTTACCATTCGTCAATTGTTGTTCCTGCTGTTTGATTATCGCCTGCATACCATGCACATAAAAGAGAAGAAAAAAGAAAGAATGAATGAAAGCCAAAGATTAACACTTGCAATGTGTGTGCATGATGCGAAGACAAAAGAAAACAAAAAGAAATAGATGAAGAAAAAGAACCTTCTATTCCCTAGCTCGATCTTCTCACCTGATAATCAGTGAGTTCGCGTAGAATAGCTTGGATCTTTTCATTTTTAGATAGTGATTCATCTGTAAGTGCTTTAAGTTGCTGTTGTTGTTGTTGTGCATGATGATCATGTTGATTTATTTGTAAGGGCGGTGTTTGAGTTTGAATTGAGTTGGTTAAAATACGGCGTTTTGTTTGTTGATATGGTTGGGATCCCGTTTGTTCATCGAAAAGTATTGTTGGTGCTCGTTTATTTGTTATTGCAGTTGGACGTATAACGGGTGGATAGGATGAAGTTGATGACGGAGATGCATTATTATTATTATTGTTATTATTATTTGTTTGTCTTTGTTTTTCATGTTTAACTTCTATTTCAATTTCGCTTTTGTGACGTATTTCAGATCGAGTTGTCGGTACTGAACCGGTAAAATTCGTTGATTTTATTATAGAACTACCTGGTTCAGACACAATAGGACTGAGAAGAGTATTACTTGTCGGTGTATTTGAAGCTAAAAGAAATTGAAAAAACAAAACAAAAGATTAAAGTCATTATCTATATATTATAAGTTGTTAGTTTAAGCTATTTTTACCTGGAAGCATTTGCTATTATATATCCCTATATTTAAAAATCTTTCATCTTGCCTTAAAACATTTATTCTTTTACTTGAAATAAGATGGATTGATCTGTCGGTACCTTCGCCTTTTTTCTCTTTCTTTTTTTAATTTACAACTGAAATGGTAGCGCTGACCTTACATATATATATGTGATGACTTTTAACACGATGAAAATGATACAGTTACATCAAAATCGTTTTATGATGAATCGAAAAAGAAAAAGAATATCATACTAACAAATCAACCATTTTCTTTCGTTATTCGTGAGAGACGAATTTAGTTGTTGCTATTATAATGATTATCATCTACTCAAACGGTTTAAACGTTTATGTGATCGACATGCACGTAGACAAACTAAAAAATAATACAATGCTGGAAGCTACAGACAGACTATAATTGAAAAATGTCGACTTAATGTTCATTTTTACGAATGAATTCTTTATTTTTTGTTCTAATTTTTTTTACCGTATTCTAGTTGGTGTCGTTTAATTTGATGCCATGTTACAGTAGACGGATGTTTATCACGTCTTACAGGTATCCATAGATAAGGTTGTACTGAACAGTAACTGAAAGGAGTAATCGAATTCTTGTTCATCATAACAAAATCGACTTATATTTGCGTTTACTATTAACTAACTTATCTTATGTTCTTCTTTTTTTGTGTTATGTTTTTCGGCTATACACTGCGCATTATCAGCTGTCGCTATCTCAATTGTTTCATGGTCAATCATTGATACTTTTCTTTATCATCACGTCGAATCTTACTATTGACTCTTATTCTCACTTTTGCTTTATCCTTTGTTATGCATAAGAATCTAAATACAAACATCTCAAACGATAAGGTCAATACAATTACGATAGCGAACAAATATATTACTATACTTGATATATTCATATATACGTACGTATAGAAAAGGTGTATAATGAACCTTGGCAAATAGCTACAATAGGCTCTATACTTTTGCCTATGAAAATATTTGTAATAATAAGTGGCTTGGTGTCAAAAATTACCTTCAATCAGTCGTTCATCGTAGCACGTATCAGACATAAAAAGAAAAGAGATTGCGATTTGTTTCATACTACTTGGCTGACTATTCAAACATGATACTAACACGGTACACATTTTAAAATATGAATACAATTATATGTCTATTCGTATTGGATCGATTTCTAATATTCTTTTTCGATGCTCTCTAGGAGCAATTACACACTTTTATCAATGAAATCTAACTTCCCTCTTTCTTATTATAACTCAACTGAAACACATACTACTCGACACGGCCTTAAGTTATACGCAAGTATTTATTCGTTTCTCCAACCGTACACATGTAGATAAATGACGTTGAAATGAACTAGTTCATATGATCAAGGATTTTTCCTTCTGTCTCTTTTGCGCATTTTTTTCCTACTATCATCAATGATGATGCAATCGAACCAGTGTACCCGGTAAAAATATACATATACAAAGAAATCGAATATGATAGAAGATTAAGAAGAAACAATGTTGTCAATAATAGAATATTGAATATCGTGTATGTTTAACAACTCAACTTACTCGCTGGTATTGTACAACAAATGTCGGGTAACAAAAGTAACTGAGATTCTTCGGGTGATTGATGCGTATAATTAATTAATGGTGACGATGATGAACATGATGGTGTATTTCGATGTTTTTTAATTGTTATATATATTGTATGGCAGAAAGATAAAGCATCCGTCGAATGAACAACCTTCTTTGATAAAGAATTATTTTGTAATGTTGGAAAAAAAGAAGATGACGCAGAAGTTGCTGGATTATTTAGTATCGACGAATTTAATAAAGATGATGACGCATACTCTTTTATTTTATTACTATAATAAAAGGAAGTTTGTTGTTGTTGTTGTTGTTGTTGTTGCTGATTAAATGTATCCACTTGACGAAGAAAGCTTTCTTCGTCATACGGGGCATAATAAGGAATTAAATTTTCATAAAACATTATATGGATCAATTATGAGAAGAGAATTAACGATAATATTCTTCTTCTCTCAATAGCTGAGATTATTACTACTAAAGTTTAATCAATAATAGCGCAAAGAAAAAAGAAAGTTCAGAAAAATCAATAAATAATAGAGTAAAAGTATAATACGTAAATTGTAACTGTATGTAAATAATCGTCTTATCAACGATGCATTCGGTCTGTCTGTATATATTGTGTGTACCAGTCAGAAGTCCATAGAATGTTAAAGAGGTAGTAATTTAGACAATCATGCGCGCGGGCGCGCCACCTCGAAATGCATCGTATATTTCGAACAACGTTCGATGCACCACCAGAACGCAAAGAGAGAGAGAGAGAAAAAACTGTATATGCACAAATAATATATATATATACCTATCACTCTCTTTCTTAGTATACGAAGTAGTATGTATACTATGGTGAATTGAGCCTTTAATGATGTTACATAAGATAGTATAGCGAGTGAAGTATAGTGCGAAAAAAGTGAAATCAATTTTGTTTTTCTTACTGACTGAATAGAACGTCTTTTTTTATGTTTCATATAATGATCGAACACACGAAGACAAGTATCATTTTAAGACAAAATTCGACTACTAATGAATATATATGTATATATTTTATCGTATGAATATAGAAAAAAAAAATTATAAACCATCGTAACGATCATTATACAAGAAAAGAAATATTTTCGTATATTTTCAAATATGTCACCATATCTTTTCGGTCAAAAATAGAAACTTAAAATAAATTATTATTATTATTATTATTATTATCTTGACATTTTATCAATAATTAAAATAAATAATTGGTATAGAAGAGAAAATAAATGAACATTTGAGAAAAGCAAAAATCTTTTCTTATTTTTGTTACCTTCATTTAAATAGATGAAAAATACTGAACATCTTGATGACATTAGGTAATCGTCAATGATTATTTGAAACAGATTTCATTTATAAGACAAAAAAAAGTCTATTTCTTTTAAGCTTAACAATAATTGAAAAAAGATGAATGTGAACTCTCTTTACTTTGAAACACAAGAGATCTATCCTATTCGTTTTTTCTTCTTCTCATTCGTCATCGGATTGATTTGAACAAATAGACAGGTTTACTTGTTTTGTATTATATCACACATATATGTGTAAATATATATATATATATATATATATATATATATGTATATATATTGACGAACCCAATAGATCACTATTCTTACGAATTAATTCAGATTTACGAACCTCGATTGAGCTTTGGATGTTTCCATTTAAAATAGTACATTTTAAAAAAACGTGTAAGGAATACAGTTGAACACTACGATATAATGATATGGTGCATACAGACAGCGAAGAGTGCACAATAATAATTGATAAATAAAAGAAAAAAGAAAAGAAGACGAAAGAAAAAAAAGTAAATGTGATCATCGGTTCAAACGAAATTGAAATGTCAGGTAGACGATGACGATATTGTATTATTTTAAATGGGATGTGGATGTCTCGTCATTACTGTGTGTGAGAGTCAAACAACAATTATCATTTGTTTTCCATATCCTTAGCATGAATAAACACGTACACATACATGTATAAACATAAACATGCATAGCTACATAAATCTCTTTCATTTATTTCAAAGGCTTAATATTCTAATTGGCTACTGCCGACATAGCACAAAGCATTGAACTACTACTTGAAGAAAAGAACAGAATTACTAATACACCAAAACAATAACAATTAATCCACCTTCAAACATTCGTACCAATTATCATAAAAACAACACTTTAGCTTTAGGCAATACAAAGGTTTTCTCTCTCGTCAATGCTAAATTAAGTACGTGCAAATGGATATTTCTTTTTTGCTCTGTTACTCTCTCCTTCTTTATAGTTAATAATGATCATCAGGCAAATGCAATGTTCATATAAACGTGATGGAGGTTAAAAAACTAAAATGTCATTAAACTAATGTTTACTATGTAAAATTGTACGACATGCACACCTTGCAAATGTCACAGGCAACCGGTTAGACGACTATGATTATTGCTACTACCATTACCATTACTACTATTAGTCATTGACGATAAATAAAAATGGTGATGACCGCGTATGAATCATGAATGCATTAATAACAATGACAAGGACAAGAGCGTAAAATGGTTTTTTTTTATAGTTTTTTTACCTTTGTATAGAAGAGCCGATTGTGATGGTGGAGGTGGAGATGTTGATGGAGGCGGTTTTCGAAATCGCCGAAATAGACGCATCATAAGATAAGATTATCGAAACGACACAATACGATTGTCGTTATTAATACGGATAGGAAAGAAAAGTTACTGATCAGCTTTTAGTTCGACCGATATATATGTACTTATATACGTATATATTGTTTTGGCCCAGTGTGATAAAGAGCGAGCGATAGAGACGAAAATGCAGAAGAGAAGAGAAACGTAATGTGTGTATGTGCATCTATATGTACAGAATAAGAGAAAATGGAGCAGAATTGAGGTAGAAGTCTGTCTCTTTTTTTTCTTCTCGCTTTTTTTCAGCTATTTATGTTGAGACATATAATACACAAAACAAGGTCGCTTCAGACAACGATTCTTGTTCACACATGTCCCTTATAATAAAACGGTTGATTGAACGTGCACGTCCTCGATTAGATGCTCTCTAATGCATTATTACATTAAAGGAAGAATAATAATTGTCTATCATTTCAAAAAATCTGTATGAAATTAATTTTTTGAAGTATATAAAGATCAACTTCAAATATGATCATATTCAATCAATATCGATTTCATTTTTTTTCGATTAAATTTTCTTGCGAAACAAAAGATTTCTTACTACTATCTTCTTCTTTCTATTCTATGAAATTCCTGCTGAGTGACTCTCTTTGTCAACAAGAGTAATAATCAGACATGATTTATATATATATATATATATATATATGTCTTATAGAGATAAGAACAGTTGTATTGATCGATGATGACTACAAATGATTGAAAACTTCTTTTCTTTTTTACTTACATTTTTGTTGTTGAGCAAAAATTTCCAGTTCTTGAATACTTTTTTTTAATAGATCATTTTCAATGAGCATTTCTTCGAGACGAACATTTAACATTGTTTGTAATTGCATAGCCTGTTCAATTGATTCATTCGATGGAACAGCTACACTACTTCGTTTATTTTCAATATGTTGTCGCATTGTTTCAAGTTCATCAGTTTTTATTTGTAAATCATGTCTCAATTGATCAATTATTTGTTGAAGAGATTGAACATTTGAATTTTCATTTGATGATACATCATTTATTGATGTTTGTTGTAGTTGTTGTGGACGTTTCATACGAAAAAGGCTAAAACGACGACGTAATACTGATGTTGAATTAAGTATACTGGGTGGCGATGGAACAATTTTTGCTTCAAAACCATTTAAAACTGTTTGAGATTTTTTCATTTTGCTTGATTTATGTATTTGTTTTGTTGAATGATATTCAATATTTGTTAAAGATTCAGAGCTTTTACTAACTAATTTAGTAGAATTTATTGCAGAAGAAATTTGATAATAATGAGGTGATGAAGATTTATTTGCTGCCATTTATCAAAAGAAAATGATGATTACCTAGGGGAAAAAACGAGAAAAAGCATTTTTTTAGTTTACATTAAAATTAAATGAAAACTTTCCGAGAGAGAGAGAGATAGAAAAAAAAGTCATTAATCTTCTAAGTTTTCATCATTGATTAGAAAATATTCGACTAAAACCATAATTTTAATGGACGAAGACAAGACATGACGAGACACAACAGCTACTCTACTGAATCATATAAATAAACAAATGAATAAATAGATGAGTACTGCAAAAATACTTATCGACTTCTCTTTTATCGAAAATAATTAGTGAAATAGGATCAGATGAGCAGATGGTTTCTTACACACACGCACGTATATAAGCTTTCACATTTATGAACATGCATTATGCATAGAACGTGTTATAATCAATCTGCCAAGTATTTTCTTTCTTTCATATGGAATCTATGGATTCTATTCTATGATTGGGATCAACTATACATCTTTTATTGAATATACGCATACTCTACTGATGACACAACTCGAATACTTCCAATACCACAAACGTCTCTCTCTCGCTCTCTCGTTCTCTCTGCTTCTATACGCATATATGCATAAAAAGAATAGGTCATCATCGTATTCATCACTTCATTAAACATATTCATACGATGCTTTTTTTTTATAAAAGTGAATGGACATCGTCCATGAAACTTGCCAATGTATAACAGCGCGAAAAACGACACTCTATACATTGTATACAAAAAGCAAACAAGTTGATCTCTCGTATGATCTTGAATCTATATGATATGTCATTTACTGATAAACAAATCTATAGAATACATATACCTGTCCTAGTTTCATTTTCTTTGTCTAATCAAGATAATATCATTGTTTGAAAGAGGCTTATACAGATGTATATGTTCATCAATTAGGTCTCGACGTATGTTTTGATCTTAGTTTTTCTTGCTTAGTTTTGTATGATGAACATATGGTCTCATGATCATCATCATCGCTCTCGTCCTAGTCAACAATAATCATAACGATATGAATATAGAAAACAGAAAGCTATGAAGCGTAAAACAGCTTAACATAGCAATTAGCTTGAATATCCCTGCGCAGAATAGATTGAGAAAACTCTAAAAAAAATGAGAAAGAGAGCGAGAGAGGAAATAACGGTAATTTATAGACGAATCATTTTTCTGTTAGTCTGCAAACTTCAAAAAGGAACCGCAATTTACTTACTATGCCTAGAGAAAACAAGTCAGACAATACTAATATGATCTTTCATCAGGCAAATAAGTAATAGAAGGAAATCGATTTGATTTTTTTCTCCTGTTCTCGGTGATCCTCATCAAGTTATAATGATGATGTTGGTATCATCATCATCATCACATTCTTATTACGTTAGTATTATGCAGTGTCAGGTATCACTTATCTTATTTCTGATCTAACTAAGTATTTCTCAGTTGCATTTTTTAACGAGACTCAAGGTAAAATAAAAGGTTACTTTCAAGACTAAATAGCTTTGATTACTTCATAATAATATTTTTCATCGATTTCAAATATGAGGCCATCCATTAGTAAACATTAAATAAAATCAGTAAAAGGAAAGAGAAAAAAAAAGAAATGAAGATGATGATTACTATCGACAAGAGAAATAGGCAATATGGCCTTCCTCTCATATAAAAAAATTATAAGCTGCTCTTACTAACTACTAAGAGAAGAAGAAATCAATGGCGAATTGAATATAACCCAGCGCCGGAAGAATAAGCACTTATTCATGTCTATCTTTCAACAGTCAAAGATAAAATAAAAACAAGAAAAAAGCTTCAATGTATCAATCAAACGTTGAGAACACACCGACACAAAAAGAGAAAAAATTTTCAGTTTTTTTTCTTCTTCTTTTCCTATGTGTTACTCAGTGGTACACTTAAAGAATTAATTGAGATTTGAAAAGTTTTCAAGAATGAAAAGAAAATAAAAAAATCATCATTTACCTTCATTGAAATCTCGAAGGTCATTTATCATTAAAGGGTGTATTCAGTAATACTTTGTAATATCTGCTACTGTTCTAAAATGAATATTAAATAAATGAGTAAAAAAATGAATGAATCAATCAACATCTACTATAATTAAAACCATCACGATCACTAGCATTTGTTCTCTCTCTCTCTCTCGTTCACTCATACATAAAGAAAATGAAGTGTCTGAACCTATATGTCGATGATACACAAAGACCAGAAGCATGCACACGTGTGTATGAACAGTGACATTAAAAAAAGTCAAAGAAATACATTCATTCAAAGTAGAAAAGAAGTGTGAACGGCGAGCGTTCAATAGAATAGCAATTACCATGTTAAAGTAAAATGAAGAAAAAAGAGAAGCAGCTGCTACTAATGTCGATTGACCACATAGCTATATTCAAGATACAAAAAAAAATTAAAAGGACACAAAAAAAGTGAGGATTAAGAATGAAAAGACGAGACAAAAGGTCATCAGTCGTTCATCGAAGAATTTTATGTTTACATATGAAAAGGCACACGCATATAAACTCTTATATCGACAGAATGTATGCATTCACAAGAACTTAATCACTTGAAGTGAGAAGAGTTTTTGTTTGACTTTGACGACATGTACAATTTCCTTCTTCTACATTCTCAATTTCGAAAGGTACACTTGAACATTTATTCAATGTCACGATAGACAGCGAATAAACAATAGTTGTAGCTGCTATAAATAAAGAACAAAGCCACTTTGAAATAAAGAGGAGAATAAAAAAGGGAAATAATAGTATATATTTTGCAAATAAATTTTAAAAAGTCTTCATCGATTTTTCTTTACTTACTATTGATTGAATCTTTTTTTTCTACATTTTTTACTATGAAAAGATTTGATGATATAATATATAGTATATTAAAAACTCAGTGACTGTTAGCTTGAACTTTTTCTATTCTGTTACGTGTTTAGTAATTATCAAAGTAATGTTCCGTAGCCAATGAATGACATTACCTTCTTTCGAGCGTACATATAGCCATCGATGATTTTGATGAAGACGAGAAGGTTAATTACAAACCAGTCTTTTTAATACGCCATCTTCTATAGAGAAGAAATTGAATAATAATTTCTTTCTTTTTTTCGTATTTCGATACTAAATATTAATTTAATTTTTTTGAAAATTTTCTTTCTCCAACAAAAACAAGTATACTTGTACGTCAATTACAATATAATCTTTCATTAGATATTGTGCGTGTGTGTGTGTGAAGGTTGTGCGATTCTAATTTTAATCCTATTTCTAAGAATTGAATATTTGAATTACATAGGGGTGTGAGCTTTCTCTCTTTTGCCAAAAACATACCCTATACTGTACAGTACCAGTTTTTTCTCTATTTCGAAACCGGTAATTTTTTCATGTTTTCACAACGCTGCGTTTAAGATTCATATGTTTTGTTCGATTTCATTGAGTTCCAACAACTTGTTCCAAACTTGATAATGCTATAGTTATCAAAAACCAGTTTCACAAATATTCCGTGACTAAATTCAGTTGAACGACTATTGTGTAAACTATATGAAATCGACCTGTTCATTTCAGATAGAAATAACGTGAGGTTCCAGGTCGACGATTCCGGTCTCCGGATCTTTTCGGAACTGGTCTGGAAACGGCTTCTTTTCGGTGATTCCCCACTGGTTCCCTAGTCTTTCCCGTCGGATCCTGCAGGAAAAACAATAGGAAGTGGAAGCAGTATTCCATCCGGAAAAACCGTACCCTGAGCCCTTAAATTCCTCTCAAATCCAGTCATAGGAAACCTTCACATTCAAAACGGAAAAGCAAAGGATACTGATAGGACAAACCGGAAGCACAACGGAGCCTACGAAGCCGAAATCATGATTTTACTAATAAATATTTTTTAAGGTGATTTTGTTCTATTTACCTTAATTAGATGATATTCTGCTGATGGAGAGTACGACACTGATTGTAAATGTTGCTCAAGGAAGATCTATAACAAATCAAAATCCTATGTCGATTGTTGTTTTCAATTATTATCGATTAAAATCAGAAATGGAATTGAAATGATTTTGAGAAAGTTTTGGTATAAAAAAAGAGTATGCGAGGTGTTACCTGTGACTTATCTGAATAGGTGTGTTGCGCATCTGGGGTGGAACTTTGAATGCTCACTCATGTGGATAGATTGGTGATCTTCAGGGTGTTCATGTATCGCTAGGTCAGTTAGAAGAGTCTCAGGCAATCTTGAAGGCACTTTATTAGTAGTTGCATGGACGAGTTAATAAACTTATGAGTGTCGAACACGCATATATGTATATATATATATATATATATAGGTGAAGGTCGGCTGCTATGCAGTCTGAAGACTGTCTTAGTATTTCAATAGTTTTTTTGAGCGCTTTCGTTTTTGACGTTATCTAGCTCGGTTGGATTCGGAGAAAATGATCTTTATGCTCCAGTGCCTGCCTGTCTGTCACCTTCCATTCGTATCTGTGACAAGTGTGCTTGCAGACCTTTAAAATGATAAGATTTGAGTATTTTGTCAGGTTTTTAGACTTTCCAGAGATAGACGTGTAATTTGTTGCTTTTTATGGTGTCGGTTTGTTGTTGTATCAGATCTTTTTGAACTCTGTCAACTAAATTAATTTAAATCAGCTCAGTAAGGGTTTCGTTTACCTAGTTATCGTAGATTATCGCGAGGGATTATCTGAGCTAAATAATATCTTCCAATTTGAAGACACAACTCAATAGTCTATCGCGGTCTCTATTCAACTATTGCTCTCAGCAGTGGGTTGTGAATTGTGCAATCTCTTACGTGGTATTTTGCATCCAGTCTGCTTGTTCTCGCACTGCTGTTAAATTTATACTCCTTAAAACTGCTTTAAGAATGACTATCGTGTCCAATTTAGTCCAATGCTTTGAAGAGAGTCAAAATCTTTATCAATGTTTGTATGGAATTGTAACTTTTTCTTAGTATTCCATACATTTGAACATTGAATATATAATTGTATTCTAGAGATTCTTTTGAG